GAGATTTTTTTTTTTAATCCCAAAAAACTCTTTAAAAGGAAATGAAGATAGTATACGCCAATTTATCGTTGTATATATATATTTTTTACTGGTGAATAATTTATTATTGTATTGATTGTTAATTCACCTAAAACTCATAGGAAAAACGATATTAGGTATTTTTAACTACTAGTTCCACGTAGGGGTGGGTTTGGGCGGATTTTGAATAGGTTGGGTATGAATCGGTTAGTAATCCATTTTTAACCACCAATGACAGGTCATAAATGAGTAAGGACTCAAATGGACGGGTTAAAACGAGTTGACTCGTTCTAACCCTTTTTTTTTTTTTTTTTTTTTTTTTTTAAGACTGGATCCTTTGTGATGGTTCCTCAAACAAGGTTTCTTTGACTACCATATTAAATTGAAAAAGGCAAAGATTAACTTAATTTAATAAAATAATAATAATATTTTATTTCTGTAATAATAACAGAGATAAAAATATGATAGTGATATACCTATAAAAATATATGTGTGTGTGTGTGTGCATGGGAAGTTGAAGAGTGATAATTCGTTTATTTGGCTTGTCATTTATAATACTACGTATATTTATATTTTGTGATCTTATTCATATAAATTTCATTATTTTTTTACTCACTTATTATCTTCATATAAATTTCGTGTTCTTGAGCTTATTTAAATGAGAACCACAAGTCCACAAACATCAATCCAATGAAGCATATCTATTTGGTCAAGTGCAGGTTTTACATTCAACAAATTTTACATCCATGGCCCACCAAAACACCCATAGTTTTCTCATGAAAAGTAAAGCAAACTTCCACTATAGTTCCATGTAAATTAAGTCCTTAAATATAGAGATTTGACCATTGACGCAGCCTATTCTCATTTCCACTCACTCTCACTCCTATAATAATAATATTATTGCATTGCTTCTTGTTTGTATATTTATGTTCACTTGTGTGTTCCATCAAGAAAGTTGAACCTCGTTACAGAGTCTGGCCTATCACAACTCAATATGTAAGTAAAAGTTAACATGATCAATTGGGATCATGTAAGACATGTTTAAACTATTGGGTCACACTTCACAAGCCTACACCTTAAAACTAATATAGGTTTGTGGAACTATGGATCATTATAATCATGACAGCCAAGTCTTATTGGGCCCACATAAATACTAAATAGTAATCATTACGTGTGGGGATGGAGGCCCAAAGGGCCAAATTTCGCATGACCAGATCCGAACTTTTAAATCTTAGTTGAAGCCCAACCCATGCACAAGCACGTGCATCTCACACGACAACTAATGGAGAATGAAAGTATGATAAATTGTTAGGGGAAGATTGGGAATTAGGACTAAAAAAAATTGAATGGTCAAAGTGATTGATAATATTTAATTTCAACCCTTAAAAGAGGAATAGTTATTTGTTTACAAAGTAAAAACAAAAAATAATTAAATAATTACACGATAATAAAGGCCGATCAAAATTTACATATTCACATGGGAAGAAATAATTAAAATAATTTAAAATATTTAAATTTAAGAGAAGATATGCTAGAAAAGAATAAAAATGACACATTCAGATGGAAATACAGAATAGATTAAATTTTAGCAGTCTGAAAACTGAAGTTAGACTTACAAGTGTGAACAAGAACTTTTACTTTCTTGATATTCACGAAATAAACAGTGGGCCCTAGTGAATTAGTAATACCATTAATTTGGCCCACTCTGTCAACTCATGCTCCAGCTGTGACAAAATACCAGAAGAAGCTTCTTAACTTTGAATCTTTGACCCCAAACCCAATTTGCCATCTTATATTTTCTTTTTCTTTTTTCAGAATATTAAACCTATACGTGGGTCATTGACGCATTGTCAATTCGAGAAAAACAAAAGAAAAAAAATTAAGGATGCTTATGATATCTTAACTAATTATCAATCAAGAGAGACAGCAACCCAATTCAAATTTTCATGTAACTTCACTTTATTTATACAATAAATAATACTGAGTAATTATATTACATTATTATTTTGTGAAATTTTATTTTATTTTAAAATTATTGTATTATAATAGAGTAACAATAAAAGAGTTATACGGATACATCTAATAAAATTTATGTGAATAAAAATTAATATCATTCATCCATGTCAACAAGTGATTCTGTCCTAGGCTAACAAATAGGTGAATCTCCAACCTTATCAAACAAGGCATCCAAATGGTTCCACCAAATCTTGTTTGTACAATAATTTGTATGTTGTATTTCACTTTTTTAGGCAATTGTATGCAAAAATTGATTACATTATAAACATTAATTACATCATAATATGAGTTCTCAATTGAATTTGTCCTAATTTTAAAATCTAAATTATTATTCATTATAATATAAGTGTCTTACAATAATCATACTAAGATTCGGTAAACTTATGTCTTACAATAATCGTTATATATATATATATATATATATATATGCAATTTTCTAGTAAACTTATAAAATAAAATTTCATGTGAAAGGGTGGGAATGGATATATATTTAATGCTACTTGCACAAATTCTTCAAGGAACACCGGCATGTTGACTCTTAGATATATATATATATATATATATATATATATATTGCATTTAAAAGTCAACTAACCAAATGGACGGAAAAGTGATCATTAAAAACGTTGATGAGATAAATGTATTTATTATTTCATTCGTGTACTTTATTTAATTTATTATATAAAGAATAATGGTGATCATTTCAAGTTAATTACTTTTCTTTCGAGGTTTGGTAGTAAGATAAACTAATCACACCTGAAACACTAAGGGGCTAAGAAATTATTATCTACGGTGACATAGACTGAAGTTTATAAAAATTGAAAATACAATTATGGAATCACTTAATAAATCAAAAGAATTATTATTAGAATTAAGCTAAAATATATATATAATTATTTGTTGACCTAACGTCTATGAACAAGACTATGGTAAAATTAAAAAAGGCTCTTATAACAAACTCAAAACTCTTGCAACAATATTTTCCGGACGTATTATTTAATTACAAGCATCATTTGTCAAGGATGGTAGAATGAATATAACATGTAATTAATTCCTCTCTTTAGTGTGCTATAAAAATTTTCAATACATTTATTCTATATTTTAATATATTTGTTTTAAATTTTAACAAATTTTCTATAAATTTAAAATGTAAAATAAATGTATTAAAAATAGATGTAAGTTCATTAAAGCACATATAAATTCATAATTTATAAAGGTTGCTTAAGTTCCACAAAAGTCCCAAGGCTGTCCACCCCTCCTATTCTCTTTAAATAAAATTGAGAAACGGTTTGTGAATGGTTGAACCATCTAAAGCATTTATTAATGTCATATTTGCCCTTAATTTTTTTGGGAGCTAATAATAACCTGATTTGTTTTAATACGACTCTCTCAACTCACTCTTTCATTCAGTCTCTTTCCATCTTTTGTTTCCCTTTCACCCCTTTTTCTCCTCACTCCCTATCATATTTCCTCTTATACTAGTATTTAAATTGCCCTTAGATGTAATAAAATACAAATCATTGTCAATACTATCAACTTAAAATAAAAAAAAATAAAAAAAATAAAAAAAATTAATCAGAATAATACAGAAAAAATGTGAAAAAAACCCATAATTATTTAGATAATATTTTTACGACAAAGATGAGGACAACAAGACATGACCTAATAGAACCTCAAAGGAAATCTCAAAGGAAATCATAAACTGTGTAGTGTTATACACTTTCTTTAGAAGTTATTCTTTCTCCGATAAAGTATAGATTTTTCTAACTTTGATAACTTTTTCTCCGGATAGAATAGACCAGTGATTCTATTGGAGTAAAAAAGGAAGCAAAAAAAAAAAAAAAAAAAAAGTATGGAAAGGAGTAATTTGATGATAGTAGAATTTTTGTGATTTAGTTGGAGTAAAAAGGAAAAACATACAAATATAGAAAGAAAAGAGATGCAAACCAGAGTGAATTTTATTTGAATGAGTCATGGAGACATCAAAAAACAGAGAGAAAAATAAGGAGATCAACTAGGATAGTTGAAGGTTAATTTTGCCATTTCATTTATAAATAAATTAAAGTAGAGTGACTGGTAAAATTTTGAAACGTCAAGAACTACTCTCAATTTTTTTTCATCTTCCTTGTTACTGTTATGCCCTCTTAACCAGTAACACGACATTCCCAGATCACCAACAACAAAATCATCTATAGAACATCTATTTAGCAAAATTATGGAAGACGCGTTGGTCACGAAAGCTACCAAGGTACCATTTAATAAATGTTTTTCATTTGAGTTTCACATTAAAACTTGTTGCTTGTATTTTGGATTAGAGAGAACCATAATGGGGCATAGTTTATTTTTCTGTTGGGGAAGATGAACCATAATATTAAGTAATAATAAACATAACGAAAAAGAAAATTAAGAAATTTTTAGAGAGTTGAAGCTTTGAGAATAGGATCTCGCGATGGTTGGTAAATAAAAAGAGAGAAAAAAAAACCTAATAAAGAGGATGTAGAAGGCTAAGATAAATAGAATTTTTTTTCTTAATTTTATTTTAGGAAAAAGAATAGAGAGGAGAGCCAATATCTATTTTTTTCATTTTTTTATACAATTTTTTTCATAATTTTATTTTAGGAAAAAAAAAGAGAGAGGAGAACCAACATCTATTTTTTTTTCATTTTTTTATATCATTTACGTATAAAAGTAGTTAATACTTGCGTGTATTATTTTTAATTAGCTATTGATATTAAATACAATTAAGTAAAAGGTTTTACTTTCTTTTTAATTAATTAATTAATTAATTAAAAGAGTGAATTTAATAATTAACTGCAATTATTTAGTAAAAAAATTATTTTTCAAAAAGTAATTATGATTACCTTAAGTATAAAAGTCCCCGCGCTAATCTCTCGATAAATTATCTCCCACGTGACAGACGATTGGTATTATTCCAATGCCGTTTAGTAATCATCTCACTTGGTTCCAAAGTCTTTTGACCCGAACACCACCACTCCAGGCGGCTAACATCGTGAAATAAATATTATAGAGTAGTCTTATCAAACAAGGGGGGGAGCAAGGGAAGAAGATAGATAGATAGAGAGAGAAATTGTGCTTTTAGAGAGAGAAAAATGGAGAAAAGGCTTACAGAAGCTGCACTGAATGGAAGTGTCGATTCACTGCTCCAACTTCTTGGAGAAGATCCACTAATTTTGGACAGAACCATCGTTTCTTGCCACTCCGAAACGCCTCTACACGTGGCCTCCATGCTCGGCCACCTCGATTTCGTCAAGGAGATACTGAGTCGAAAGCCCGAGCTCGCCACCGAGTTGGACTCACAAGGCTGTTCTCCACTCCACCTGGCATCAGCAAAAGGCCACCTCAAAATAGTCAAAGAATTGGTATCGGTAGATCCATACACGAGTACGATTCGCAACATAGATGGAAGAACAGCTCTTCATGTGGCTGCGATTAAAGGCCGAGTCGAGGTGTTGAATGAGTTGGTCCGAGTCAACCCTGAGTCGACTTGGGTGTTGACGGATCGAGGCGAGACGATTTTGCATGTGTGTGTGAAGCACAATCGGTTGGTGGAGTTGAAGTTGTTGATTCAATCGATGAAGAAAGACTTGGAGTTGTTGAATTGGAAAGATTGCGAAGGCAACACCATCTTGCATATTGCTGTGTCCAGGAAGCAAATTGAGGTATTAATCATTGCTTTTCTCTTTCTAAATCAATACCTATATCTATCTATATAGTATATATATGTATATAAAATTTGGATTAGATTGATGAGAGGATCTAAAATACTTGAACTTCTTCACAGTTTACATATACATAAATGAATTTTACTGATTTGTAATAATAATAATGCTATCGAATTTCTTTTATGGACTCTAATTTTATTAAATAAAATTAATCAATAAACAATTCAATTTTAAATTGGGGTAGGATATGAATACAAAAGGATAGATAATACATGTCTGCACTCACTAAAGAGAATAATTTAGGCTAAAATTAAGAAGAGACTTTGAACTAAATTTGATCAGATTCCAATTTCAATTCCGATTCGGAGCTCCGAAATGCAACATCAGGAAGTCCATAGTTTATGTACATTATGGTGTGCTTAAACTTGTACTGGGTGCCACAAGGTGTGTCAAGGTAGATCCACATTGTAGTAGTAGTAATTTCAGGGATTGCATATATATATATATATATATATATATATATATATATATCGAAGGCAAATAATTGAAGAAGGGTGCATATATATAAATAAATAAATAAATAAAAACCTCCATTACTTGTTGATTTTTTGTAGCTTCAAGGGACGCTAATTGTTGAATGGTAATCATTTTGTTTTGAAATGAAAGGTAAAATAGTGATATGCTGTACCAAGAGCTGAGTTCTAGGCATCTCTTTTACTTTTCAAGTAGATGGTTGAGAATTCTGGTCGCCACAAAGGGCAATTGCGAGTGCGTGCATCTTACTTGCTAAAAAAAGAGTTTATCTTAATCAGAAAGAGTATTCAGGCTTTTAGTACTCTGTATTGCTTGAAATTTCACAAAGTATAACCAAAATTTCATAATATATGTCATGGGAACACTGGCAAATCTCTTCTGAGAAACTTCTGTAATACATAACCAAAAGAATATCTTACAGTCTTTTGGCCAATTTCAATGACAAGAGTATGGAAATTCTGATAAAAGGATGCCTTTTGGGAAGCATTAAACAGCCATACTGTAGATGATCAGGATAGCTAGTTCAATGTCTTGTGGGTCAAGAATGATTTTGAAATGGATTTTGCTTCTCTGATCCTTAGTAAATTATACTACGAATCAGTTAATATAGCTTATTTTGATGAACCTAAAATTTAATCGACCAGAATTGTTTTATTTGGAAATACTGCTGGTGTGTTTGCTAAGACAAATAGACCGTCATATGATTATGAATGATATGTATATATCTCTTATAAAAGTGGTTCTTTTTTCCTCTGAACTTGTGTAATTGAAAATGGTTAAGACTTGTATGGCTTAACGCATCTCCATTCACAGCATGGTTCCTTTTAAATTGTGCAGACCTTGAAGTTTTTGCTTTCTACCAATGGAGTGGAAGTTAATGCTTTGAATGCAAACAGTTCTACTGCTTTAGATATCCTAAAACACAGTCCAAGAGATTTGAGAGATATGGAAATTGAAGATACACTTCGAGCTGCTGGAGCTTTAAGCGTACAGGATTTGCATTTGATCACGAATGACTTGACTGCAGCAAAAGTCCCTCAGATCACAAAACGACTGTCCTCGCAAGGGATATCAAAAAGACTGCCCTCGCAAGGGATATCAAAACGACTGTCCTCGCAAGGGAAAAGTTTGAAGGACCCAGTATTGCAGCATAAGCACAAGGATTGGCTTGGTAGGAAGCGGAACTCATTGATGGTGGTGGCATCACTGATAGCAACAGTGGCCTTTCAAGCTGGACTAACCCCACCAGGAGGTGTCTGGCAAGATGACTATAAAGTAGACTCCAATGGCAACCCTGTGGAGGACCCTCACTCTGCCGGCAAATCTGTGATGGCAGATACCGAGCCGCGTGTGTATGGTGTGTTCATGATTTTTAACACGATCTCATTCCTTTCATCTCTAAGCATAATTCTTCTACTTGTAAGTGGGCTACCTATAAAACGCCGGAGATGGACATGGATTCAAATGGTGACAATGTGGATAGCAATCACTGCGCTGGTAATGACTTACTTTATGGGTCTACGACACTTGTCGCCGGACGAGAAAAATGTCCAAATGACACTGCGTGAGGTTACTGAGATATCAGTCTTGACATGGTTAACGCTAATGGCCGTTGTTTTCATAGGAAATGTTATTCGCATGAATTTATGGATTCTCAGAAAGTATGGGTATATTAAAGAAAAAGAGTCACCTTTAGAGGAAATTGATGATGACCAAGATGACGAAGAAGAAATTTGAGATGAATATAAAAGGTTGCCAGCCATATTCTTCTTGTTGCAGGTTTGTCTGTATTTCTTCAACACTGTTTGCTTCACCGTATTCATATAAATTTTCTGAATGGATCCTAAATGTTATACAGAGTGTCAAAAGTAAATATTTGGCAAGTTTGGTTGTACAGAATTAGTGCGAGTTATAGATGCTATGCTTTCATTAGGCACACTGGATGAAGATTTTCTATGAGATCATTTACCTTCTTGGTTTTTTTTGCTAGGTAGGCTACACAAACAATGTAACTTTTCGATCTGTAAATTGTATAATGTATTATTTCGTTTCTGTATTACTTTTTGAATTTGATTTTTGTAGGGCCCAAAAGCTCGTTCGATCGGGTAGCATCAAAATCCACACAATTAAGATATAATATAGATTTACACGTTGTGTCAACACACTGAAATCATGTAATTAGAGACATGTTTGGGATAGTAACTATTAATTTGTAATTGTTTCACCGTCTTATAAATCAGGAGGTCATAGATTTATGGCTGGTCATATTCAAACTTTGAGCCCGTCTAGCTTCTAGAAGTAAAATGTGTAAATACTACACATTTTTGAAGTTGCATCTATACAGCTAACAAGGAGGATTTTGAGTTTTAGTTTTCTTTAATTTATTATTTATTATTTTTATTTAGTTGAATGTTGAATGTTGAATGTTGAATGGGAATTAGATAGTGACTATTGCTGCTTTGAAACAGATCCTGCTAGTCTATATATGAAGGTCAGCAGGATGGCAACCCCGCCAACCTAAAGAAGGTGCCAGAAGCTTCTAATTTGAAGCATAGTTATTTATTTTTATTTATTTTCCTGAATAATTTAAAGCATAGTTCTACTTGCAGAAGCTTCTAATTACAACGAAAGCCTCACCCATGAAATAAAATCTTCTCTTTCTTGCCTTTTAAGTACCAATATCTTCTAAACTGTCATAATTCCTTGTTCGAAAGGACTTGAGGCTCGTGGCTTTTGATTCACCACTTCTTTCCATTTCTCCTTAAATTAATTGGAGATACAGAGTAGTCATATAACCCTCTTGAATTAATCCCATATATTTACATGCATACATACATACATACATACATATATATATATATATATATATATATATAGAACACAGAGGCCATGTCATACTGCTGACATGCTAGGTGTAGTCCGGTAGAAGACAACAATGTGCTGGTTGTTCGCGGAAAGAGAAAGCACGGGAAGGGAGAAAAAGATGGTGCAAATTACCTAAGAAATGGAGCAGAGGGAGGGCAAATTCATGAGTAAGTGTTTGGGTTCGAGTCAATCCTACTGATAGACATGACTAGGGTTCTTGTGGAGAAACTGCCTCTTCCCGAGCTGAAGAATACAAAGACGACACTGAGGTTAAGATGGCTTATTAGATACCATTGCTGAAGAATGAAGACGGTGAAGTTGATAATCTGTGATAATGTCATTTCAGTGGTGTCTATGCTTACCATTGCCTTCTCTGTGTTACATGATACGGTATGTCTTGAAATTGTTGGGTTTGCCCACTTTGTCACATGCTGAATGGGTGCCCAAAAGAGCTGCGATGCCTTTTCTAGCTCTCAATCCAAATCTGCCCTTATATTGTGCATTATTTGATCACAACATTAGTCACATGATTAGATGATAGAACGCAAGCTTGGAAATGACATTTATGCGTGGATCTTACAATGTCATAGCCATTGTTCACCACAAGATGGTTGCCGATTTTTTAGAAGTTTAGTTTCATTTGGGAAAAGATATTATTATGTTAATAATATGTTGAATTAATGCAGGCAATTTCTTTTCATTTACTGCATGTGTCATGGTATCACCATTGTACTAATATTATGTCTCGAGTATCGAATTGATGCCTTAAATTTGACATATTGAAAAATTTAGTTAAAAATTTCTTCAATCTCAAATTTGAAGCGTCGATTCGATTAGTGCATATATATATTTTTTTTACAGGAGAATAACAAGCATATATGCATCTTGCTGGTTCTCTAAATCTTCACTGATCATATGGATACATGGCACACTAAATTTGTTTTTGTTAAGTACCCATTAACTATAATTCTTAACTCATGAAAGAAAAAATCATAAATATTTATATGCAACCACCTCTCTATATTAACAGCATTGAAAAGGACTAATCTTCATTGCTAATACTAGCTCAATTCATTTGTGCGAGTATTTTCTTGCTTTGTTAGTCTTCTAGATTTAATTCACGGCTTTAGGGAAAATCAATTCTATATTTTGAGAAAGCCTTTTAGAGAGAGAAAAATCAGAAAATCAAATTTGATTGTTTTGAATTTATTTATGAGAGTACACACATATATTCTATTAGGAGTTCACAATACCGCTCGAGGCAAAGGCTCGCACAAAGCCACTATTAGGGCTTTGGTGCGTTACCACTTTAGAGATTTTCCCCTTTCAAAGAAAGACCTCTCTGATGAGGGTAGGAACGGGATTCCTTCATGAAACTGGCCTAAGCTCTTGGATATGGTACTTCGGCATTTATAAAAAACAGGTAAAAGAAGTGTTTACGAATGTTCTGGCATAAAAATCCAGGAAGATGCTTCCTCTTGTCATTTTCCACTGTGATAACAGCCTATTGCTACACCCCACAAAAAATTAAACCAGTTCAATAGCTTTAAATGTACATATAATCCAACAAGAATTTCTTCGAAAAGGAAGTAGACAAAGTAAGTGTGACCAATAAAATAAATGCTTCAAATGACACAGAATCTGAAAATTCGCTTCTGCTCTGTGTGACTTATGCACCATCGTGTTCCAGACAAACCCAAGGCCTTAATTTGCACAACCATGATTGTATGGACCTAATAACCAAAGAAACATAAAACTCAAATATACATATATGTATGTGTTCATGTATATGCAATATATTTGTGAACATACATGTATGCACAAATAAAGCTCTCCAGCATGGCATATAAATATTTATAATCTTTTTCTTTAATGAGTTAAGAATTATATTTAATGAGTACTTAACAAAAACATTCTCTATATTAAACACCATTGCTAATACTAACTCAATTCATTTGTGCAAGTATTTTCTTGCTTAGATGGGTTTCAAGTTTCTACTTAGTCAAACTGACATTTATCATTCAATTGTGTGAGGTAAATACAATAACGTACACTACCCTGATACGCAAATGCTTTATATATATATATATATATATAAAATAATAATTACAAATAATATTAAGCAATCAAATGCTTTAAGTGACAACAGGGATAGTAAATTGAGCCACAAACATAATATTGTTATTGTTCACTTTTGTCCGGCCAAAGACTTTCAAGAGGTCATTCATTACTATTCCAAAATAAGTATGTTTAATTTTAAAGTTTTAATGGACTCATGACTTCAGAACTTCTTGTGTCATAAAAAGGTTTTAAACATTACATATAACACTTCATCTTTTTGTATTATAGAAGGGTGTTGAACATTACATATAACACTTCACTTTTTTCGACGATATGGAATCATGATATGATTGACATCCTATAGTCTGTCAATGTGACTATTCGTTCAATGTCTCACATTCAACTCATGAGAATCTAAAGTTGGACCTGGGTCAATTAGGGTCAATTTTTTTTTATTATTATTTATTATTATTATTATTATTATTTTTTGTTATAGTCAATTAGAAACTAGTAGTAAAAACATTGAATGGATTCATGTGAAGCCATTTTCAATTCATTGATTGAAAGTTGTAAAGTTTGGATTGTTATCGGTTTGTGAAAGAGGGAGGACCATTTCTCACATCTCCCAAGTTGATAGACAAACCACATTCTATCATTATCATGCAAGTATGAGATGTATATATTCTCTATTAATTTAAGATGTCCAATATTCATCACAAATCACCACATCTCCTAAGCTACATGAGCACCACTCGGCCCCCACCCAAAACAAAAGAAATGGAAAGAAAAAAAAGAAAAAGAATCTCACTATATATTTTTAACACACAAACATTACTCCAGGGGTAGTCCATCTTCGCTCACCTTCCGATAACAGCTCGGGACACACTTTCTCAGCATTGTTATAATTTTTACTGTGGTTGGGACACAAGCATTGTTATAATTTTTACTGTGGCGGTATATTTGTAATGTCTACAAATATATTTTGAGAAAAAATATGCAAGTTATACAGGGGCAAGTCGCTAGCATACAAAAAGGAGGAAATCAATGTCCCTTATTAAAGGGACGAACTACTATTTCCTTACTAAGAGAACTCCAACTCCCAGAATTTAGAGATTCTGGGCCTCTTTTAGCTATTGGACTGCTATATTAAAATCTCCAAAAAATAGGCCCCCATTTTTGGGTCGTAGAATGGGTTGCCAGCAAGGATGACCCAATTAGCGATTGCAGGCTTCTGACCTGCAGGCCCGACCAGTTTTTGGATTTTTAACTTTTGTGGTCCAACAACACTGTAGCCCAGAATACAGTTAAGGACGTGTTTGGTAGTGAAAAAAATTCTAAAAATCAGCTTTTTTTGCATTTTTTGGCCTTTTTTTTTTCCCTCAACATAACTGAACTAAAGAGCCGTTAAGGCACTGTTTGGCTGACACAAATAGTGCCTTAAAGGCTTTTTTAGGCTAAAAAAAGTTTTAAAAAATTAGAAAAAAGTGAATTTTTTTTTTTTAAAAAAAATTTTAATGTTCCTGTTGACATTATAGCCATTTTAGGTATTGTTTCGCTAACCCAAATAGTGTCTTAAAGGCTATATTGGCTAAGCAAATAATTTTTTTCCCTAACAAATAAAAAAAAAATTTTTATTAAAAATTTAAAAAATATTAAAATATTAATATTTTTGAAGAGTGAAAATGCACCATTAGAATACATGCGATAGCTAAAATTTGGAGACTCTAAAACGCTGATGTGGTTATGAAAAATGCTGACGTGGCTAGTGAAAAATGGTAATGTGATAAATTCGGAGAGCCTAATTTTAGAGAGTTTATTGGAAATGCTCTAAAGGAGAGTTTATAAAGATTGGGTAAAACCTTATTCTCTTAGTAAAAATGAGCTCACGGAGCTCAAATAAACTTAAATAATTACGAAGGGCGAATTCACAAAGCTCGGAAAAAAAATCATATTCCCTTAGTAAGAAAGAGTTCAAGAAAGTCACATAAATCTATTCCTTAATAAAAAGGTGAGCTCACGAAATTCAAGAAAACCTACTCTCTTATTAAAGGGCGAGTTCATGAAGTTTGGGTAAACCTACTCCCTTATTAAAAGGACGAGCTCATGAAACTCGGAGAAATATATTCCTTTTTTAAAGGGCAAGCTGAAACTCGAGAATATACTTTTTCTTTTTAAAGAGTGAACTAAGTAAAGCTCGTAAAATTTACTTTCCCTTCTTAATTGGTGAGCTAAGTATAGTGCGTAAAATATACTTCCAAATTAACGGGCAAGCTTGTGAAGATCAAAAAAATCTATTTGAAGGGCGTGCTAGCCAAGCTCAATGTACTTTATCTTACTAATGGGTGAACTAAACACAACTATTCTTCTTAGTAAGGGGTTGGGAAAGAAGCAATTGTACATACTTAGCTTGTATTAGTTAGCTTGTTTGGAAAAAGAAAAAAAAGTTGCAACCAGCTTGGAAAGAAAAAGACGGAAAAAGAAATATAAAAAATGAAAATTTTACATGGCATTCCCAATGCTCGACAAACAATAGTTCAGGAATGGAGGACAAGTAATAAGGGAAAAAGAATAACACAATTTAAATTCAAACCGAGTAGTCCAACCTAGATCGAGTCATTCATATAAAGATAATATATAATTAAAATAGAGCCAAATTCAAATGAGAATAAGAATAAGGTAATCCCTTGCCTTTTTCCAAAAATCTCTCTTCATATCCCCAAAAGTTATTAATTATGCAATATTGAAATCCAAGAACTGACTTGACCTTCGGAGGTACCAACCGACACGTCACCGGTGCTAATTTTGGTTACCATCTCTCTTCTCTTGCAGGAACGGTCATCGAATCTAGATCTTAACAAAATTATACTTCAATAATAATAATAATAATATTATTATTTTAAAAGAAATGATAGTCTCTGACCTCTGGTTCGGAATTATCTTTTCCAAACCAGCCCACTACAAATGCTCTCTATGTATCTAAGTCACCTCTTCTCCCTCCATCAAATAAAATATACACAGCCATGGCAAATACAAAGATTATGGTCGATTAGTTGCTTCTTTCCACACCATGGCCAGACAATCAAACCCTTATTGTTGTTCCAAAAACTTTGTTTTACCGTTGACTATATGTAAACAAATTACAGGTGAATGAGATATAATTCAAATAATCCTATATATGTTCTGGATGTTATTGATCTAATTACTTATTGCTTGGAGCAAAGGAGGAGTTAAGATTGGAGAGAGTTAGACTCAGTCGATTGGAGGAGTAATCTCCACCAAGTGCGCAATTACAGTGGTGTGTGTATATCTATATAATTTCAGATGATGAGTATACTAATAGCAAAATTGAAGTCTTTGAGAAGGGGACCCATATGCGTGTGTGTGTATATATATATATATATATCTTTAGAGAGGATTTATCTCTCGCTCTCTCTCTCTCTCTCTCTCTAGAGTGAGTTAAACCCATATATATATATATATATATATATATATATATCTATCAAGTGTTCAAAGTTAAACCCATCATCAGCCACACACCTCAATCACCACTCACTGGCGAACCCCTCTTCTCCGGCATACCACGACCACCTCCCAACCGTCAACTTTGTAATCGAAACTACATAAAAGTGGTGTCCATCGAAGTACCAATGCCCCAATCAACTACCACCACCATCTCCATCACCAACTACTGCGTAACGGCCTCCACTACGACACCCATCACTACCACCACCATCTTCAAGCATCCAACTTGGTGGGCTCTGAACAAACCCCTAAGTTTAATTTTATTTTTTGTGCAGTCCGACAGAACAAGTGGCGATGGTGGAATGGATTTCTCATCCTCTCTTCACACGATCGAAGGCCTCTAGAGGGTTCACTGTTGTTGATTGTTGTTGGGTTTCAAGATTTGGGGGAAAAAGCTACAGAATCCGGTGGGGAAGGGAGAGGACCATATATATATATATATATATATTTTCTTGTAACTTCCCTTTATTTATACAATAAATAATAATTATATTATATTATTTTTTGGTGAAATTATATTTTATTATGAGATTGTTGTATTATAATAGAATAATAATAAAAAGATTATTCAAATACAACTAATTAAATTTAGTTGAATAAAAATTGATATCGTCGTTACATTATCAACATTAATAACATCGTAATATAAGTTTTCAATTGAATTTGTTGAATTTTTAAAATCTAAATTATTATTTGTTATACTATAGTGTCTTACAACAATGATACAAGATGAAGATTCGGATTCCTCCCATCCCACCTCTTGACAATGCATGTATATAAAAGTCAACATGTTGGTGTTCCTTGAAGAATTTGTCCAAGTCGCATTAAATATATATTCTTTCCCACCATTTCACATGACATTTTATTTATTTATATGTTTATTAGAAAATTGCATTTAAAAGTCAACTGACCAAATGGACGGAAAAAATATCATTAAAAACGTTGATGAGATAAATGTATTTATTATTTCATTCATCTACTTTTTCTATTTGAATACATTATTTAATTTATTATATAAAGAATAATGGTGATCATTTCGTTCTTTCGAGGTTTGGTAGTAAGATAAACTAATCATACCTGAACCACTAAGGCGCTAAGAAATTATTATCTACTGTGACATAGACTGAAGTTTATAAAAATTGGAAATACAATTATGGAATCACTTAATAAATCAAAAGAATTATTATTAGAATTAAGCTAAAAATATACTCCGTATATAATTATTTGCTCACCTAACATCTACGAACAAGTCAGTGGTAAAATTAAAAACGCTCTTATCACAAACTCAAAACTCTTGTAACAATATTTTCCGGACGTATTTTTAATTACAAGCATCATTAGTCAAGGATGGTAGTATGAACATAACATGTAACTAATTCCTCTTTTTTAGTGTGCTATAAAAATTTCCAATACATTTATTTTATATTTTAATATATTTATTTTAAATTTTAACAAACCTTTTATGTGATTGAAATGTAAAATAAATATATTAAAAATAGATGTAAGTTCATTGAAGCACATATAAATTCATAATTTATAAAGGTTGCTGATATTTAAGTTTCACAAAAGTCCTATGGCTGTCCACCCTTTCTATTCTCTTAAAATGAAATTGTGAAAAGGTTTTGTGAATGGTTGAACCATCCAAAGCATTTGCCCTTAAATTTTTTGGGAGCTTATAATAACCTGATTTGTTTTAATACAACTCTCTCAACTCACCTTTCATTCTATCTCTTTTGTTTCTCTTTCACCCCTTTCTCTCCTCTCCCTACCATATTTCCTCTTCTATTAGTATTTAGATTGGCCTCATATGTATTAAAATACAAATTATTGTCAATATTATCAACTTGAAATAAAAAAGAGATTAATCAGAGTAATACAAAGAAAATATGAAAAAGAACCCATAATTATTTAGACAATATTGATGATGAAGATGAGGATAACAAGATATGATCTGATAGAACTTCAAAAGCTATAATCATAAACTATGTAATGTTACTCTCTTTAAAAGTCGTATTCTTTCTCTAATGGTTTTTTAACTTTTGTTTTCTTGTGTAGTAAAGTATAAATTTTTTCAACTTTGATAGCTTCTCCTCCGGATAGAAATAGACACACACTCGATGTTCTATTTATTTTTTTTCTTTTTCATCTATTTTCAAAATTTGACTGTAAAAAGCTACATGAACAGTATTTTGTCAGAATTATGTATATGCATATTTTCATTCATCATTGTACACAAAATAAGATAAATAAGTATTTGTAAATAGTAGGTGTTCGTGATTATGTTGGAGTAAAAAAGGGAAACATACAAAAAAAACAAAGAAAAAAAAATGGAAACCAGTAATTTGATGATAGTAGACTTTTTGTGATTTAGTTGGAGTAAAAAGGAAAAACATACAAGGATAGAAAGAAAAGAGATGCAAAATTTTATTTGAAAGAGTTCTAGAGAGATCAAAAAAGAGGGAGAAAAATGAGGAGATCAACTAGGATAGTTGAAGGCTACTTTTGTTATTTCATTTATAAATAAATTAAAGTGAAGTGTCTGATAAAATTTTGGAGTGCGAATAACAACTCTCAATTTTTTTCATCTTCCTTCTACTTATGCACATCCTCTTAACCAGCAACTAGGTAACACGACATTCCCATATCACCAACAATAAAATCATCTATAGAACACTATCATAGGAAATTATGGAAGACGCGTTGGTCACGAAAGCTACCTACCATTATTAAATGTTTTTCATTTGAGTTTCACATTAAAACTTTAATGTTGACTGTATTTTGGAACCGAGAGAACGAGAACATTATTACATTTAAAATTTTAATCAAAGAAAAATATAGTTTCCTCTATAGAGATGAGTCTTATTTTTTTCTCATATATCACCTCATTAAAATATCTGATATCGTCTATGTATGAGTCTTGTTTAATTTTTTTTAGATTCCTTCAATATAATTTATATTAAACACTTTGTATACCTAAATCATTTTAAATAAAACAATCAAAAGTTTTTTTTTTTAAACTGTGGGGTAAGAAATTTTCAGAAAGTTGAAAGTTTGAGAATAGGATCCGGCGATGCCTGGTAAATAAAAAGAGAGAAAAAAACCTGAGGAAGAAGATGGAGAAGGCTAACGTAAATAGAATTTTTTTCCTAATTTTATTTTAGGAAAATAGAAGAGAGAAGACGTTTATGGAGAGTCAATATTATTCCAATGCCGTAAGACTAACGCGTCGAAACTTCTAATCATCTAACTTGATTCCAAAGTCTCTTGACCCGAATACCACCACGGAGTACTATATAATATATTATAGAGAGAGAGAGAGTGAAATAAATATGGAGGGAGAGTAGACTTATCAAACAAGGGGGGAGCAAGGGAAGAAGATAGATAGATAGAGAGAGAAAGTGTGCTTTTAGAGAGAGAAAAATGGAGAAAAGGCTTACAGAAGCTGCACTGAATGGAAGTGTCGATTCACTGCTCCAACTTCTTGGAGAAGATCCACTAATTTTGGACAGAACCATCGTTTCTTGCCACTCCGAAACTCCCCTACACGTGGCCTCCATGCTCGGCCACCTCGATTTCGTCAAGGAGATACTGAGTCGAAAGCCTGAACTCGCCACCGAGTTGGACTCACAAGGCTGTTCGCCACTCCACCTGGCATCAGCAAAAGGCCACCTCAAAATAGTCAAAGAATTGGTATTGGTAGATCCATACACGTGTACGATTCGCAACATAGATGGAAGAACAGCTCTTCATGTGGCTGCGATTAAAGGCCGAGTCGAGGTGTTGAATGAGTTGGTCCGAGTCAACCCTGAGTCGACTTGGGTGTTGACGGATCGAGGCGAGACGATTTTGCACCTGTGTGTGAAGCACAATCGGTTGGTGGAGTTGAAGTTGTTGATTGCATCGATGAAGAAAGACTTGGAGTTGTTGAATTGGAAAGATTGCGAAGGCAACACCATCTTGCATATTGCTGTGTCCAGGAAGCAAATTGAGGTATTAATCATTGCTTTTCTCTTTCTAAATTAATACCTATATCTATCTATATAGTATATATATGTATATAAAATTTGAATTAGATTGATGAGAGGATCTAAAATACTTGAACTTCTTCACAGTTCACATATATTTTACTGATTAGTAATAATAATATTGCTAGCCGTTCAGTCTGATATACACAAAAATCTGAATTTCTTTATGGACTCTAATTTTATTAAATAAAATTAATCAATAATCAATTCAATTTTAAATTGGAGTAGGATATGAATACAAAAGGATAGATAATACATGTCTGCACTCATCAGATTCCAATTTCAATTCAAAGGCGCCGATTCGGAGCTCCAAAATGCAACATCAGTATGAATACTAGGCATATATGACTTTGTGTACAGTATGGTGTGCTTAAACTTGTAATGGGTGGCACAAGGTGTGTCAAGGTAGATCCACATTGTAGTAGTAGTAATTTCAGGGATTGCAAATGAGCCTAAAAGCAAAGAAACATGTGATGAAGATATATATATATATATATATATATATATACACATATCGAAGGCAAATAATTGAAGAAGGGTGCATATATAAAAAAATAAAATAATAAAAATCCTTCATTACTTGTTGATTTTTTGTAGCTTCAAGGGACGCTAATTGTTGAATGGTAATCATTTTGTTTTGAAATGAAAGGTAAAATAGTGATATGCTGTACCAAGAGCTGAGTTCTAGGCATCTCTTTTACTTTTCAAGTAGATGGTTGAGAATTCTGGTCGCCACAAAGGGCAATTGCGAGTGTGTGCATCTTACTTGCTAAAAAACGAGTTTATCTTAATCAGAAAGAGTATTCAGGCTTTTAGTACTCTGTATTGCTTGAAATTTCACAAAGTATAACCAAAATTTCATAATATATGTCATGGGAACACTGGCAAATCTCTTCTGAGAAACTTCTGTAATACATAACCAAAAGAATATCTTGCAGTCTTTTGGCCAATTTCAATGACAAGGGTATGGAAATTCTGATAAAAGGATGCCTTTTGGGAAGCATTAAACAGCCATACTGTAGGTGATCAGGATAGCTAGTTCAATGTCTTGTGGGTCGAGAATGATTTTGAAAATGAATTTTGCTTCTCTGATCCTTAGTAAATTATACTACGAATCAGTTAATATAGCTTATTTTGATGAACCTAAAATTTAATCGACTATTTGGAACTACTGCTGGTGTGTTTGCTAAGACAAATTGACCGTCATATGATTATGAGTGATATATATCTCTTATAAAGGTGGTTCTTTTTTCCTCTTAACTTGTGTAATTGAAAATGGTTAAGACTTGTATGGCTTAATGCATCTCCATTCACAGCATGGTTCCTTTTAAATTGTGCAGACCTCGAAGTTTTTGCTTTCTACCAATGGAGTGGAAGTTAACGCTTTGAATGCAAACAGTTCTACTGCTTTAGATATCCTAAAACACAGTCCAAGAGATTTGAGAGATATGGAAATTGAAGATACACTTCGAGCTGCTGGAGCTTTAAGCGTAAAGGATTTGCATTTGATCACGAATGACTTGACTGCAGCAAAAGTCCCTCAGATCACAAAACGACTGTCCTCGCAAGGGATATCAAAAAGACTGTCCTCGCAAGGGATATCAAAACGACTGTCCTCGCAAAGGAAAAGTTTGAAGGACCCAGTATTGCAGCATAAGCATAAGGATTGGCTTGGTAGGAAGCGGAACTCATTGATGGTGGTGGCATCACTGATAGCAACAGTGGCCTTTCAAGCTGGATTAACCCCACCAGGAGGTGTCTGGCAAGATGACTATAAAGTAGACTCCAATGGCAACCCTGTGAAGGACCCTCACTCTGCCGGGAAATCCGTGATGGCAGATACCAAGCCACGTGAGTATGGTGTGTTCATGATTTTTAACACGATCTCTTTCCTTTCATCTCTAAGCATAATTCTTCTACTAGTAAGCGGGCTACCTATAAAACGCCGGAGATGGACATGGATTCAAATGGTGACAATGTGGATAGCAATCACTGCGCTGGTAATGACTTACTTTATGGGTCTACGACACTTGTCGCCAGATGAGAAAAATGTCCAAATGACACTGCGTGAGGTTACTGAGATATCAGTCTTGACATGGTTAACGCTAATGGCCGTTGTTTTCATAGGAAATGTTATTCGCATGAATTTATGGATTCTCAGAAAGTATGGGTATATTAAACAAAAAGAGTCACCTTTAGAGGAAATTGATGATGACCAAGACGACGACGAAGAAATTTGAGATGAATATAAAGTGAGTACATTCCTCTACTATATAGGTTGCCAGCTATATTCTTCTTGTTGCAGGTTTGTCTATATTTCTTCAACACTGTTTGCTTCACCTTTTCTGAATGTGGGATCCTAAATGTTATACAGAGTGTCAAAAGTAAATATTTGGCATGTCTGGTTGTACATCAGAATTAGTGCGAGGTAGAGATGCTATGCTTTCATTAGACACGCTGGATGAAGATTTTCTATGAGATCATTTATGTTCTTGGGTTTTTTTGCTAGGTATGCTACACAAACATTGTAAGTTTTCGATCTGTAAATTCTAGAATGTATTAATTCGTTTCTGTATTACTTTTTGAATTTGATTTTTGTAGAGCCCAAAAGCTCGTTCGATAGGGTAGCTATGTTTACACGTTGTGTCAACGCACTGAAATCATGTAATTAGAGACATGTTTGGGAAAGTAAACTATTAATTTGTAATTGTTTCACCGTCTTATAAATCAGGAGGTCATAGATTTATGGCTGGTCATATTAAAACTTTGAGCCAGTCTAGCTTCTAGAAGGAAAATGTGAAGTATTTTAAAAAAGTATTCTTACATCTGGGGTCAAAATTTTGCTTTGAACCTGCATCTGTGCAGCTAACAAGGAGGATTTTGAGTTTAATTTTCTTTTATTTATTATTTTTATTTAGTTGAATGGGGATTAAACAGTTGGTCTTGCTGCTTTGAAAGATCCTGCTAGTCTATATATGAAGGTCAGCAGGATGGCAGCCCCGCCAACCTAAAGAAGGTGCCAGAAGCTTCTAATTCGAAGCGTAGTTATTTATTTTAATTTTTTTCCCTGAGTAATTTAAAGTATAGTTCTACATGCAGAAGCTTCTAATCACAATGAAAGCCTCACCCATGAAATAAAATCTACTCTCTTGCCTTTAAGTAGCAATATCTTCTAAACTGTCATATTTACTTGTTTGAAAGGACTTAAGGCTCATGGCTTTTGATTCACCACTTCTTTCCATCTCTCCTTAAATTGATTGGAGATACATATATATATATATATATATATATATCGAACACAGAGGCCATGTCGTACTGCTTATTGACATGCTAGGTGTGGTCCATGTCGTACTGCTTATTGACATGCTAGGTGTAGTCCTGTAGAACACAACAATGTGCTATTGTTCGCAGAAACAGAAAGCACGGGAAGGGAGAAAAAGACGGTGCAAATTACCTGAGAAATGGAGCAGAGGGGAAGGAAGAAAAAGATGGTGCAAATTACCTGAGAAATGGAGCAGAGGGAGGGCAAATTCATGAGCAAGTGTTTGGGTTCGAATGAATTATACAACTGATAAAATGTCTTGTATTTGCCAGTATGACACGAGTAGGGTTCTTGTGGAGAAACTGCCTATTGCGGAGCTGAAGAATACGAAGACCACACCGAGGTTAAGATGGCTTATTAGATACCATTGCTGAAGAATGAAGACAGTGAAGTTGATAATCTGTGATAATGTCATTTCAGTGGTGTCTACGCTTACCGTTGCCCAACCCAGCCTAGTCCCAACCCAACCTCAACCCGAAATCGGGTTGGGTTGGACCAACTCGAATTCTATCCAAAATGAGTTATGTCTATAACTCGGTCCAAGAATTTTGGACAGGTCAAACGCATTTCACGGGTCAATTTTTTTAATCTATTTTTTTTTTTAATGAGTTAATATCTTAAGCAAAGAGGATGAAGTATTATACATCATTTAAAGGTTAATATGTATTTATGAGAAGCAACTAGGAGTTAATTCTTTGGGCTCACTATAAAATTTTGATTTGGGTCTAAGAAGGAAGTACAAATTTAATGGAGGTAATAGTTTAAGGGAAAAATAAATATAAAATAATAAAATAATAAAAAGAAAAAATAAAAATTGGGGATTCTGCTATTGTTTGGGGTATAATAATATAAGAAAATAAATCTTTTAAAATGTGATAATTTAAGAAAATAATTTTTTTTTTTTGGGGATTCTGATATTGTTTGGGATCTAATAATTATAAGGAAATAAAAATTTTAAGAAAGTAACAATATATAAATAATATATAAAGAAGTCTTATGTTACTTCGGCTGAAATTTTCGGATCTCATTTTTCCAAGGTGCATAAGAATATGCAAGTTTAGAAAGAACTAAATTCATAAATTAAGGGACTATTAAAGAACTAAGAAAAAAATGAAGGGAAAAAGAAAAGAACAGAGAGAAAGAGAGATAGAAAGGAGATAGAAAATTCAATCCAATTCGAGTTCGATTTATGAATTTAAAAACTCAAATTACAAAATTTTTGGGCTAGGTTTGGGTTGGGCTGGGTTAGCCTGCCCAACTCGCACTATGAATATACAGTATGTCTTGAAATTGTTGGACTTGCCCACACTTCGTCACATACTGAATTGGTGCCCGAAAGAGCTGCGATGCCTTTTCTAGCTCTCAATCCAAATCTGTCATTATATTGTTCATTATTTGATCACTACATTAGTCACATGATTAGAGGATAGAACACAAGCTTGGAAATGAAATTTATTGCTTGAAACTTACAATGTGATAACCAGTTAACCATTTTCACCACAAGATGGTAGCTGATTTTTTAGAAGTTTCATTTAGGCAAAAATAGTTTTCCGTATATATATATATATATATAATGTTAATAATATGTTGATTTAATGCAGGCAATTTCGTGCATGTGTCATGGTATCACCATTGTACTAATATTATGTTTGGGAAAACCGAATTAATACCTTAGATTTGACATATAAAAAATTTTAGCTCAAAATTTCTTCAGTCTCAAATTTAAAGTGTGGATTAGTGAAGCTAAACATAGCATATACAAGCATATATGCATCTTGCTAGTTCTATAAATCTTCAGTGATCATATAGCTGCATGGCACACTAAATGTGTTTTAGTTAAGTATTTATTGAAGAAAATGATTAATTTCACTCACACCCCTCCTTAAATTTGACCAAATATTATTCTCTTAAATTTGACCAAATATTATTCTCAAACATTTTTTTAAAAATAACAATCATATTTGACTTTTCGTTAAAAGTTTCTTTTAAATACATAGAAAAAGACAACTTTACCCTTAATTTTTTAATCTCTTTTATTTCAAAATATCGCAGTACCTAAATGACCATTATACCCCACACCCACCAACCAACCAACCAGACATAGCAACAGAGATGAGCAATTGAAGATGTGTGTTTCTGCCGACTCGGGTTTCAACAGGAACAGAAAGAGACGGAGGCGAAACAACTTTTGGGCGGAAGCGATCGAGATTGGCCGTTGAGATTTGATAAGGGGTTTTGGAGAGAACGAGGCTGTTGAAAAACCAGTCGGTGCTCAAAGTCTTCTTTTTGAAAGTCAGCTGGGGTCAACTGGTCCCATGGAAGAGGGAATGGCAAGAAAACGAATGACACTGACAAAAGCGGTACGGGGTCGACGCAAGCAATCTTTGCATCAGATATATTCAGAGACAAGATTGTAAACCATCATAACGTTATCATCTTCTCGATTGCAGAGACCCAATTTGAGGAGGCCGAGAGAAAACAGAGGCTTTGGCGGTGGAGAGTTGCAGATTCCGGTGACAAGTTGAGGAGCCAATCCTCTGATGGGTGTTGGGTTGGGATTGGTATTGTGTGGGTGGTGGCGGCGACGATTGGTGATGTGTTGGGACTGTGTGGCGGCGACGACAGCGATGGCGGATGTCTGTGTGGGTGGTGGCGGCGGATGTCTCTGTGTGTGTATATATATATATATATGTCTCTGTGTGTAATGTGTTTGCAGTGCCTATGCTCTGTGGCTCTTTGTGACGAATTGAATGAGTCTGCTGTGATTCCATAAATACTTAAGATTCCAAGAATAGGGCAAATTAAATTTGATGGACCTCTTTCTACCACTGGCTTACTCGACGAGCTCCCCTCTATCTTAATAACATTAGAAGCTTAAAACATTCTTCTTTGATTTGACATTTAGAAACAGTTCTGCGAGATATATATATATATATATATATAGATATATATATATATATATATGTCTGTGTATACCATAATGTGACTTCTTTGATTTTCCACTGACGTCTACCCCAATTCCTATTAAAAAAGAACTCAAAAATCATACCAAAATGAGTTTTCAGATCTTTTTTTTTAATTTTTTTAATTTTTTATTTTCCTGAATGGGAGATCTTTCCTTTCTATTGACATCACACCGAGTATTCACATATAGAAATAGAATTGGATTTCCTTCCCCGCTAGCTTGTTGAAATTGGATACTAAAAAGCTCCCATTTCGGGCTCTATTTGCTCTTCTTTTTGCTCTCATCTGTGGCACCGATTCTCTTTCCAAAAGTCAGATTTGGTTTCTGTTCCAGTGCACCTTAGTTTCTCAATGGAAAAAGAATCAACAGACACATCAAAATGGCTTAATTTGTAAATTTACAACTTTCTTGGTGTATTTTAGTATTTTAATTTAATTATTTATGCTAAAGGGTTGGTTTGATAAATTCAAAGGATGATTAAGTCATTTTACATCGTGTCAGAACTGTTCAACTAACGGTTGAGGTGTTATTAAAAAACGGAGCAAGCAAAAATTTGTGATGTGAGTGATAGTTATTTTGAAATATGTTTGAAGATGATATTTAATCAAACGTAATGACTATCAATGAAATTAACCCTAAAGAAAAATATTATAAATATTTAAATGCAACCACCTCTCTATATTAACACCATTGAAAAGGACTAACGTTCATTGCTAATACTGACTCAATTCATTTATGCGAGTATTTTCTTGCTTAGATGGGTTTCAAGTTTCTACTTAGTCAAACTGACATTTATCATTCAATTGTGTGAGATAAATTCAATAATCACATTACACTGAAATGCAAATGCTTTACCATTTCTTAAAGGAGAGTCTTGTTGCTCATGGCTAGCTGTGTTTTTTTCTTATTATTATTTATAAAAAAATAATAACTATAAATCAACGGGTAGTAGCCTGACGGTATTAACTTCTTACTTCTTAAAAATAGATCCAAGGTTTATGTTTCAAAAGAGACATGTACGTGTGAATACTAATTAAAAAAATAATAATAATAATTACAAATAATATTAAGCAATCAAATGCTTTAAACGACAACCGGATAACTTTTGCATATTTTAAAATTTTAATGGACTCGTAACTTTAAAACTGGTTGTGTTATAAAAAGTTGTTCATCATTACATATAATAGTTGACCTTTTAAAATAATATGCCGGTAATGATACAATTGACATCTTATAACCTGTCAATGTGATAATTCGTTGAATATCTCACTTCCGCTCACAGATATTTCGTCTCAACCCGTGTGAGCCCAATGTTCGACCTGGGTCAGTCAAATTTTTTTTTTGGTTACAGTAGTCAATTGGAAACTAGTAGTAAAAACATTGAATGGATTGAAGTGAAGCCATTTTCAATTCATTGCTTGAAAGTCGTAAAGTCTGGGTTGTCATCGGGTTTGTGAAAGATGGAGGACCAATTCTCACATTTCCCAAGTTGGCTACAATATCACCGCTTAAAAGTTTAAATGCAGCCTTATTGAAGTGCGGAAACTACATCATCCATAAGGCAATAATCACGTGTACTCCAGTATACCAATCAATTTGTGGGCTGGCTACCATAATACACTCGTACTACTACTATTAATTATGACAAAAAGTTACAATTTATTTTTTAATTTTTTTTATAAATTACTACATTCAAACAAAAAAATTTCTCTCTCAGATTTGCTGCCAAAAAAAATTGAATCTTATAACAAATCCCTCTAAGTTATGATCAAGAATTACTTTATCAACGGCCTGTACTTTAGAGATCATTGATAATACTTTTTTTAAAATCTCCAAGAATTAAGGAATTAGATAGGATATAGAGGATTAATATTTATAAATTTCATTGTCTAACATGAAATACTTGTACAAATAAAAATACAAAATAAATAAAAAATATAAAAATAATAATAATAAGAAAAAGATGCAGGGTCATTCCAACATTGAACAAGGAGACCATGATTTTGGTCTCTTGTAGCTTACTCATTATATACAATAATCTTGTATCAAAATTCATTTAGAATAAGTCACGTACTTTATTTAATTTTTTACCAAATCTCTATATTTTGACCCAATTTAGCTAAATCCAACTCTCATCTTTGACCAACTTTTATGTTATTATTTTAAAATATTTTGGTCTTTTAATATGAACAAATCGATGACATGCTTCTAATATTAGTTTATTTTGTGTCCAAAATGTGATAATTTAAATTCAATACCTATTATTAAGCTTGTTAACAAATTAGATTGGCTAAATTCACATTTGATTTATTTAGTTAATGGAGGATCAGATTCAGATCACTAACTAGTTACTGAATTGAATGTTTTAATTTATATTCTAATTATTTCGGATTTGAATCTCAAGTTATAAGATTAGTTGGATTAGAAAGTTGTAAATATATATAGGATGACCAATGATATTGAGGTATTTTCTCACCTTACTAGTGAGACTAATCAGTAATTCACTTCAGGACATACACAGCACCCCACAAATCCCGTGCATTATAAATTATAACAATATACATATATATATATATATATAATTTTAATTGGATCACTGTCAAATCGTTCATACCCAAATTATTTAAATAACGAGTTATTAGATTCAAATTTTTACCGAATTATTGAATTTTTTTATTCAAATTATATCTGAGTGATCGGATATAGATTAGATACCAATGAAAACTTGATCCATTGAAAAGTTTACCTATAATTTCAAGAAGATTGGAATCTCACTGCATGCATGAAGTGTTTAAAAAGGCCGGTATTAAAATATATATATATATATATATATATATATATATATATAATCAGAATCTACGAATTCCATGCAATGAGAATCCTCACCGCCACAAAAAGGATCAACCAAATTAGTAGTCTAGAATATATATACTATTGGTGGTGGGCCATTTTGGTACCAAATGAAGCCAAATAGGCATTCTTTATTTCCGATTTTTACTTGATCTAACGGTTCTAATTGCTCCATCAATAACGTTATTAGTTAGTTGTAAGGTCAGCCATTTTTATCATCTTCATTCCATTAACTACGAATCAACAAGTACGTGAAACAATTAACTAAAATGGTGCATAACAACAGTTTATCAATATCAGTAGCGGCCTTTCTTATTTGGCTTATGCGTGGTCTTCATTTCAAGTACTAATTAAATAGGACCAAATATATATCTCTCTCTATATATATATACACACACATATATAATTTTACTTGAAAACAGTTAGAAACAATACGTGTGTGCACAAATATCAAGTCGTGACGCGTACTACTCTAACGTGTAAGGTGCACTATGAATACCGTGTACCATGGAACAATTATACTCCGTATTAACAAATATATATATATATATATATATCAATCAATTACTCCAGAGAACCAAATTCAAGATTTGGGGTTAATGTCAGCCTTGTCAGGATTAGAATCATATCATCATAAAAATCAATAGAAGTTTTTGAAGCCATCAATTATTTTAAACATACATACATACATAAGCACTTGCAGTTGTTTTCCCATACGCATATTCGAAGCAAAACGCCCATCTCCTTGCCTCATCTCTCTCTCTCTCTATCTTTGCTATCTATCTGTTTTTACTTTTGGAACCAGGAAAATGTCGAGTAACGAAGAGACAATGGATGATGCAAATGGGGATTCGTTCGAGAAGGTGAAACAGAGGCTCAAAGATCGATCGAAGGTATGATTGATCTATAGGGTTTCTGATTTTTATTGATTTTGAAGTTCTTAATCATGCTGATTGTTTGTTCGTATTTGGGTGTGTTTGGTTTTCTAGAAAGTGGTTCAGACAAAGGAGATTTTATCGAAACAAGCAGTTCAAACGAAGGAGATCTTATCCAAACAAGCTGTTAAGATCGCTAAGCAGGCCGAAGAACACGAACGATTTATCAACAAGGTGTGTCTATATATGCACAAATATACACTTTTTCATGTTATATACGTTATTAAGCAAGTGGGTTTTGCTATGGATTCATTCAATGAATACCATCGTGTTCGTATTATGTTTTGATCAGTTGGGTCGCAATTGATATTGGTTTTTCAATCTCTACTCATTGAATCTCATGCTGTTTATAGGTGACTCATCTGTTGGGTGTTCTTGGCTTCGGGGCTTTTTGCTTTCTTTTGGGTGCCAGTGAGCACAATACTCTGTTCCATAAATTCAATTTGTAGTTAATAATTTGTTGTAATTGTTTGTTGATTGGTTTGGTTGATTTTCATTTCTTTAGGACCACAAGACATTCCCTATGTATACTGTTTCTTCTATGTCACCTTTGTTCCTCTTCGATGGATTTATTACCGGTTCAAGAAGTTGCATTATTATCTTTTGGTAAGCTCTGACTCACCTTAACAATTTGTTATCTTGGCTAGGTTCACATATCTTTCTGTTTGTGAATTCTGATCACTTATAATATCCTTCACTTTTCAGTCATTGGACTTCAGTTGCTAGTACTGAAATCTGTTGTCTATGTCGATGATTTTGCTTCACAAGCAGACATGAGATTCCCATTTTTAAGTCTTTATTCCACTTCATGTAGTATATACCATATAGGCCTCTCCCTCTCCCTCTCTCTCTTAGGTTTAGATTGATGGTGTATTTCATTGACAAAGTAAAGATGAATTTGGTACTTAGAAAGAAAGAGGGATAATGTGATCTTTTTGGAGAAATTGCATCCTACAGGATCGGTCATGTTTCCAACTATTTGCTATATTCTTTGTGTACATATAGGGCATAGAACAAATTTTGGTTTGCTACATTCTATTTGCCCAGTTGCATGCTGGGTGGAAATTCTCTTCACCAGTTACTGCTGTAGCTTTTAGCGAGTCATTTGTTTTTTAAATGTTTCTTTTCCCTGAATTTTAAGATTTATTAGTTTTACTGTAAGTGTTTTCCTTTGTGGTTTTAGAATTTTATTTCCCTTGAAGTGTTCAATGACAATGATTCAAACTCCCGACTTTCTGGTTTTCTTTTAGTCATTTAAAGATGAGAAATGAAAAAATGACTCGGTTGGTATCATATCGTGCAGGACTTTTGTTACTATGCCAATACGATCTTCTTGGTCGTGCTTCTATTCTATCCAAAAAATGAGAAGCTTTTCATGGTTTCCTTCTCATTTGCAGAGGTCAGCAAATAGTTTTGAGTTACACTTGAACCACCTTGATGACAGTACAGTTCATTTCCTTTATGCTCTGACTTTGTTGAATATGGATGCAGGGGCCATTAGCATGGGCACTGATTATTTGGCGTTGTAGCTTAGTTTTTAATTCTGTTGACAAAATTGTAAGCGTCCTCATACATCTTTTACCAGGTGAGTTGGACTCTCTTTATTATTTTTTATTTTATATATATATATTTTTTAAAGGGTCTGGTGCACTGCTGCTGGTAACATATCTAGACTTAAAACTTGACAAGGAAGGTAATCTCTACTGGTGGAAAAAATAACTGTAGTTCATTACTTGTTACTAGGGGTGGCAATTTGTGTTTGCGGGTCGTAATTGTGTCGTGTCAACTTAAAGGTATTATACTAAACAGTTCAAACCGAACACGACTCATTTAATAATCGTGTCAAGAACTCTCAACACTAACACGACCTGTTTATTAAATGGGTTACACGTGTAACCCGTTTAATGACTTATTTACAAAAAAAAATATATATCTATTATTTAAATTATTAATAATACTCAATAAAATAATAAATACTAAAAGAAATATAAGTTTTAATCAACCAAATTACTAAATAGTTTATAGTTTACAAACGATTAAATTATAAGACACTAAGTTTATATAGTAATTTTAGAACTTAAACAGAAATTTATTTATGACATATATAGTTAAACGTGTATAAACGGGTTATACGGGTTGAACCCCTCAACCCAAACACGACACAATTAACTAAACTGGTTAATCATGCCAACCCGTTTATGACCCGAACCCGTTTAAGGTCAACTCAAACCCATTTAACTCGTGTCGTGTTCGAGTCGTGTCGGCGGGTCATGTCAACTTTTGCCACCCCTACTTGTTACCCACTCACCTCACTACGTTGAATTTATTTACTTTTGATTGACTCTTGGCCTCTTTGGTAATTCATAATTGATGCACTTTCTTCATGTCAACTTCGATTTCCTGATCAGATCTGCAGTTTCTCGTGTTTAGAATTGAGAACAAATATGAAATGTTCTTTCTATTTCTTAATTGTGATTAGAGTTGTATGATGCTTTAGTTATTTAGCAATTATCATGTTTTGCCTTTTCAATTGCTGGTTAGTAAAGAAGTGAAACAACATTTATTATCTCACTTAATTACTTCCATAAGAAGCTTCATATTTGGGTTGACCCTTTCAAGCTTTTTGATTGCTGAACCAAAGACGGTTCTTTGCAAGGAAGGAGCTTATTGCTATGATTTGGGGAAGATGGAAACTCTCTAATTAGGACACATGACAGCACACAATTTGAAATTATTTTTTCTGTGTTTCTCTCTTCCTCCTATATTTGGGGGACAAAAAGAAAACTTTATAAAATGTCACAGCCCCTCTTCTAGGAATAGAAGAAAATCATGGGGAAGAACATGAAGAAACAAGGAGGAGAGGCCAGAGAGAGAAAAGGAGGGAGGAGTGGGGGGAGAGATGGAGAGAGAGAAAGACATATTGCTAAACAAGGGGCTGCTGAGGAGAGAAAGTCCTACGAGGCTATGTTACATGGACTCGGGTATGGGTGTCGGACACGTGTATGTATCCATGTGTCGGACTTGTTAAATCTCCAAACAGAAAGACATACGGACACGACTAAATATTCATTTTAGTAATTATTTTATTTTATTTTCTAGAGTAAAGAAATGTTTTTATCTCATATAATGTTCAATATAGGCGTTTAACTCTTTTAAAAGTAATAATATAATGTAATTAAATGATTGGATATATTTTTTAAGTACATGTCTAACCAAAAGTGTCGGACACATATTCCATACCCATGTCCGAGGGATATGTGTTCGACACGGGTACTTCATTACTTTTGAAGAGTCCATGTAATGGAGCTACGAGGTGGCTATCACATGGAATATGTATTTAGAGAATGGACATTCGCGGATGATGTCAACTGACTCCACAGTAATTTTACCTCAAGTCAAGCTCAAAGTGTCTACAATGATATGGGGAATGGGTGCAGTGTCATGTAGGATGCTTCACTGGTTTACACTTGTCGAGGTGGACCCCTTTGTTGTGATGCCTTGTGTAATATTCCCTTACTACTATTGCTTCACGAGATTAAGGTTACAAAACTCGTTTCACATGGATTAGTAGTGGTTAAAATGAAACTCCTTCAGTCATCAACTTGCAGAATTTGACCAACTGTAATTTAGTTAGCATAATGAGAAAATTCGATAACTAGGGAAAAAAATGAGAAAATTCGATTAGTCTATGCCTGTAAATTTGCAAGTTTTCGGGTGATTTTCTTTTTGGACGAATCAGAGTTCCTATGATTGTCAAAATATTAGCTAAGGACCACCAAATTCTTTTAAATGTTAAATCTAACTTACTGGATACAACTTTTACTGGATATTTCTGAATTCCATGTATACTTTGCCTCTTGCAGTCTAACATAGTTGGTCAATTACCAACAGAATGTGGCATCTAACAAAACAAAATTTTCAGGGTTAGTTTTCTTCACAATTCGATGGTGGGATCCAACATTCTTTGAAGCCATGCATCCTCAGGGATCGTCTATAAGAGCTTCATGGCCTTACGTAGAAAGCAAATCTTACTTGTGGACATGGCTTTTTCTAGTTCCCTTGGTTGCTTACAGTCTCTGGCAGGCGCTCTATTTTCTCATTGTAAACGTTCTCCGTCGACAGCGGCTGTTAAGAGATCCTGAAGTCATGACTTCATACAGGTTCTCAATTTATTCATTGTTGAACTTTCGAACAATAGACAAACTATTATTTTGACGTGACTTGTCCGGAGGAATTTTTTTATTTCTACTTCCTTTTTATTTATTTATTTATTTTCAATTTTATTGTTAGTTATTATAATACATTCTTGGTTTGATAGGGAACTGTCAAAAAAAGCACAAAAAGCAAACAACATATGGTGGCGTTTAAGTGGCTTGCTTGGGGATCAGAATCGCCTCGTTATGTTTATCCTGCTCCAAGGCCTATTTACAGTGGCAACCATGGCACTTACAGTCCCCATATTCTTGTCCTATGAATTACATGTTATTTTTCAAATACTGAAGGTCTCAGCAGCTGTGTGGAATGGAGGAAGCTTTTTACTAGAAGTGATGCCAAGGCAGGTGATTCTCAAGGAGAAGAAGAAATCAGAGATGCAGCCTGTGCAACCTCAGCAAGATCAGTGCTTCGTGGCACAGGAAAACTCAGTGAACGCATCTGTTGAGATGGCCCAATCCTAGCAGCTGTTTACAAAGAATACCTTGTAAAACTCTTGTTTCATATGTCCTGAGAGGGAACTTGTTGGTTGATTTGTTTTGTGGTGGTTGTGGTGGTTTTACAAATTGCTGGTTCATTTAGAGGGTCTTAACTTGTAATTTAAGCATAAAGAGATGTTAAACTGTAGTCTTATTTGCAATTTGTTTCTGACCTCATATAAAAATTTAGAAATTTTGAGTTCAGTATCTGATTTTGATGGTAATGATAAAAAAAACAGGAAATGGAATGGTTTGGTGTGTTAGAATAAGATGGTTTTGTTATTTATTTGTATGTAGGCAAGGTTGCTTGCATTATTTCTAGAGAAAATACGTCATGGATATTTTGTAATGAATTGTTTATCACTTTGTGTTCAATCAGGTACATAATATATGTTGTGCATATAGCGAAATAGGTTTATTGAGTTGGAAATCCATATGGTGGCCATATGACATTTATGACATATTATCCAGATATTTCTTTTACTTTGAAACCAGGTTTTTATATTTCCTGATACCAGGGGTTAAATTGTTCTTTTATAGACTCCAAATGTGAGCAGTAGCCTTGTGCCTGCTGAATGGCATAAAGAAGTCCTTACCAAAAGTAATATAGCAGAGAGGAGTTAGAGAGTAGCAGTCATATTGCAATCATCATATGCTCAACTCATTCTCTCATGTTGCTACCAGATTCAAAGAACTCTTGTCCTGGGAACATTATGCATCCATAAATATTGTGGTGGTGGTATGTGCGCAGATGAAGTCCAATAAGGATTTGTTGTAGGCTTGGAGTCGCAACTTTCTTCCAAAATGTTGAGACAAGGATGACAGGTTGCAGCTCAAGCATTCTGCCCTCTCCCACTGCTCAAAGTGTAAGCCTCTAACTCTTCTTCCCTTTGACTGTCTTCTTATGCATGTAAATTGTTTGTTTGTTGCTAGATTAGTGGATTGTAATTAATTGCATAACTGTGCTTGAAGTAAAGATGATTGCATAGTTGCACTGAACTTTGAAAAAACTGATCTTTGGAAATGTTTGCGTCCAGTGGTTAGATGGCCATCAGCTCTTGCATGAATAAAGACAATGTTTCAATTCACTTCTTTTAGTTTTTAACCAATTACCGCGTCACTTTTGCCTTTACTAAAGGTATTCCCCATTCAGTGAGGTGCGTTCATTACCATAGCCAAGTGGTTCATCAAAGAGAGTCAGTTTGTTGCTAGCCGAGTAAGGTAGGTTATAAGAAAAAGCCTTTAGATAAGCGTCATTTTAAGTTCGTTCTGGTAGTTCTGGTAGTCGAGGGAGGTAGGTTCTGTACTCCAGGTCAAGTGCTTTAGATATGAGTCATTTTAAGGATTTCAATATAAGATGCAAAGACAAGGCTGCATCGCCAGAAGTTAGAAAATTACGTGCGCACAATTTTAGGTCCACCTCACTGATTACTCTAACACGCATTAGACTCAATGTAAACGACCACAAAATCTTCCCCTGCAATCCCTCGAGTAAGCATCTTCATGGATGTTGTTTTAAGACAAATGGGCTGTTGATGGCACCATTTAGGCTCCATTTGTTAACTCACCAACATTTGCTTGGATTCAACTTAACCTATGGAGTTTTGTGGCTAAGAGCCGTGTGGTATATGTGGATAGTAATAAGCTGAGTAATTTATCAGGTACCAAGTGTTTGGGGTTTGAACATGTGAAGTGGTTCTTGTGAACTACTTGATCATATGGGTAACTTATGCTATGAGATTGCAATGGTTTATAGTGCATATTGGTGTGTGAATGACACAGATGCTATGGTCATGAAGGCGACTTTCATTACTAGTTTAGGGTCGAATGGCTAGTTGACTCGAGGTGCATTACATGGACCTGAAACAAGATATAGACCGGGGCAAAGCCAATACTAGCACATAGTTGGAGTTGTGGCATTAAGGTGCATAGAGGTGTGACAAGAATAATTTGAAAAATGACTGTAAATTAGTCCATGAGAGTTTGATTGGGACCAGAAAATATTATCAAACCTCTAATTCAAATCCCAACATCTTTTTTAGATTTGAAATTTGAACACAAAGTTTGAGTAAACAATGTACTTGAGGATAAAGTGTTCTACTTTACAACTAATAAATAATTTGAACAAGATATGGCTTTCATTTATGTGATTAAATAACCTATAAATCTATAATGTAACTTTAAAAGCATTTAAATTGCAACAAGTGATGGCTAGGGGAAAACATGTTAGGTGGCTTAGGCCCTTCAGATTATGACATAATAGTCCCATGGTAGGGAATTTGCCAAACACCGCCCATTGTTTATATGGCTATATTTATTATGGTTTCAATGAGCTATTGGATTTGGTGCTTGTATGTTACGCCTTTAATGAAGTTAGATACTGACTCCCCTATCAAAATCATCCATTTAATCTTGTAAACATCAAGTAGACAATGTATTTATCCATGTCAATCTCATCGTTTGGCCCCTTTTATATCAGTTTCAAGTTAGTTGGATCTCTCGTTCTAATTTCTATTGTAAATCTATATTTTAGAGTAATTTTATCTCTCGTGACAAGAGTCACGGCCTCTTTATATGTTGACTACTAGATTATAGCAGTTTTTTAAGTCGGTACAAAATTAAACAAATTACTAAATCTCAATCTAATAGTTAATAATGAGAGCTCATGAACCCAACCCAACCACACGCGTGCGCTGTTTTCATTGTCGATTGCTCATTTTGCTTTGATGTTAAGGTCTAAAACCACCAAACCAGAGCTGAGAGAGTGAAAAGATAATATGACACAACTGAAATTCAGATACAGAAAGTGCATTTACATACCACAACAATAAGAATTTATTTCAGCCATCAAACAATTCAACCCTGAAATGTAAACTCGCTTCTTCCACAGCTTGAAAGGGCTCAAAGAGGAGACCAAAAAAACCCACTTAGAGCCCAATCTCTCATTAACATTCTATACATAACCTATCACAATTCACATATCAAACAAACAATTCAAACCTGAAATCCAAGCTCACAATCCTCTATGTGTGAAAAGGGCTCAAATAGGAACCAAAAACACTATAAGAGCCCAATCCCAATCACATTCTGCATGCACCTATATATATATATATATATATATATTGTATATCAATATGTAGATGAATTAATTAATGTGTGTGTAAGTGAAAAGAAGTTCAGCTCGGCAATTATAGCCAACTTCACATGTGACTATGTTTTGGGCCTAAAACTGGGCCTGAGCCCATCTTTTGCCTTTCTCTCGCTGAATTCATCTTCTCCAATCTCCATTCATCTCTGAGTCTAGCAATGAAGGTATCCGCCTTTGTGTTCACGTCTGGGCTGGGACAGAATGCTGAGCCCATTGCATCTCCACCGTTGATAGTATCTGATGATTCATTCGTTGATGGGAGATCAACGTCTTCTAAATCCGGAGAACTACAACGTGAGCTGTGAGTACTCCGTATCCTAACAAAATCACCGCGAGCTACGAACTTCGGCTGAGACATTCTGAACGGTGGAGGCGGCGGCGGTGGCGGCATTGGAGGCATTGGAATGAGCGGCGACTGTCCTCCGCTGTTCACATTCTCGTCTCTGTCGTAGTAGTAGCTGCCCACCTTCCTCGGTAACGGTGGCCGGCCGGTGGCAACTGGATTTCTCGGCCTCGGAGAGTCAGGTACTGGTGGTGGTGGAGCCGATGGAGGTGGATTCTGAGTCTTCCGTCTGGATGACCGTGAAATTGTTGAATTTGCCGGCGGTGGTGGCGGTGGCGGTGGAGGTGGTGTAGTCGCTGAATGGAATCGCATGCTTTTGCTACCGTTTCGGAATATGTTGTTGAAGACCGACGAAGGTGGAGGTGGTGGGGGTGGAGGAGGCGGAGTGGATACTGAATGAAATCTCTTACTTTTGCTTCCGTTTTTGAATAGATTATTGAAGACTGAACGAGGAGGAGGTGGCGGCGGCGGTGGCGCCGGAGGTGGAGGGGAAACGGAATGAACTCGCTTACTCTTGCTTCCTTTTCTGAACAGATTATGGAAGACAGAAGGAGGAGGAGGTGGCGGCGGCGGCGGTGGCGGCGATGGTGGTATTGAATTTGTATGAGGTGGAGAGTGATTGGCATTATCGTAAATGTTCCTCGTTCTATGCTTCTTCCTTTGCTTCTTATGATTATACAAATACAAGGAAGCTATAGCTATAGCCGTCGCTATATCCTTCTTAGCCGAACTCTTTTTCCGATCACTTCTTCTGAAATTCTCTTCAGGTCGATGCGACATTACCGGTGGCGGGGGGGGTGGCGGCGAAGGAGGCGATCGGCTTTTATTGAACTCACCCTCACTGTTTTGCTTAACTACCTTGTCCTTGTGTGGAACACTTTGAAACGATCGTCTCCGTTTCAAATTCGCCGGTGGCGGAGGAGGCGGAGGTGGAGGCGCCAGCGATGGCGATTTCGGTGGTGGAGGCACCGCTGAAGACGATCGAACTACAAACGTATCCACCGGAATAATCTTCTCGTCAGAATCATCTATCTCCGGTTCACTTCGCCGTGCACGACGGCGAACATTATCCGACGAATTCGATCTATACATTTCATAATCATCGGAAAACCGAAACCTCCTATCACCGGTTTCCCACAACGATTCTTGCCTCAGATCCGGGTACGAGCTGGAGCTCCGCCTCAACCGGCTAACACCGGTCGTCGGTGTCGCAATCGGAGGATGATTAGACTCCTTGGGTGGTTCAGAATACTCGAACCATTGACTCGAAGCTGACTGATGCGATTTATTGGTAAACGAAACATTAGTGTTGTCTTCGTCGGTGGTGGTTGATCCGTCGTCGTTTCTCCTAGCGAAAACACCGCAGAGAATAGCGAACACGACGAGTAAGATGTTGAGCGAGTCCCAACTCTTCTTCACTGAATAATTGGGTCGGAGGATTTGAGAGGTGTGAGAGAGAAATGGAGGGATTAGGAAGAAAATGATGAGCAATGCTAGGATAGGTAAAAGTATGATGAGCACCACCGGGTTGAGAATCGGCGGCGATTGTCGACGGCGAGGTCGGACCAGAGCGGTGGTGGGGTGGGACCAATAGGGTGGTGAGTTTCCATCATGTTCCATGAATTTGGAATTTGGTGTTTGGTTTGCTTTTGGAGGAAGAGATTTTAAAGCTTTTGAGAGCCTTGGCCAAAAGGAAGACAGAGAGGTACTGTGTCAAATGCAATGAAGTTCAAGTGTTTAACCCACATTTAAAAATCATGTACATATATAAACATAGTAATATATATATCTATATATATCTCTAATTTATATTGTACCATAAATCATAAACTAATAAAAACTGTTAAAGCATTTGAGTTAAATAAAATAAAAATAAGTAAACTTTCTTTTTCTTTTCTTTTTTTCTTCTTATTTTTTTTTTTTAAAAAAAGAAGTAAACTCAACAGTTTTATTATAAGGAAAAATTACATATAAATGGAGTTAAAGTTCCATATTTACTTAGAGGCTGAGTCAAAGTTCTATATTTCTCTAAAATGGATTGCTGAGGTGGCACATGGTTTTTTACTGTTTAGAAATTGTGATGCCTAAAATACCCTTCCGCGAAGGTACTACTTTTTCTTCGAATGTACTACTTTTTTGAACTGAAGGTACTACTTTTTGGCGTCCAGGTACCATGTTTTTTAAACACTCGCGAGGGTACTACTTTTTCTCCGAAGGTACTACTTTTTTGAATTGAAGGTACTACTTTTTTGAACTGAAGGTACTATTTTTTTATTAGGGAAGGGCATTTTAGACACCACAATTTTTTAAACAGTAAAAAACCATGTGCCACCTCAGCAATCCATTTTAGAGAAATATGAAACTTTGACTCAGTCTCTAAATAAATATGAAACTTTGACTCCATTTATATGTAATTTTCCCTTATTATAATCTCGTTTTGAATTGGAAAAATGATTTAAAGACTTTGACCATGGCCTATATACTTAACCCAAACAATCATGTTTGGGTCCTACTTCATGTCTTGATAATTTCGGCTAAATGAAGGTCTTCCCCCCAGAATAGCAAGACTCTTTTGAATCATACCATCTCGTATGTGAAGTTCTTGGAGGAAAGCAAGAATATATACATATAACTATAGAGCATTCTACAATGGTATAATCTCCCATTTTTTTAAAAAAAATTGAGTGGTAACAAAATCGTAGGTGTATGCACAATTGTTTAAACTTGAAAAACATAAAAATAAATAAATAATAAAAATAAATCTTTTAGGGTAGAAATATAATTTCTCTTAACTATTCCAAATAAAAAATACAGCTAAGGATCTTAATCTCAACAATGAAATACAGAAAAACTTTAGATATGAAATTAATATACAACTAGAACTTGTTATAGCTTTTGGAGCTGATATTTTGTCGTATCGGCTAAATTGATATTTATTTAAGTCCGTGACGTAAACCAGAGCCTAATACCCTCCCATGTAAAGTGTGTTTTTTTTTTTTTTTTTTTTGTGGAAGTTGGATCATTTGTTGTCCATATGAAGAAGTAGGGGGTATTCCAGATATTACTTCACTGTTTTGTATAATTGGAGCGTGGCTGTAATGATTGAAACACAGCCTTTTACACCAAAACCCCAAAAGCACATCTTTTAATCATCACACTGTCAAAAGAAGAGACAAATGATTTCTTTTTACTATTTGTACATTGTGTTTCGTCAAAAGCAAGATTCATTTTTGGAATTTCTCCAATTTCAGTGACTTAGAAAAATGACAATTACCACTAAAACTAGTATTACATGTGATTGTTTTGAAAACTTAGAATTGCATTCTGTGCTTGATTATTATTCCAGCTTTCATCACCAAATCAAGTTATAAAACCTTTAATTAAAGGTTATCTCCTCCGTGCAAGTATAAACAAAATATTATTTGGTTGATTATAATGTACACATTTTATGTATGAAAAAAGTCTTTGAAACTTATTTAACACCAATTTATAAACAAACACAATATTGGATAATGAGGCAAATATGATAATGACAATAATAATTTTTTAAAAAAAAGAGTAAAGTACAACTACACTTCTGAGATTTGACAAAAGGATATTCAGAGAAAACTTAGTTTTTTTTTGGACAAAGGCACCCCTGAAGGTTCAAAAATGAACAAAGATATCCCTTTACATGAGAAATTAACCAAATTACCCCTTGACCGTTTAGGAGACTTTTTTAACTCTACTATTTAATAAATTGTTCCAATATACTCTCATGAATAAGTTATGCATAAAAAAAAATTGTAAAAAAAAAAAAAAAAAACTTTATATTGTTCACTTTTTTTTTTTTGTTATTTACTTTATAAATGTCCCAACTTCTTAAAACTGTAGACGTCTAAAATGATTTTTTGATCCAATACATATATTTCAAATAAATTATATTTTGTTATTACTTCTTTTCTTTTTCTTTTTTATTTTTAAATTAAGATGCTTAATTCTTTCATCTAAAAAAATTAAACCAATTTCTTTTCCTTAAAAATAAAAAATATGGTACCGATATAACTTTATGTATTTTAAATTATATATCAAATATTATGTATTTTTCAACATAAAAGGGGGGGGGGGGGGGGGGGGAAACAAAGGCATGCATAAAGTTATACTGGTATCTATTTTCTTTTATATTGGGAAATGCATAATATTTGATATATAATTTGTGATGCATAAAATTATACTGGTACCATATTTTTTATTTTTAAGGAAAAGAGATTGGTTTAATTTTTTTAGATTAAAGAATTAAGTATCTTAATTTAAAAATAAAAAAGAAAAAGAAAAAGAAAAGAAGTAATAACAAAATATAATTTATTTGAAATATATGTATTGGATAAAAAAATCATTTTAGGCGTCTATATTTTTAAAAAGTTGGGACATTTATAAAGTAAATAACAAAAAAAGAAAATAAAAAAAAAAAATTAACAATATAAAGTTTTTTTTTTTTTTACATAAATTGTTCATGAAGGTAGATTAATCCAATTTATTAAATTGTAAAGTTAAAAAAGTCTTACAAACGGTCAAAGGTTTTCATGTAAAGGAGTGTCTTTGTCCATTTTTGAACTTTCAAGAAGTATCTTTGTCCAAAAAATAAATAATTTTTCACTGAGTATCATTTTGCCAAACTTTAGGAGGTATGACTGTACTTTATTCTTAAAAAAAAATTATTAGCAACTTCCTTTCTTTCAATGTGGCACTTTGGTTACATTTGAATGGCATGAAAGGTACTTTTTGATTAAGTACACCACTATTGGCCCCATCTTTTCCCGCTTTAAATCCAATTTTGCATTTGAACCGCGCATAATCGATTCTGGTTTTTTTGTAAATATTTTTCGTGTAAAATATTTTTAATTTTTAAATTTCTTTGGTGTTTTGCTGAGTTTTTGAAAAACACTTTCTATTGTTTGGAACTGAAAACGTTTTTAAGTAAAAATCAAAACAATTTATAAAAAATTAACTTTTTTTTTTTTTTTTTTTTAACCAAAGCTTTTAATTTGTCCTAGTCATTTACACAACCAATTCTTGTTCACACTATTTTAATGCAATTCAATTCTCTGTGTGTGTGTGTGTGTGTGTGTATATATATATGTATGTATGTATATACACAAGAGTAGAAGACATATTAAAAGGCCTTGTGCCTAAGACTTCCTTCCACCATCATTCACTAAAATCATATAAAGAGGACCAGTATGTGTTTTAGGTAGAGATATATATCTTAATCTTTTGTCCCACTCGTGTATAAGCGTGTCGTTACGTGTCACATTATTTTAGACAAAAGAAGGTCCCATTGGTTGCGAGTTGCTAGCCACTTTAAGAAAAGTGATCACAACACACTTGTACACGTTTTTTTGTGATGATTTTGTGACGTGATCTTCACGCGTGTTGGTGGAGCGTGGTTTGAAAACATTATTTTGTTGTGGTGGGTGCTTATTGCAAGTGCAACTAAACTTCAAGTAGGGTCTACTTTTTTTTGGTTGTGGAAGAAAATAAGGGAAAGGAAGGGACAGCTTGAAAGATTTACAACCATTGGCTACGAAGTGTCCTCTAAGTTTCTCTAACAGCTAGCGTCTCCACCCGCCCTGCGTGTGTCACGTGACAATTCAATTTTCCATTTCAATCATGCACTTATGGTGGTCTTTGTCACAATTTTTCATCCTTTAATTTTCAAATAAATTAGGCTAAATGACACTTAGCTCCCTCTAGTTAAGGTTTATTATACTTACTTTCCTTCTAGTTTCAAATTACATACGTGGAAGAAACCCTTGTCGTCAGGGCCGGATCAGGGATTTGAGTTGGGAGGGGTTTTTTAAAAAAAAAAAAAAAAAATTAACTTTTTTTTAAGGATTTAAAGGGTAAAAGAGAAAAGAGGAGAAAATTAAGAAATAATTTTATAAACTAATAATTTTAGAGGGGGCATTATTTATAAATTTTCATATATATACATAAAATATAAAAAATTACTATATGTAAACTAGTGGGCCAAGCCATACACCGGCTCCGTCCCTGCTTGTCATCAATTTTGCTAACTGTCGTTGATGGTTAACGTTGATGTGTCAAACTTTTTAATTTTATATGACATATACATCCTTCAAATTTTTGTGAAAAACTTTTATTCAGATCCCTAACTAAAAAAAATATTAACAGGAATGCCATGACCATTGAGGATATAATTGTCTTTTACACAATAAACATTGGACAAAAGTATCTTCGTAGCAATTTAAATGACATATTTGCTATATGAAACTAAAAAAGTTGTCAGGTTGACCATTTCTAATCGTTAGTAACACTGATAAAAATCAATTTGTTACACATATCTTACTAGAAGGGAATACAAAGGATCTAAGTGTAATATACCATGACAATAGGGAGGGTAAGTGTAATTTACTTTAAAAAAAAAAAAAAAGAAAAAAAACTATTGGTAAATTTCAATTAGGGAAATGATCATCTCTAACAAAATAATTTTCACTTGTGAAATGCAATATAATGAGACCACATTCATAGTCGAAATGTGTTAGACTATAAAGCACGAACATTTCTACATGTCGTAATCGTGTCGTGTTTGTGTTGGACACCGATACTCATCGGACACGTGTCCGACAATTCATATATTTATCCTTAAATAAAAAAAAAAATTTAATATTTTGGATACTTTACAATTTCGAACAATTTGTCCACACTTTTTGGACAATTAGACCGACATTTTTAAACATTTCTAACACAAACTTAACTAGTAATCTTGAAAATAATATGAACAAATTTTAAAGTGTTCAACTTTTTTTTAAAAAAAAAAGATTGACGTCATAAACATGATATATAAAAAATAATAATAAAAATTATTATGACAAAGTAGTGGACTAATTTTATACGATATAAAAGCTATTATAACTCTTAATATAAAAATTAAAAATGAATAAAAGTTTTATAATAGTATTATTCTATATATAAATAAAAATTCATATTAATTAGGAGAAAAAATAAATATTTATATTTATATATAATCTTATCCAAACTGTATGTATGTCTTACTTTTTAAAAATTTGACTTATCAATTTATTTGTATCGTGTCGTTCTTGTATAACATAACTCATTTTGTTATTATTAAGTAACAACACACTGCATAATCTTATTAATAAAGTCATAATCGAGACCTAGAGTCGAATGAGGGACAGCAAGATATGGATGGTTACGCGTTGTGTTAAAAAATTCGGGAATTAGAACAAACATCAACATCCCAAAACCAATAATGTGGGAAGAAATAATTATTTATTGAAATATCATTTTCTCTAGAAATTGTTTATTGAATTGTCAATAATTTGTGGGAAAAGTCTCTGACCAATCTTACAATTTCTCCTCTCTCTCTGCCAATGTTTTCTGGGCAATTACAAGGAACTTCCGCATATTTTCATGAGCTAGTTTATCACGGATCTGTATATATTTAATCTCTCTCTATATATCTATATATATATATATATATATATATCGCATCCCTATTTGTTGTCGTTTGGTGGGGCTATGAACTGCATTCTCATCCAAATATAAAGGTTTCTTTTTCAGGAAGTAGATAACAACCTGTTCCATCAACATTTGCTTCAAGTACATGCCATATTAATTTCATAAAGAAGACGATTTTGAGTTTTAAAGATAAATGCAAACCACTTTCTGTTAACCTAATTCATCTCCTCTTAGAAAATATCTTTGCATGTATCGATAATAAATTATAAATTATTTTAAAAGACTCAACATCGACATCACTGAAACACACACAAATAAAAAGAAAAATTTGATAATTAGAGCAGTTGTCGCGGTCAGTAAAAAGTAAAAAACCTTACCAAATTAATTAATTAATTAATTGGTTGGTTTCTTTAGCACTGTCCTTTCACGGATATTCTTTTCAAGTCATTAATCGGTTGGTTTCTGCATCCTCCGTACATATTTTTCCCTACTCCCTCATTATTCCAATTTTTCTACCATGTTGACTTGTCGATATCACTGCAGATAAACCGAGTTGAGAACCGAGTTGAACTTGAAACTCTCGACTCATGAACTCGGTTTGGAAAATTCTGTTGAACTCAATCTAAACTACAATTATCTTAGCCACAGTATATAGTGATGTCTGAAGTCAATCACTCCTCTATCTTTAAATTGTATAATGTCAATTATAAACTTTTTCATTCTAAATTATTTATTTATTTAGTACTCCTTTCTTTTAGTTGTATAATGTCAACTATAAACTTTTCCATTCTTAAATTATTTATTTATTTAGTACTCCTTTCGTCCTAAAATTTTTGTTCATTCTGAAAACACTCACAATTTTGTAAATCACAACTCTCAAAATGGACAAATTTTGTGAAACAGATTAAATATTAATTTTTTCACTCTCTAAATTGTTCTTAGCAAAACATAGTACTTTTTATTTTTTTATTATATTTTATTACAATTCTTTATCAATAAAGAGGTTCAAAAGTTGTCAAAAATCACAGAAGGATAAAAATAAGATATGTTTACAAGCCGAGCATAGAGTCACACATTCACAAGCCTACCATTCATGAATCTATATTCTATACTAGCATTTTTTTTACCAATATTCATCCTTCACCATGCTCAAAATATCAAAGTTTCAAACAAGCAGATGAGCCTACTGTGAAGGCTTGCTCTTGCCAAAATAACCACAAAAATTAGAGATCATTATCTATTGATATACTAAAGATGCTCAACATTCAAATTCCATGGCGCAACAATTTCAAAAGATAGAGAGAGATTTACCACGAGAATCATGTTACACCAGCCGGTACGCGACAACTGACCAAAAAACAGGGGTGTGAGCCCCATAGCAGCTCACACTCACGCCTCTCAGTCACTTGTCGACACGAGTTTAGAGTATTAATTACCACTATCATCCTCTAAATCCAACTGTCATATTCAAGCACTAGTGAATCATTCCGTGTTTGACCATTGGGCCTGTAGTTCAAGATTAGTACCAATATCTATCTACTGAACAGTAGATAGCCATAAAATTTTCCTGTGATCCATTAGGTTCTGCTGAAAGTAATTTGTGTACAATTGTAGTGCCAAAAAAAAAAAAAAAAAAAAAAAATCTTATATTTTCATGTCTATATGGTTAACATTGGGAAAGGGGAGTGATTTTTCATCATATTTAGTTTGTAGTAAAACACCTTGGATTGGCCAAGCACTGAGACATCTTTTTTATCTTTGATTTTGCAGTAAAATTTCGTATCTCCATGAACAAGAGCCCTTTCAAATTCCTTGGATGCTCACAGAAGTCTTGGGAGTGCATGGAATTGGATGACCAAGGTTTAGAATAGAAGAATTGCTGCTACGATCAACAACACAACGGAACATGCCATTGCCTGTAACAGCAATCATAATCTTAAAACATCACTGCTGATTTGAAGTACAATTTATAAATAATGAAATACAAGGCCAAAAGTAAAAGAAGATAAATCAAATGACAAAAATTTCAAGAGTGATTCTTATATTTTCTTTTGCTTGATTAGATTATAGAGAGAGAGAGAGAGAGAGATTACTACTTACAGCAATTGCAGAAGCAGCAAGGCCTGCTCGCTCCCTGGGGTCTCTGCGGTAGTAGTTTCCAAAGTACAAAATTGTGCTATAGTACCACATCAAGGGGAACAAAAACCCTAGTAGAAAACTGAAAACAAATGACGTGGCCATGAGATACTGGGAAATGGGAGAGGAAGGAAGAAGAATGGAGAATACTCACGAAAACCATCCAATCCCACAACCAAAGCAAGGAAGAGGTTTGTCATATATCCCTAATTGGGAGTCCTCTGTGTCTCTGATGACGGCATACTTGCCTTTTTCAAGGTCTTTAGCATCCACTCCTTGTCCTACCATCAAGAAAATATCTCACTTCTCAGGTATTTACTTAATCACAAGACAAGTTTCCATATATTTCGTTTTGTTCAACATAAGATAGAACTAAATGTCCAAGTAAAAAAAAAAAAGGAAAGATAGAACTAAATGTTGGAAAATCAGCTCACAACCAATTGCCAACACAACCTGTTAAAAGTCTGATACATGGACATAAATTTGATTAGTATGAACTCAGAGTTACTACATACAAGAATATCTGTAATTTAGAATACCTTTGCTTCAGTATGAGTAAAAAAAAAAATCCGAAGGAAATGTCAAAAGCACCAAAATCAAATAAAATAAGAAAAATTGAAAAGTAAGCTCTGGAAGAACAATGTAAAGTACTTTATTATATATATATATAAATCGAAGGAAATATTAAAGCCTTTTTAAGTTCGTAACTCACATGCTGGAATCAATAAAATGATACTAAGGAACATCGAAGAACATCAGATTCATATCGCAGACATGGAGATTGTTAGAATTTTACCATTGCACTGGTGGTACAGCAAATCCATTTCGAATATGGCCACTTCTCTTATTGGCCCAAAAACAGAAAATGAATGTAAATACAGCATTTTCTTCCTTTTTCTTGTTTTTCAGAAGAGGAATGAAACAAACAAACAGACACTATATACAACTCAATTATGAATATGAGGGGGTAAATTGGAGTTGCCAGAGGTGTGTGTCAACAACCACTTTAAGTATTTACCCAAACAGAATTACTACCTTTAAACATTGAATAATGTCGAGCCGAAGGCCTCAACAGATCAAGATGCTTTTCGGAAAGGCCACTTCTCAAACCCTCTCCCTCCTCAATAGTAGCGTCTGTGACATGAAGAAAGCACAAGTTATAGTCATTACGAAGTTAAGGCATCTCTCTCTCTCACACACACACACACTCTTATGAATGGATAACTCAGATTATTAAAAAATCAATTGCATAGATTCAATGGGCTTGTAACTTCAAAAGTAGAAGAAAATAGTATTATATACTCATATGACTTGCATGTATAAATCTCTGCAATATAGGCTAGTGGTAGTCATTTTGAAAACCTCAAAATGTCAATCCACATAATTTATCTATCTTGGAAGGTGCTACTGAATCTTTAATAATTGTTACTTTGTCAACCCCATATGTGTGTGCCTCAAAAAAAATAAAATTTAAGTTGAATTGATTTTAACCTACAGAATAAAGTATATATCTCATCGCATAATATGACACCTGTGAATGATGTAATTGAGAAGATAAACACAAGGTAGTGAAACATTTTCTTCTAATGCAAAACCTCGTTAATTTTTCCAGATTTTTGGTGTATTGTCTAACTTTCAACAAAGAAAATGTTTACTCTATGGAATAACAATATTTCATCAAGGTGGGTGTAACTATATTGAAATAGTAAAAAAAAATTGAACTACATTTAATGTTTTCTGGTTTATCTACAGTACGCTTACTATCTTACTGAAAAATAAAAATACAGTATACTTATTATTTTGCATCATATGAGGTCTCATATTAGTTTATATTACCAGAGTATAGATCTCAACATAAGAATAAACATAAGAAAGGAGAAGAAGAAAAATAAATTGAAATAAGTGTAAATCATTGCTTATTTATGTTTCTATTCAGAACATGATACTGTGAGATGAAGTAATGTAAAAAGTTTATTACTCTGGTCCATGTGTAGTTCAGCTGATGTATTTCAATAGGTTGAGGGCCTCAATTCTGTAGAGAGTCCAAACTACCTGCTTCAAATAATTAAAAGAGCACTTTATATTTAACATTCAGAAACTTTCTAATCTACAATTTTGCTTAGTTATTACTGATCAACAAGATTGTGTAGAAAACAAATGCAAATAAAAGAAATAGAATCTCACAAAAATTTGTGGGATGAATGGTTAAAAATCATCCATCTTCCCACTAATTTTAAAATGATTGGCTTGAGAACATTTGGTAAAAAAAGTCGATCATTTACACAGACATGCAAATAAATAAATCTTGCGTTAACCACTGGGCCATTAGCGCAGCTGGTATAACCTACCCTCCCTCAAAGGGGAAGTGAGGGGTTAAAGCTCCATAGTGGGCGGGCATTTGTGGGCTTGTGTGAATATTTACCTAACCTATAAAATAAATCTTAGGTTAAGGTGTAAAAAATTAGGAATCTTATCTTCTTCTGTTTTTCCCTGAATGGAAACATTATCTCCAAGTCATTGAACGCAAAAAAGGTGCATCACTTCCAACAGAACAACAAAGTGACTGGGTTGGTCCATTGATTTTCCTACCTTTTGCAACATTTCACCGAAAGGGATCAGGCTTACATGTCATGGGATGAGAAATAAAGCATATGTGTCTAGCCAAGAAACAAAATTATTTACACTTTATGGGAGTAACACTTTTTTCCCAAGACACAGAGGTTCTTGAGAATGCTTTTAATTGTTTTACAGGTGAAATGATATGTGGCCGTCAATTTGACATATACAGGGCAAAACTGCAACAGTAGACGGCGGCGATCTAGCACAAGCATTGGGGCTTTCTTCAGGAAAGATTCCGAGAAGCCCGGGGTGCACCGTGCAAAAAGAATGGTTTTAACTCAAACACAGCAAAAGAACAATGTCCAAATCCTTAAGAACTAATATTGAGTTGAAAAATGGTTCTAATTAATTCGAAATAGTTTATCTTGCCTTCTTCCTTTTTCAAGAAAAGATCCATGTCCACTCCTATAGTGCTATACATGTAGGGTTAAAATTCAGTACAGATTAAGCACAATGGATTTATGACTACTAGAGCCATAAACACCTCAAACCTTGATATATGACTAGATTCCTCCATCCTTAACTTCATGTTGTGTGTGTTTGTGTCATTTCAACAAAATGAGACTGCATCCCCAATTTCCTCAATTATTCACACACACAAACACACACAGATCATTTTTATAACCTAGACAGCATTCCAAAATTAGTGTTCACAAAAAAAAAACCCCAATTGGATTATAGAATTTACAAGCAGAAAGGAATCCATAACAATATAAATCGTATCAAAACTCAGCGACCTGTAAGCAAAAATTCCTCTAGAACTCAAAAAGGAAGCTCTATATATATATATATATAGTAGGATTGATTATCTACCTCGAAAAAAAGTCCGAAAAGCGCAAACAAAAAGTCATCATCACCTTTTATTGATTTGCCACATTTCTGCATAGAAGGAGAACTTGCCTCTGAATTGTAAAAACTGAGAAATGAAACTTTGAAGCTTATCCTTTGCTTCGCTTCAGATCAGAGGCGGGAGGGTTGGTGCAGAAGAGGGGATCGTGCCTGTTATATTACGCACACACATATATATATATATATGTATATATAAAGCGTCGCTCATTCTCAGTAGTAAATCACTTGTGCAAATTTATTTTATTTTATTTATTTTTAAAATTTTGTTTTCAAAATACTTTTTCCCAGAAATTATTAAACAAGTGTGACACATGAGTTGGGTGACGAGAGTACGTCAGACAGCTGGTAGGTCAATTGGACAAATAATCTAAAATTATGTACTTTGACGAGATTACTTCACATCAAAAAAATCATAAAATAACTTCCGAAAAATAAAAAATCACAAAATATTGTTATTGATTTTTTTCTTTTGTGTTTTCTCCCTCCCATTAAATTTGGGATGGAAGAGAGAGGGGATTGGGATGGAAGAGAGAGGATTGGGTGGGTATTACTAAATTAATTCAAACACATAAGAATGGAAAGGAAATAATAGAGAATAGTAATGGAAGATAAATTGTGTTTAGTATGAAATGTTGGAAGAAAAATAAATAATTTAGAGAAATACAATAAAAGCAATAATAGTAATTTTTGTTATTTTACAAAAATTAGAGGAAATGGAAGAAAAGGAAAAGAAATGCTTATATTTTTTATAAAACTTTATTAGTATTTGTCCTTATATATATAAAAAAACAAATTATATGAAAAATGGTATGGTTATAAATTTAATAAAATAGTTTCATTTCCTTTGTTTGCCTAAACACAATTATTATTATTATTATTTATTCTCTCTCTTTTTTTCTTCATTAATCAACCAAGTGTGATAACTAGTTAACACTATTCTCTATTTTCTTTTTGAAGAATATACGAATAATGCTAGTAAGAGAGTTCCTGCACTCTAATTTTTCTATTTTAATCAATAAATTAAATATATATTTCATAATTCACTAAAAAATTTATAAATCTCAAAAAATTATTTCAATCTAATGGTTTAATATAAAAAAACTCATTCGCTTGAGAGCATTAATCGGGATACACTTGGAAACATGAATGTGCACTAATCACTGGGCAAAGTAATTTTCAAATTTTGAGATCTTTCCAAATTGAAGACCCTTCCAAATTTTGAAACCCTTCCAAATTAATTATTTTTCAACGCGATAAAAAATAATGTTACAATATATATACTACAAATAAAGAAAAAAAACTAAAGAGAGCACAATGGGATGTGAAATTGGGAGACAAGACTCCTGCTCGGTTTGAACCGGGCATCTCTACAATGAGCTAACCCACATAGAGTTTATTATGATGACATATTAATGACTTAATTTAATTTTAGTACTTAATTATAAAAAATAAATTATTTTATACTCATAACTTATAAGTCATAAGTAATTAGACGGTGTTGAGACAAAATCCCTCCAACAACGAACAACAATGATAACGGATTGAAATTAAAAAGATGAAAAGAAAAATGAATAAAAGACAAGAATAACATACCATGTCAGCACCGGTTTCTCTAGACCCGCCACGTTTCCTACTTCCTTTTGCTCTCTTTTTTTTCCCTCTTTATGGAGGGAGCAGTACCAGTACGTCTCTTTTGTCTGACTCTGCCCGACTCCTCCTCTTTCTCTCTCTAACTTGCAGGGCATAAGAATATGGATGGCGAAACGGTTTCAGCAATGGATAACAATCAGAATCAGAGTCAAGTTTTGAACATTTACCCTCTCAGCAACTACTATTTTGGCTCCAAAGACGCCGTCCCACTCAAAGACGAGCCCGAAGCCGATCGCGTCCTCCGAATGAAATCAAAGTCACTTTCTCTCTCTATATTTATACAAAACATATACACACACGCACAAATGAATAGGTTTTTTTTTTAAATATTTCTTAGTCGATTTTTTGAATTTTAATATAACTCTTTCATTCAGCTATGCTGCTTATGGATTGAGGACTTCTGTGCAAGCAGTCATACTGGTACTCTCTTAAATCTTTTTTTTTTTTTTTTGCAAAGTCATTGATTTCGTGATTAATTTGGTAATATATAATAGAATTTGGTTGGATAATCTTAATCTTTCAGTTCATACTAGTCCTGTGTGATTCCCCATACATATATGTACACATATGTATATGTGTATATAATTAGAACCAATAGAAAAAGGGATGGGAAAAGAAAGATAAACTAGCAGCAAGGGTTTTGGCGAACCACTATAAAAAAATAAAAAAAGAAGAGGACGAGGATAGATCAGTATGGTAAAGAACTAACTTTATTTTTGCTATTAGCGTTATTGATTGAACAAAAAAAAAATTAAATAAATAAAGGAGAGAGATGAGTACTATGAATTTAACATATGTATTAATTGATGAACTGAGAGGCAAGGGAGCACAAATTGTTACGAACATTTGTACTTTTTATTGAAAAGGTACAACTGGTACTAGCTAGCAATTTAGCACACCTAGTATATATACTAGTTTTGAATTTTTTTTTTTTTTTTTTTTTTTTTGGGGGCGGGGGCGGGGGCAGGGAGGGTCATGGCTCTCCTTGGTCCCTTAAACGGTCCGCCCCTGTGGCGCAGACCATCTTATGTAAGTCAAGTTTGATATCTATGTTGCCAAGCCAAGAAAGTGAACATAACTTTTATGTAAAATAGTGAAAACCTGAGTGGCACTTGTGGACTGAAAGTATTCTTTCGGGAGTGATGACAAGGTCGATAAAATTTAATGATGTAAGTGGAGTACTAAATTATCTATTTGTTCAGCACAAAGTGATGAAGAAGTGAATGAAATTGAATGACTAAATTGTGACCTGAGCCTTATGTAATGATGCAAAATCTAGTAAAAGGATTGTACTCGTAATCTGAGAATGAGTCAAAGATAATTGATCCATTATTAATATGCGACGTATGTTTATTTGTTCCAAATCTTCAATACAAAGGTTGTTTGCCCGGTTTTATGCAGTAACAATTTAAAATGTTGTCATACGAAACACAAACATGCATACATAACTATATATATGTGCAGAAGTAAACTGTATGCGAGAAGGTTTAAGGTAATTACCATTAGCTATTCACAAGATGGGACACAGTGGTCTGTATTTTACTTGAAAAAGGACGAGACATATAAATGTCTTTCTTCGAATAACTTTTGGTGATCAAATCAGTGATGCAAGAGATATCAATGAGCATGAATAAATTATTTATTGAAATTTGGCTAACCTTAGATCAGATTCCGATGATGAATTTCAAATTCTATTTTGAGCTAATGAAGGTTTTAGTCATGCCAATTGAGCTCTTTATCAGTGTGTGAACGGAGTTATCCCATCTGAAGTGTTTGCTGAGTTAAGAATTCTGAATTTGATGTTATTTATACTTCAGAATTAGGAAGTTCATGTCAAAATTGATGGTTTGTTTTAAGTAATTTTTACCAATATCCGTTCTTTTTTACCAATATCTATGCTCATTGGCTGGGAAAGAATGAAAAATGACCATTTGCCTCTTATCTTGAACTCGATAACTTAACTGTTCTATATTATGAGGCTGCCACCAAACCTTTTCCACTGATAAACAAGTTTGTAGCAGATGTACTATTTTGAAAACACTAACTGTATAAAACAGGTTGAGTTGTTCAAACATCCTCATATATTGCTGTTGCAAGTACGGAATTCCATATATAAGCTTCCAGGTGGTCGCTTGAGGCTGGGTGAATCAGGTAATACACCATACTACCGATGTTCTGACTTCTGTCAATGTGAAAATTAGAAAGCGTTGACATTCTTGAAAAGGGTGGAAGGAATTCTAAATGTTCACTGCACTAGTATGGATTTGATTTTGCAGATATTGATGGCTTGAAACGTAAACTAAACAGCAAGCTATCTGTCAAGGAAGATGGTTTTGGATCTGACTGGGAGGTATATGAAATATCAGTTATAAAATTTCTTTCCCTGTATTTTCATTGCTGGCCCTGTGAAATTTGAATGCACTGTTCTCAATCTTCAGGTGGGAGAATGCCTTGGGATGTTGTGGAGGCCCGACTTCGAAACATTGTTGTATCCATATTTACCTCCTAATGTGAAGAGGCCCAAGGTAATTTGTCCACAAATTTTTTTTTTTTTTTAAATAGACTTTTCTTTGTTTTTGATGGTATGTTACTGTTTTTGTGTGCCTATCTTGTTTTATAGGAGTGTATAAAACTCTTTCTTGTGAACTTGCCGGAAACGCAGAGGTTCATTGCACCAAGGAACCTAAAATTGCTTGCAGTTCCATTGTGTCAGATTCATGAGAACAAGAAGGTAAGATTTCTTCATTTGAATTCCAAAGTTTAACGGGCATTATGACATCCCGTGGAGATTGAATCAGTCCCTTCTTTTACAGAGCATTTAAAATGAGCTGGTCAACAGTAGGAAGCATGATATAATAATTCCCCTAATGAACTCATTTCAATTTTAATTTATTGCTAAGCAATCTCCTTACTGCAACTTGCATGCTCGAATGCTGCCTAAGATAAAGTGGGACTATTCAATTTACTTGGGATGTCCAATCACCTTCACGATGATAAAAATGGATATTGATGCATTCAAATTGTGGAATTTTGTAGACATACGGACCAATAATATCAGGAGTTCCACAGTTGCTGTCGAGATTCTCCATCAATGTTATGGAATTTTGAAAGATACTGACTTGTTTCTACAGCAAGTATAAGAACCAGTTAGAACAATGTGTGTTAGAAAAGGGATATAGCAAGCAGCGTCACGGTGCCATGCAATCTCAGCAGGCACATCACACATGTAAACACCTGTGGCTTTGTCGAGATGATATAACCTCTTACGTATTGTATTGTTTAACAGAGCAACATTAGGGTTTTAACTAATGCCATGATTGGTTCCTTCTTTTGTTCAAAATTTTGTTGCTCAGGCCATTTGATTCCATTTTACCGGTAAGCGTGTTTGATTCCAATTATTGTAAATAATCTTTCAGAGACACCACTAAGATCAGTGCACTTTTCTAACAAGCTGAAGTCATTGATTACACTTGATTGTCTAGCATTTGAAGCTTGACCGATATTGAAGCTCAACTTGATTAAGCTCAAGAACAGTTGGCACAAGCGTAATGCACTTCCTAAGTAGAAACATCAAGCAAGCTAGATTATAAATGAAAACCAATTTTTCATTAGGTTGACATTCGTGCTTGGTTTGATTAGTTTAACATACAAATTGGGTTAGGCTGTTGCAAGAAGAGCTGAAATCAACCTCAAGAGTTTGGTTCAAGATCATTGTTATCATACTCGCACTTCATTGCAAGAACAGTTTATAGTAATGGAATACCGAGAGCATTGTATGTCTGTAAAGTGCAGAAGTACTGTTCCACTGTTAAACAACCATGGAGATCAATAATTCCATAATTGAAGCATAAATTGACATCTAATAAGGCACTACTAGTATGGCAAATTTCATAATGTAATACAGTTGTGTTCAAAATTTATAACATACAAGGCCGTGCTTGTGCTACTAGTCGGAAAACAGAGGTGCCTGTGATGTTTTGTAACACCATACTACCATATGGAACTAACTAATTATTTTTATTCAGATCAAAGAAGAAAGAATAACAAATAAGTTATGGATGAACCAGCTAACATGTCCCCTATTCAAAGTTCCACTTTGCTTTCAACCACAATTAAAATAGAGATTAGTTTGTCTTAACTTCCCCTTCGGAGAGCAAGCCTTGTGATGTAGTCTGCTGCATTTCAAGTCGCAGGATCAATTCCCTTGCCCCTGTAGACCAGTCTTCTTGTGGCAGAGGTGGATTCGCTTTTGCACCACATGAAAACTCTCATTTGTCGCAACATCCCATGTAGGCCATTGCTGGCCAGTTTGAAGCACTTGACACCTTTTGCTTGAGGGAACAAACATCATTTTTTGATCCAGAAAAACATAAAGTTACCAATAACCATCAACTGAGCCCAAAAAAGAAAATCAACAAAAATTGTCGTTAGAGCATCATACATTCATCTGCAAATGGTTCAGAAATCTAATTTAGAGTGGTGAATCAGTCGTTTTCTGCAGTAGAGTAGGAGCAGCTCAGTAGTTGAACTAAGTGCAAAAGATCATAGTTGGACGTGACCTGGAAATACAAATGATTGTTTCAATATGAATACAGGAACTCAATGTACCACCAAAACACACACAGATTTGCGATAGGAAGATAAAACACAAATATGTGATGTGATGTGATGTGATATATATAATAAGAGAAGTTTATTCCCACAACCCCACAGTTGTATTCTTATTCCCTTTCTCACTCACATAAGACCCATATGTGAGGACTCCTAAAACAATAGTATTGGCTGCAGAAGTAACAATTTCCTATAAATAATAATTAATTACACATGTATGGATCAAGATCAAACTAATTATAACCAGCGCAGGAACTTAACAAAACTTAAATAACTAATTATACCTGGTGCAGCAACTTAACAAAATTTAATAACTTCCTAAGGAAGTTACATTTCATCAAGTTCAATTTTTCATTACTAAATGAGATAACTCTATAGTACTTATTATGCTTCTCAAAAATAAGTTACTCAAATATCACGTTAATTAAATTAAGGATACTTGGACATTAGGTAAATGTTCAATTCATGAACTCAAATTTCTCTTTACAGAATATAAAAATAGAACTTTAATTTGAAGTGTGACGTTGATTGGACATCTCTGAATCTCCAGTTAATCTCATTTTAGTATGAGAGGGGCATTCAATTCAATGGTTAGATTGAAACAGTATGGGGTTTTTAGTGTTTAGAAAAATATAACCTGTCTCGCTAAATAGAATTTTCTAATAAGATTGTCATAACTAACAGATGTCTGCTATTAAAAAACAATAAAGTCATAGTCATAATAAATAAACAAAGCCTAATAAGTGGAGGAAAGGGGGGGGGGGGGGGGGGGGGGCGGGGGCGAATGTTTTTAATGCCTAGGTAAAAATTTACTGTACTAACATCAGCAATTAGCATTAAGACCCCATCTTTTTGCCTTGATTGTAGTAAGTGAATTGACAACACCTACAAGATGACGTTCTATGGTGTATGTTATTTGTTGGTGATATAGTTTAATTTAATGAAAACTAAAGAAGAGATAAGTGCTACAATTAAAGCCTGGGGAGAATGAGAAGCTCTCGAATAAAATGGGTTTAAGAAACGTAGGACTTGTCTGGATATATGAAATGCAACTTCAACAAAACTAAGAGTGCAAGTGGTGAAATAGTGAAAATCAGGGGTGAAGAGATACCAAAAGATAAACAATAACATTACCTAGACTTGATTATTCATTGAAAGAGATTGAGAATGGTTTTACTCACAGAATTAAAGCTCAATAAGTTAAATAAAAAGAGTGTTTCCAACATACTGTGTGATCAATTATACTTCTAAATCAAAGGCAAATTCCATTAAACAACTATTATACAATCCTTTGTAGCACAGATTGTTGAGCAATTAAGAAGTATGTTCATCAAATGAGTGTGGTTGAAAATATCAATATATAATTGATGTATGTTTAGACAAAAAAGGATATGATTATAAAATGATTACATAAGAGAAACTATTAGTGTAACATCTATTGGAGATAAAATGAGAGAGAGAGAGAGAGAAAAAATTGACTAAGTTCTATATGCGGTGAAGACCATTAACTACTGCACCAACAATATTAAACTAAAATCATGACCTTAGATTGTGCAGCACTGCAACACAAAATTCATTTAACTTTATCCCAAATAGTTAGGTCAATAATGAGTTGACTTAATTGAGACAAGTTGAATTTATGCATATAATCATATAATTTGTTTACTAAAGATACCTTTGATACGTACTAAAGCATCAAAATAGTTATGCATTCATAACAAAAAACAAGTTCTATCCCAGACTAACTGCAAGGTGAACATTAAGGAGGTGGAGCTGATAGCCAAATGTTCAGGACTCTATAGCTGTTAACCAAAAATCATTTAATTAAAGCATCAGCTTCAAGCAGAGACATCCAGCACCTCCTGGGGCCACAGATCAGAACTTCCAATCTGTGAATGCTGTATATGACTAGAGTCAAAAAGTAAAAGTCGCGGAGCGAAAACTTACCCCAGCTGCACCAATGTACAGAACAAGTTAATAGCTTTAGCTGGACTATGATAAATGGCATTTAGCAATTAATACCAGGAATGAATAAACCCTGCAAAATAAAATTAGGACAGACTACATCATTTTACCTGCAAATTTCAATAATAATGAAGTTCAGACAATAAAAGGAAAAACTCTATAGCGGTGATCTATTTCAGTCGCATGTTGGGGTTTCCACCAACTGGGTATGACCTCGTACAACTACAAGGAACAAATACTACAAAATCAACAATTATAGATAATGAGAAACTTGCTACCAGCTAATGAGACTATACCTGCCAACTAGGAAACACCAACACTTCTGCTAGGGGTGCCGTGATGGTATTGGACATGTGTGGTACACGGCTAGAAGTATCTTGGAATCTGAATATTTATTTTCTGGTTAAACACAACCGGGACAAGGCAGACACGTTTGGGACACTTTCAGTACACAGCGGTGTAATTTTGTAATTATATTTTTTAGAAAAATGGGATTCAATGCAATTTAAAATATATTATGAGGATATTAGAAAAATAATATATAATTTTTTAAAACAGAAAAAACAAACATCTAGTTCTAAGTTCCAAATTAGTGATTTAAATTACAATTATATGTATAAAATGAGCAAAATTTATTATTTTGATATAATAATATTTTTATTTCAAAAATAGTGATAGTGCTATTTTTTTGAAATATCATTGCCGTATCTGTGTCCTAATTAGCCAATCACCATGCCCGTATCGTGTTGTACCCATGTCCGTATCCGTGCTTCCTATCCTGCCAACAAAAAAGCCAGCCGACATATGATAAACTGTTAGAAATCAGTGAAATGCATTCAGTGCAAAATAAGGCAGGAGAGATGTGAAGCAATAAGTTAAAACCACCAAATCCCAAAATATTTATGTATTTGCTGAGAACTCTGCTCATGATTCAGTCAATATCCTTACTTGAAAGATCTCACACCTTATCCTCAATACAGAAATCCAATATGGAAATCTGCAGCTGCAATAGTAGCTGACATTAGAAGAAAACTTCCATGAAGAATCACAAACTAAAAAGACATAAAGCAAGAGAATATGTAAAAATCAGTACACCTGCCACAAATCATTGCATCAAGGAAAAGTTGATTTTATTGGAAATTCAAAATGTATGTACAGAATGCTTTGTTCTCTTATCTGTAAAAGCTACAACCAGAATTCGGTGTTTGCTAAACCTAAGATACGACGACTACAACAGACTATCTTGTACATTGAACAAAAAGATCTTTACAGTCGAAGTCACCAACTTAAAAAGCAAAATCCAAAACATCCGACTGGGATCACATGAAACAAATTGTGCAGGAGTCTCGAAAAAATCTATAGCCCAATTATGGACTGGACAGTTAAACAACCATTCGTGTAGTTGGTCATTTCTTGAAAACGGCAATTATGTTTCTTCTGTATTTAGTATAATGAACAGGAATATACAAAAAAGGCAACTTCAAGTTCAAACCATCATATGTAAGTCTGACAGGTCATCCATCGGAATTTCAAGGCCACCCACATAGTCATCATGCTCTTGCAATCCATCCATGTTCAACCATGAATCAATGTCCTGTCCTTGACCACCAAGATCATCAGGAACACCTAGAACATCCATTTCAGGGATTTGCAGGTTGGATAAATCAATACCCTCAGTATCACCCAATACATCCGAACCAAACTCATCTTTTCCCTTGGCACTGCCACTTGTAATCATCTCACTCGACTTCGGAACTGTAGGTAATGGTGTTTTAGGTTTGTCAGACATCTTGCCAATAAGGCCATTGACAGAAGCAGATAGTTGAGTAGTTTTCTGCTTAGGCTTTGTTTTAGACTTTCTTTCCCCCTTAACATTGCATGACACAGGCCTACCAACTTTAGTGGTTCCATTTCTGGATAAAACCTCTCTGTCCCTCTCACTCCTCTTTCCTTTTGCACTGCTTGAAAGAGATCTTCCATTAACTGGAGGGGCACTAGAAGAACCAATTGTACCAACATCATCAAGCAACAACTCCCTCTTTTTTATCCTTCCTGACCACGTGACTTCTTTACCAATATCTTGTTCAGATGAAGGATTTACAGAGGCAATCACATTATTTATATAATTGTCATGATTGTCGAGAGAAGGGCTTTGTTGTGTACCCATCGGAGCTGCAGCAAAGACAAAATCACAATTCAGAACTCAAATGTGCCATGTTACCAGGGGCGGAGCCAGAAATTAAATTTAGGGGGGACACAATGTAAAAAAAAAAAATCAATAATCACGATAATAAATATAGATTCTATAAATCAAGAGACAAAGAAGAAAAATTACTCAAAATAATATGTCAATCAATGAGTAATTTAAGATAGATAAATAGTTAACAAAAAAATTAAAAAGGAAAGAAAAATGAGAGAATTTTGAAAGGGAAAAAAATTGGAGTTTGATTCAAAAAGGAAAATTTGACTTTTTTTAAAGGAAATTAAATGAATTTAAAGAGTAAAAAAAAGAGAAGAAATACAAAATTTAAGAGATAATTTTAGAAAACAAAAATTTTAGGGGGGGCATTATTTGAATTTTTTCATATATACATGTAAAAATATAAAAATTTAGTATATGTATTATAATAAGCAAGGCCAGGCCAGGGGGCACGTGCCCCCCGGGCATACACTGGCTCCGCCCCTGCATGTTACCAAAAAAACTTATCACTAAGTTAAAAGTATATAGAATTCTGCAAAAAAAGTTTTCTCAACATAAGATTTTAATATGATGGATGTATCAATTGATATTAGTTTATTATAGTATAAATGCTACTTTATCCATGAGATATCTAATGTAGTACCTGAAAAACCAGATGTGTTGACATACTGTTTGCCAGATTCACCATCAGCAGCAGTACCAGCTGTTTGTGCATCATTGAGGTGGGCAAACCCAGAGAGGAACATATCTCTAAATAACGGTTCACTGAAGCAGCTCTTGCCTGTATCTTCAAATTTTTGGCATCGCTCTAGTGTCCGCTTAACAAAATCCAAGGCAGCTTGCTTGGCCGTTTTTCCGCTGACACTCTTACCCCAACAAGTCTGCCAAAAAAAAAAATTTGAGTCAAAGTCGAGCCTCTATTTTGAAATTAAAAAACCAAAAAAAGAAGAAGAATAGATTCCAGTAGCATGGCACATTGGATGCAATTGGGAATCTGAAAAATTAATATATGAAGTATTATTCTAATTAAGAATCCTAGCTTTGCACGAATAATCAACAACACCACTTGGCAATATTGACAATTATAACTATAAAAATGTAATTATGAACAATCAACAAAAATTATAACCAGAAAGAACATGTACACACAAGTGCTGCACGTAGACACACAAAGACAGGCGGAGAAAGGACCACTCACTTTCAAAACAATTTCCCTACCGTCGCTAGAAGACTTAAGTCAAAAACTCCCACTGCTAGACAGTGCCCAACACAATAAAGAAAACTTTGCAGCTAGAAATGTCACCAACCATGTTATAGCAGTTTAAAAAGTAGATTAATTTCCAAAGAGCAACAGTAACCAAAAAAAAAAAATCCCAACAAAAGCATGTGTGCATGTTGATCTGACAATGTTAAATAGTGATGCAAATAATTAATAGTAACTCTAATCAAGATTGAGGCAGTCAATAATGTCTTGAAAAGTGTTTAGTCGAAGACTATTAAAAAGTAATTATGGTATGGGAAGTCTGAACATGTCATGGGAATAGTAGGAGTTGTCTTTAATGCTCATTGGGTAGTCTCAAAGCCAGTCTAGGAAAAAGTATTGTCATTAACAGTTGCCTTATAAAAGGGACAGCCTCTTTATCAGTTGTAACCAAGTCTTTATGAATATCATTTAAGTTAGTTTCAGGGTATTAACTTCTCTTAAGGCTTTTCCCAGATTTCCCTTTAAAAATCTAGGCTCTGACAGTGATTTGAGTAACCCTAGCCTCTCTTACTGTTGTAAGAAGACTTCTTTGTTCATTTCTGTTTGCTTCAACTGGTATCAGAGCCCTGCTATAGGATCTGTGATTACTGTGGATCTATGAATAGGCAAGGAAGCAAGATAGCCACAAAAGAAGACTTTCAAAATCTGCAACATTTTCTCAACTGAGCACGCTATTAGAACAATATGGAATCATTTTTTCTTTGAATCTAGAGGATAGGAGAGAATGGGATCAGCAAATGGATGCATATGAATGCGAATATTGGACAGAACAGCCTACTAGAGAAAGAATTCAGCAGCATAAGCAGTTCAAGAGTGAAAATTGGACTGAACAACCTACTAGAGAAAGAAGTCAGCAGCATAAACAGTTCAAAAGTGCAAAATTGGGTGCTGCCACAATAGTCAAACAGCCACAAAACACTTGGACAGCAGTGGTGAACCATGCCCAAGTATCTGAATTTTGGTCCTGGACGTGCGAAGGTTCAAGATACAAGTCTGCCAAGTTCCCAAGAGAAAACAGCCACAATATTGAAAGAAAGCAACTCTTGGTTGTGGAAGAAATTGGGAATTATGTTGATGTCACTTCAACATTTGATGAATCTCTCGGAGGTTTAGATGAAGAAGAAGGGATCATGGGGGTTCATTCAACTTCCCATCTTCCAGAATTTGACAACAATTAAGAGGAATGTGAAGAAAAACCATAGGTGGAAGAGTAGAAGTCTGAAGAAGCAGCCAACGACATGTTAGAAGCTGAGGTTGAAGAGGACAATGAAGCAGGTAAGAGAACAGAGGAGAAATCTAAGGAAGCAACCAGTAACTTGTGTAAAGTTGAAGAAGTTGTCACCATTCAACCTGCATATAATGGATTTCAGAGTAAAAATAATGAATCTGTACTAGACTTTGCTTCTCAAGGTGGGCAATCTGAGGATAAAAACACTTATCATCCAACGGTACGTAGTTCAGTAAGCATTACATCATATTTAGGATGCTTGAATAACTTGGGAATTGAAGCTTTGTTCATTAAGTTGGAAAATCATGAATTCTGTATTCATGATTCAATTTGGGATGATTTCTTGCTGTGACATATAACTTGGAGTCGTTATCATTCGAAAATCAGATTAATTCAGGTTTTGTTTCATGATATGTGTTCAAGCAAGCTTCCGAAATCTTCTAAATTTAAAGAAATAACTCAGGAAGTTCATGAAAAGATGTTATTTGCTGGTGAAAGAATACTATTGTTCTTTGTTCAAGTAAGGAAAAGAAGAAAGAAAGGATGGAAGGCTTTATTCGGGTTTTTAATAGATCGTGGTAAATTGCTTCAAACTTGAGGGCGGAGGAGGGTCTGACGCAAATAATTAATAGTATCTCTCTAGTCAACATTGAGGCAGTCAATAGTGTCTTGAAAAGTGTTTAGTCAAAGACTATTATATAGTAATTATGGTATAGGAAGTCTGAAAATGTCATGGGAATAGTAGGAGTTGTCTTTGATGCTCTTTGGGTAGTCTAAAAGACAGTCTAGGAAATAGCAGTGTCGTTAATAGTTAGCTTATAAAAGGGACAGCCTCTTTATCAGTTGTAACCAAGCCTTTATGAATATCGTTCGAGTTATTATCAGGGTATTAACTTCTCTTAAGGCTTTTCCCAGATTTCGCTTCAAAAATTTAGGCTGCTGACGGTGATAGGAGTAATCCTAGTCTCTCTTACTGTTGTAAGAAGACTTCTTTGTTCATTTCTGTTTGCTTCAAATAGCTGCTGAATTTCGCTGACTCAAAAATTTCTTAATAAGTTTAAATGCTAATTGATACATACAATGCTCCAATCCAGCCACTTGATTGTTGGACCAAGATATCACATGTTAGATAATAAAAGTGGCAGACTCCTCCGTCTAACGACCTTCAGTTCATTCTCTTTGCCGCATGATGCTTGGAACATAGGAGCATTAAACCGGAAAGCAATCAAATAGAGCAACAAAGATCTTTCACTAAAAACAAGATTTGTGGCCCTTATTAAGAGGATAACAAGGCCAGATTTCACAATCAAAGCTAATCATCATTCACCAGATTAGCAAGTACATGTGAACCACTTAAACTTAAATCTCAGAAGTGGTAAAAAGAATTTCTTCAAATCGATATCCTTTCTCCAAATTACGAAACAGGCATGAAAACCAGAAATCGGATTTTGGAATCACAGTATAGGCACATCCACATCTTCCTAAACCAGAATCTTTGACGTGCAAGACCAATTTTTGCCCTACCCCCAGCCCCCACAACCAGCCCCACTCCACATACTGAAACGCCGAAGGATTCCCCGTGCTTATCGTTCTTTGTATTTTTATTTTTTTCTAGAGACGAAGTTATTCTCATTAATGAAGGTTTTAGATTTTGGAAAATTTTAGGGTTTGAATTTTTTTAAATCCTAAGGATTGATGCACAAATCAATTTTTTTTTATATTCACGATTTTAATTAGTTTTAGAATTTTGGAATGGCTTAATTTATTGAAGAGCAAACCCCAATAAGTCTTGAAAAGCAAAGGGACAAACTGAATCCTTCATTTATATAATTCATTGTATTTTTATATCGCTGCACTCATCTACTTGCAACTCTCATTGTACAGGAAACAACCATATTTCTCATGAAAAAGAATACAAATGGCAGTACTAAGATTTCCATGTTTGCATTCCACATTCTAAATTTGGAATTATTAAGCAGTCAATGTTCTCTGTTAGGGATCATCAGATTGAAATTAATATTTTGGAAAACATTCTACACAGAACCTTCAAAGATATATCTGAATATCATGCTGAATATAGAACATAAAATTTTGCTTTTTCCCTCTGAATATTGGTATAGACTAACTGTACACAATGCAAGTGTGAAACAAGTAGGTTAAAATGCACAAAGTAGCAGCACAACAGAATTAATATGGGAGGAATGCAATTCTGAAAGTAAACAGACTGATAAATTAACAAAACAACGAGGAAATAAGACAAGGGTGGTTAGATCATGCCCAAAGAAAACTGATATATGCACAGTAATGTGTGGCCTAATTGATGTGGAAATTAAAGCCAAGCGTAAGGACACAAAGAACATGGGTTGCAATGGCCAAAAAAAGGAGAGGTGACATTTGAGATTATGGTTCGGTAGAGGAAAATGGCCCTAGACAGAAGTGAATGGCAAAGAAAGATTCATGCTCACCCCAAATAGTTGGGTTTTGAGTTGAGCTATCATATAATGTAAGATGTAAATGTGCATTTCCAAAACTGATTGCATCTAGATTAAGTATTGACATTGAACCTCATTTTTTGGGAATACTTTTGCAATCCTCAAATAGATTCTTCTATGATTGTAATCAGATTAAAAACTGTACTATTGAGAAAACAAAAAATTAATCATACTCTGAATTATTTCTTTTAGTAGCATCAGCAATTCCAAGCTCATTACTAAATTATTCATGGATACTAAAATTATAATCAATCAAGGAACGTATTGGGTAAAACATTGTTGCACCCATTCCCGAATTCCGATAATCATAATCATCAAAAACCATGCTCGTTATGGATAATTTTGTTCTCTGAACTATACTGATACAAAAATTCCCTCATACACCAATACACTGCATTATACCCACATTTTCTTTTGAATCCTAACACGGAAAAACCAAAAGAAATAATTTACTCCAAATGCAACAAAAGGTATCCATTCAAATTTCCAAAATATCGAGTGAAAAGAATTAGGGATTGAACAATAAAATTACCATATACTTCTCATAAGCCATTGCTAAAAGCTTGTCAAGAGCACGCTGTTCAATCTCCCTACACAATATTATAAATGTATGGATTAGTACCATAATGCACAGAGGAAGAGCAAAAATTGAATGCATGTAATGTTATCTACGGAAAGAGGGCAAAATCGTTACTTTTCTTGAATCTCTCGTGTCTCTGATGCAGATTTTAACAACTTCCCAAGCAAGCCATTCTTCTTGGAAACCTATGAATTCAACTAAACAATGAAAACTCCAGAAGATATGCATAATTGCAAGATAGGAAAGTAATTAAAAATAATGTTACAATGCATGAAAAATTACTAAATTTGTTTCCAATTCCCATTCTAAATCTATTTGAGCATGTTGCTTTCTTGTTCATTACAATATATAACAGAGGTGCCAACTATCATTCAAGTCTCCAGGCACTTGTACTAGAAAGCTTGAATCAAATCCTGCCCTCATCAAGGTGAGAAGAAGCAAGCTCAAATATGTCATCATCATCATCATCATCATCCTTGACTTTGTCCCATATGAATGGGGTCGGCCACATAAATTCTCCTTTTCCATTCTTTCATATTTTTAACCATGTATCTTACAAAATTTAGTTTTTTTAAATCATTTTTAATTACTTCATCCCATGTAAGTTTTAACCGGCTTCTTTGTCACTTACCTTCTAGGCAAACAAGCCTTCCCCTCCTAACCAGTCCGTCTTCCGCTCTATGTTGTATATGAGCATACCACCAAAGCCTACTTCCTCTAATTTTATCACTAATAGTAGCTACTCCTATTATCCATCTTAGCATCCGCATTTCCACTAAATCAATGTGTTGCTCTTGTTTCTTTTTCAACACCCAACACTCTGCTCCATACAACATAGCTGGCCAAAGAACCGTCCTATAGAATTTTCCTTTTAATTTATTTGAGATTTGTTTGTCACAAAGGATGCAACTAGCTTGCTTCCATTTTGTCTACCCTGGTCCAATCCTACTTACCACATCACCATCTATCCCCCCCTTTTTTTGTAATATTAAACATAAATAGCGAAAATAGTTGTTTTGAGTAACTATTTGGTCCTTGAGTTTTAATATTTATATTGTATTCTTTTGTTGCTTTATCAAAATTACATCTCATACACTCTATTCTAGTTTTACTAGTTTTTAGACCTTTTGCTTCTAAAGCTTTTCTCCATGTTTCTAAAGCTTCTTTCGGCGTATCTATTAAAACCATGCCATCCGCAAACAAGAAGCACATGCATGGAATGTTTTCATGGAAGTCTTTCATTATTTCATCCAACACTATTGTAAATAGGTATGGACTTAACATGAATCGTTGATGTAGTCCTACTTTATGAAGAAATTCTCAATTTCCCCATATGTAGTACAAACTCTAGTCAACGACTCGCTATACATACGCTGAATAAGGTTTATAAGTTTCTTAGGGACATGCTTGCTTTGTAGAACCCACCAAATTATGTCCCTTGGAACCCTATCATATGCCTTATCTAGGTCAATGAAAACCATGCGTAGATCTTTTTGTTACTCCTACACTCTTCTATTAATTGTCTTATCAAGTGGACGTAAGAATCAAGGGGGGAGAGAGAGAGAGAGAGAAGGCTTTCTCTTAATCAGAATATACCTGTTCCTGGTACTTGTCCTCCAGCCTTCTGATATCATCATTGATTTCATCATCCCCAGTGTGTGTTAAATTAGGCTGAGAAAATGGAATATGCAATCAGAAAATTATATTAATGCATGCTATACGAAAGCTGGTTCAGCAACACATTAACATAAGATCAATTTCTTATTTATAAAATTCCCTGCCCTACTCCATTTAAACAAGAAAAGCCCTACATCCTAAATGCAACAATGGCTGCAAAACTTTTGATGAAAACAACAAGGTAAGGAAACAAAAACCAATACAGCAGCCATCCAATATAAAATGAAAACCTTATAGAAGTTAAAAAAAAAAAGGGAAACAGGGATCTGATTTCATATGAGAGCTCTTGTATAAGAGAACCTACCACTGGCTCTGGATAAAGTCCAATACTCTGAAGCTCCAGGAGAAGTTTTTCATTTATGGTCATACTATCATACTGAAACTCAGAACAGACCGTGCCAGGCACCACTGCTTGGTCTGAAAGTAAGCCATTTTCAAGATGATCAGAAGTTGAAAGTATCCCTGTTTCTGGGATGGCTGTCATGTCATTATCTAGCGCAATGTGCTCGAGTTTATCAAGGGATTTCCCAGTTGAAGTTATCCTGTAACCATTAAAAGCAGCACGTCCAGCAAGGTGAAGGTTTCTTGATGACCGATGACACAAAGGACTGGATTCCAACTCTGCATCGATCTCAAATTCCGATCCATGAATATCAAATTTGAGGTCTTCATTCCCACTGCAGCAGAGCTCTTCATTTCCTTCTTCCGAGATTAGAGCCGCAATGAGTCTCTGACAAAGGGGAATTTCATTAGGACTCCTTGTCCACTGTTCAGGGATGGGTTCAACACCTTCTGTTCCATTCATAGCTTCCTCAGATTCAATTAACCGAAATCCATTACTGGGAGTACTGAAACTATCTCCATATAGAGGAACTAAGGTTGGTGCTGGCACACTGGATACTGATTTTCCCTGTATAAAAATAAAAATCAACAATAATTAGAATAATTCAAAAATACAGTAGAAATTTATCCGAGTAACTCCCAATTTATAATTTAAATGGATTGCACCTAAATTTTACAATAGTAAACAGCGGTCCAATTTTACAATATACAACAATGCATCAGTGCAATCTACACTGTATCGCATACAAACTTGGAAAATATCATCGAAATGGTCAACCAATAAGAGGCACCAAAACAAGCTCTTCAATTTTTATTTTTTTTTTATTAAAACCAATGCTTCCTCTATGAAACCAAAATGATAATAATAATGATGACGATGACAATAATTTTTCATACCAACAATAATAATAAAAATAGTACCAGCAGAAGCATCGACTCAACTTCCAAAAAATACAGTAACATCAACTTAAGATGCATTAAGTTCTACAAACCTAACACTGCCCATCTAAAATAAAGCAATAACAAAAATGGACAATTCAAGTTAAATTATTAAAACTCCCTCCCTTTTTCCCTTTTTTCATTTTAAGAATTATTTTCATATCAAATGTCAAAACATGTAGCCAAAACCAATAATGGAAGGAACTAGCTACAATATGCTATGCTACTCGGGGGGAATTTATATATCTATATATATACATACATATAAATAAAGGAAATTGACATTCGCACTCCACTTTTGTACCTCTTCGCTCTTGCATTTTTCTTAAGGGGAAAAAAAAAGACATAAGTGTCCAAAACATTCTTCCACTCCACAATTGTCCCAAAAAAAGAGCGCTTATGTATCATTTCATTTATTTTTAAAAAGAAAACCCTACAGTACATGAGACGAGTCAAAGAAGCTTCTTTGTCATGAATATGCTCATATCATCACCTAAATACTTTTCAGCATAAGATATCTGCCAATGACTCATCAAAAATAGTAAGAAGGTAATGCTCATACCAAATCTTAAAATACTATAGTAAAAAAATGAAGCCCATAACCTGTTGCTTTAAAAAGGCTATATCTCCATCCGATATATAACAAAAGAATGCTTCCATTTGCCTCCAGAATGGACTAGGAAAACCATGACCTGCAGTCACAATTGAATCAAGTAATAAAGAAGAAATAATTTGACAAAAAGTAAATAAAAAGAATTCTCAGTGAAAAGTATTAAGGAAAAAAAAATATCTGAGTGAAAACAGTACTGGGATTAATAACAGCATTTGCAGCAGCCAACAGCTCTTCATGCCCATCATCTGAACCAACCAAAAAATTTAACTTATCAAAGGATTAGAAGAACAAATAATCACACAAATTTCAGGATAAATCATGAAATCTTTGTTTAATAGATTTGGGGTGCAACTACCAAGAAAATCTGCTGCACTAACAGTAGTGTGTTTCTGACGTGTATAAGCCTTGCGGTCAGAAAGTTTCCGAGTTGGCGGACGACCTGCTTTGCTGAATGAAAAAATCAACAATACTTTAAGATTTTAATCAGAAACCAAACATCACCAAGAACAGAATGGGGAAGACATTTATCAAATAACCACAAGATCAAGAAAGAGGAAAATGTAGTAACCTTTCAGTCTTATCAAAACTAACTCGGGCACTTCTGAGTTGTTTTGCTGTTCCCATATTGCCAAGCTTTTGAACTGTCATTGGCATGAGAGATCTAGTGGAAGTAAAACCTCGGCCAGTCCTCCCTTGCCTCCGAACACCATCTCCGAGCTCTTCCCCACTGACAAGTTTATTCTTTCTTGGTGGCAACACCAAAGCTGACACCTTTTGAACGTTCTGACCAGCTTTCCCATCCATCTCATCTGACTTCTTAATTTTATCTCTATATTTAGTTTCAGTGGCCCCTGACTCCTTACTTTCTGATAACGCAGCCATAGGAAAGTGGTCACCTTTTAATTTAACAGGTTGAGGAGTATTACTGGGCAAGTTTCTTGCAAATCCTGACCCATTTTCATTACCTGCAGCATCAGATACCGTATCCAAACTAGAGGTTTCATCATTACTTGAAATGACAGGAACGAAATTTGTCCTTCTAGCTGTACGGGAAATCTTTTGGGGCCTCTGGCTAGCACAATGTGCAACAGGTGGTGATGAAGACCTTGTTGATGGCGTCCGCTGCTTGCGATTGTTAGCCCAAACAGCAGCAGGGAGCTTGCTTGTGCATTGAGAAAGCTCCCAATCACTAGCAGCAGTTGTTCGTTGAACAATCAAGGACAACTTGGGCACAACACCTGAACCTGATCGTGGAGATCGAGCAGTTGCGTTCATTTTTGTGTTTGAAGTAGGGCTAGCCGAATTGAAATCTTCTCGGATATTGGTCCTGGACAATGTACAGGACAAAAAGGATTTAGTTAATAAGGAGGCTCTGGAAGGTAAAGACTATTATCCAACAGGGTATGTAAGAATGTGCTTGGAAAGAAATATAATTAAAAGAGTGTGTGTGTGTGTGTGTGCGGAGAGAGAGGGAGAGAGAGAGAGAGAGAATGTAAACCAGTTGTGAACATAATGCAGTAAATCAAATGTTAATGAGAAAAGATGTGTTTAGGACGCCCTGCATACTTGTTAGCAGCTCTGAGATTCATCCTTTCCTTGTCTAAACCAGTAGGACGATCTCTTCTATCATGGACATGGGAACTATTGTCCTGATCGGCCCTAGGGATGGATGAACGCATGCCCAAGCCAGTTTGCTGTGAGGTGCCATCTGCTTTTCCAACTCCAACAGCTCCATTAGCAACTCCAGGCCTATTTTGAAGATGCGTACGAAGATCAATGCAAAAAGAACAGGTGTTATTTGGAAAAATAATTCCAATAAATGAGATTTGAACCAAAAAAGAACCAAATGTTTAACTTATCCATAACTCTACTCAATAATTTCCCTAAACAAGAAACTTTTCCTCCTATAAGGTAAGGTAAAACCTTCAAGGTAGAACTTTATTATCTCAACCCAGATCTTATTGACAGTGTAAACTTTCTCTCTAGGTTGACCCACAAGTAAGCAACAAAACCAAACTTTCTAGGTACCCACAAGGCCAATCAACAGTCTGAAGTAAAGCCTCGAAAGTAACTTCTCAGACATTGCATTCATATACAATAAAGAAGATGTTAGTTTTAAAAAATAAGAAATGGGTCAACAAAATAATAGATATAAAAGAGAATTTACGGAAGGTTACCATGGTATGAGTCATTATTTTTACCTCATAACTTACAAAGTTTTTTATTTAAAGAATAAAAATCATAGGGTTTCAAGGTATATCAATCAATCAATTTCTACATCTTATCATTAGTTTTTTATGATGGACCTATGTATATAATGAAATCTTTTTTTTTTGATAAGTCATTAATTGAATCTCAGATACAGAAAATCCAAAACTCAGCTCCATTTTTGCCCTTCAATCAATTTCCAGGAAGAATTTAGAAAGGAAGATGTTTCCAAAAGGGCTAAAGAAAGGAACTCATTATCAAGATATTGAATCTAGATTCTAGTCTCTGCATGGTTTTGCAGAAGGAAATGGGGAATGTATAACTCTAAAGCCATGTTAGATGGACTCGGGTACTTGTGTCGGGTATGGGTATGTATCCCACGCATTGAATGTGTCAAATTCCCAAACAGGACAAGACACAGCTAAATATTCTTTTTCTTTTCTTTTTTTTCTTTTTTTTTAGTAGAGTAACATTTTTATGTAAAATAGTGACCAATATAGACATTTCATTCATTTGAAGTAATAATAAAATGAAATTATTGGATAGGGTTTTTTTTAGGTTCATGTTCAACAAAAATATCAGACGCGTATGTCATGCTCACGTCCAAATAATGTGTGTTGGACGCGGGTACTTCACCTACTTTGGAAGAGTCCATGTAACATAGATCTAAAAGGTGCAATTGTAACAAAGAGAAGAAGATAAAAATAAATAAATAAACTGCTATAACTTATCAAAAACAAATAAATTGTTATGACAAAGGCAGCAAACCCAAGAAACAATCAAAAAACACAACAGAAAAATAAATGCGCCACACAGAATACAAACATTTACGTGATTCGGCAAAGCCTATGTCCACGATGAAGATCTGGCGAAAGAATTCACTATAAGAAAATGTGGAGATTACAAGTTTCAGCCCCCCAAACCCTAGCTCTCGCTCGATTTTCAGTGTCACTCAATAATCTCACTCCAAACCCTAAGTGCCCTTATATATTGGGCTACGAAAGATTACTAAACAGGGTCCACGACCCGCAAACAAAAAACCGGGTCAAAATTTTTCCTTGGGGGCTTAGGCCCACACAAGACCCGGCACCAAATTTGGGCCACAACACCACAATACTGACAAACAATTGAATATGGCTTTATCTCTGGTAAGTATCTCACTGAAAGGCTTAAAATTTTCATTATAAATTACATCTGGAAAGAGCATATAACAGCACATATCTGAAATAAGTAAAAAAAATTCAATGATAACAGATGGTAAAAATTAAAGACACTGAAATAAGCAACTCTCGTAAAAAAGTGAGACGACAAATAGGACATGGGCATTGCCCTCAAGCATATATATACATATATAATCCACTGGTATTGAACTAACAAGTCATGCTTGGAGTTCAAAGAGTTACCAAGCACAGATACATGATGTAGCACTTTGAGAATTAATACCTGAACCCATGAGAGTCATTCAACCTTGATCGAGCATCTGTAAAAAGTCTTGGCTGCATTCCTTGTTTGGGTTCCCTGTAGCCATCAACAGGTTTTGATGTCATACGACTTGGAGAGACATCTGGCTTGATCCCAGAACGCTTCTTCTTCATTTTTGACCTTTCCCAACCATCAACACCTATGGTTAATGTTCGATCCTCACCCTGAATTGCACCACTATTTGGATGTCTTAATATTTCCCTATCCCTATCCATACTCCCAGATGCTCTGGCAGGAGTTATTGCACGCGTATCCGTCTACAATAGTCAACATAAAGTAATAAACATAATGAAAATGCAACACAAAAGAAGCCCAAGGAAAAGCAAATTTAAGAGAGCAATAAATAACGGGAATTGGTTTAATTTTGAGGGGACCCACATGGAACCTTTAAATCAACTTTTAGTACAAGCCTTGAGCGAAGCTTATTTTATTGGTTGTTTAATTTTTACTTAAGGTCTATTTTAATATATTATTTCTTATGTTTTAAGGGTTGAAGGTAGTTTGGTAATTTTATGTTTTTTCTTGACATGGGTTGTAGTGGTAGTACCTGGACCACATTTTGGTACCAGTTATGGTATTTGGGTCTTTATACGTGAACTTTAGTTGATTTATCAAGGTTTTACCAATTAAAGTCTCTAAATCTCTATATATATAATCCAAATACTATTAAAGTAACAATTACCTCAAAGTTTTTGGTGCTCGCTAGTTTTATTTGTGGGTTTCCCCCCCTACTGTAATTATAATTTTCTGTTAATAAAATTTATTTTACCTACCGGAAAATACATATATATATACACACACCTAGAACTTTGTATATAAAGCTAATCTTAAATTTAGTTTTCTTCTAGTTTAATTTAACATATTTTTCTGTGATTGTGGAGTCAAGGGTATTTTGATCATTTCCTTTAAATACATGGACTCTTGTATGTCTCCATAAATTGGATTTTGAGTCGAGTTTCATTTTCACTCTTTATGTGTGGATTTAAGTAGATTTACACAAGTTCTACCAGTCTCAGTCCCAAAATTCCTAAATATGGATAGTCCAAGTCCAAGTCCAATTAGAATTACAAATGCAATTACTTGATAGTCTAATTCCTAAATATGGATAGTCCAAGTCCTCTAAAGATCCCACCTTAATATGGAAGATGCTTCATAGAAAAATTTAGCAATAATACTCTGCCTGATAAATTTCAATCATAGGCATGATGCATAAGAGAACCCCAAGTAATATCCCTTTCTTCATTTATTCACCTTTATTTTATTTGTTTCTCTGCAAGCAGGATTTTCAACTTTAATCACAATAAGTTTATAACTTCATCGGTTCTTGAACCTAAAAGTAAACTTCCATAATTCTAATCCTTTCCCTATGTTATATCCTTTATTCTACCAACCAAAACCCTAAATAAAATCCACAAGTTTCAGAAACATTTTACAAGATTCCAACTACTAATAATTCGACCCTTCTTAAGTAAAAGATAGAGCTTTCATAATAAGTGGAGGGAAGTATTAGGGTATGATCAAAGGCATGCAGGCAAGCTACTAACTACAACAAGTACATTGCGGACTACAGATTTTCAAAAAATTAGTAAAATAAATATATAAATAAAGTAAAACATAAATCCTGTACTAAATTCAATTACATGGTTAGTATGTAAAATCCTAAAAAGGAAATTAATATCTGCTAACATGACCCAAGGAAGCACATAAAGAAAAGAGAAGACAAGATACAAGCCCTCACATCCACCACAGAAGTTCGTGTGCGCTTGTTTGGATTGGCAATTTTGGTCCTTTCTTCCGACTTTTGCTGCTCCAGTTCAAAAGCACTGCCAATGGCATGACTCTGACTTCCCATCTTACCCATGACTGTCCCTAGAACTGGCCGATCATTCGGGAGTGAGGCATTGGATCGGTCGGTGGACAAAAAATCTGGTCGGGATCTCTTCCTTGATGGTATGCTTGGGAAACACTTTTTGATAACAGACAAGGCTTCACTAAAGATCTTCACACGCTCCCTGTTTATGATAGAACTCCATAAAGTATATATATCTCTAATCGAAATCAAATAAAATGCAAACAACTACCTGGCTTTACTGGAGATTTCACGAAGACCAGCCTTGAGCCGTTTCAGTTCCTCTGGTGAGGGAGAAGGCAGGAGCTTGCCTTTTGAAGAACCAGAAGGAGAGTCATCAAGTGGAAGGCCAAGAGCAACACTTGTGGTCCTCTTAAAATCCCCTTGTCTACTAAATTTATACTCTGCCACTGATTTCGGATCAAACCTCAGACATTGGAAGAAGTTCAACACATCTCCTTGTGTTACAGCAGAACAGCTTCTTGACATGCTTGGAAGACTTGAGAGGATTGGATTCTCCATTTTCTCACGAAAGCTACCCAATCTGTCCAATGAAGCAGCTGTGAAGGATGCACGCTGTGGATATAATGGCCTATCAGGGCTGCCAGATGACATATCAAACTTACTAGACGCTGCCATCGCATCAGTATCCGCACACCCTCTCCGTTATAAACCCGGTAAACACAGTAGTGCATGACAATACTGTAGTACCACAGCACATGAGAGCCAAACTTGAATTTTTAATGACTACAAGTCTACAACAGGAGATTACACCTGTTAAGTAGAAATGAGTTGAGGACAAGAACCCAAGTCCAGATCAGTTAAATAAGAAAGCTCATTTTTTGCATGGTAAAAAAGTTAATATATTTAATGCTAATGACCAAAAACTACAAGAAAATATTGAGTTGGACCAAGTCCCCAACAAGACCAGCAGTATTTAGTTAAAAAGAAAAAGATCAATGCAAGCTACAAAGCTAAGATTTATAAATCCACAATTCTTCAAATTAAGAGGCATTAACTTTTCCAAAGGTCTCGTAGGACTACATGTCAATAGAAGTTGCTTTTACATTAATAACAATAGTTTTGGAAGATAAAGAAGTCTAGATTCATATAATCCACCTCCCTTCTTCCAAATCTATAGATAGGAAATACAGAAAAAGAAAAGAAATGGAGATCATGAGAACATGAATCTTTTTATAAATGGTAAAACCTTGTTAATTTATTAAAAAAAGAGGATGGTGATAAACTCCTCACTCAGGAAAGAACACACAGATTACAACAAACAAAGTTGAGCAACAGCCACAAAGGCAATTATAGAGCAATTAGCAATCAGCACCTCTCTCCCACTACATGTCACCACTGTATACCCTAGTAGCAGCACATGTGAACAAATGATCGACAAAACAACTCCCCAAAATCACAATTTCTTCAAGAGCTTATTGATTTGGGTCCCACAATCATGGCATTCAGATGGACTAATTGTCACTGAAATGATATTACAGGAATATAATATTGTTATTCCTTCTAATTTTCAAAGTTCAACTCCTCACGTTACTGCATTGGGCGGTTCAGTGTATAAATGTTTCAGAATCGAAAAACCTTATAAATTAACCTCCGTGTAGAAATACGGAATTAAAGCGTGAAGATCAAAAAAATTGGAAGAGCTTTGCTCCCTCGCTCCCTCTCTTTTTAACCACTATACCTTACATAAAACTTTTTTCTTTAGTCTTCATAACTTCCTTCTTTGATTCATTTGCATTAAGCACAGTTTTTCTTTTTTGGTTTGGGGGGGTCCATTGCCACTGCTGCCACTCCTATGATCATCAGCATCGGCACCATTGCCATTATCATAATCAGTACCACAACTGTTTCTATTAGTGAAAGGCATAGTAGAAAGGCAACCACCATTTTTTCTAAAATTCTAGAGTACTAAAGCACCACAAGGTAATCAATGGCTTACATTAACTATATAACGCATTTCCTAGTTTGCTGCAAATCACTTTGACAGCGTGATATGTTATTATACCACACAATTAATTCAACAATGTTTGTGCTAATAGTTATCTTTATTTATAACTAAAAAATTCTTCTCACTCAAATGCCATCATTCAGTGTATGTGCAGGATGTAATGAGAAGGGTGGACCGGTACTGATCTAACCAGGTGAGTTATGATATTTCTATATAAGATATCACGCAATTTTAGTAGTTGTGTCTTGCTCTCGAACTCCACAGGTAATCAGAACGTAGTCTATAGGTGTAGGCATACGGACTTAAATTTTCTTTTAAAAATGGAACAAAATGACACTTAAATCAGACAAAAAGCACCCTAACAAGGGAAAAGGAGAAACCCATAGACAGAATTTCAAATTCGACAACCTATTCTACAGTATTTTCCATAGTCCCCACCTATTCATTTGCTATGGATTTCTCCTCCATTTTTCAGTCAGTGGCCGATCCCCATACACGGGCCTTGCCCAGTTGCCCTTCTGTCTTTTTCAATATGCTAGTTCTCTTAACTACTATTATTCTATATAACATTATACCCAATGTAAAATGGACATACGTCCAAGCACACGGAGCTCCTGAGGGTTTTGGAAGTGAGCAATTCATGGTGGCACACTATATATTTATTATAATTTGACAATGGCATAATGTTTCGGAGAGGACAATATTGTGAAATTGAGAGTTTCTAACTGGTCATCCGGATGGAATAGATAACACGGTGTAAACCTAGCCACAGGTAAAACGAAATTGTTGGTTAAAATAGTTAAACTTGGAGACTTTGAAACATGAATAAGAAAAGGAGGACATAATTTCTCACAGTCAAGAACCAAGTGCCCATATAAATATATCATCCAACATTGCCAAGTCTTAATCCAAGCTGCTTAAGATAAAAATATTATCCATTCAAGCCAATATGAACTCAACGAAAGAAATCCTACACCCGACTACTTAGGGTCACGTTCTTGAATCCAATTTTTTTTTTTCTACTCTAGTTAAGGTCTATTTAAGGTCATAACCTCAGTTGAACCATATGTTGCCATATCTTTCTTTAATAACTCTACCCACGTTAATGTTGGTGACATTCTTAACCACATTTCTCTCATTATATCCAATGGTGTTACTTCCACTATCTCACAAATGTATTCTTTTTTTTTTTTCTATCATTCCTTGTTTTGTCTCACATCCATCTGGACATTCTCATTTCCGCCACACTCATTTCATGCATATGTTGTTTCTTGACAACCCAACTTTTTTGTCATATAAATAATGGTTGGTCTATTTCATAGATTTACCCTTTCAATCTTAGAGAGATACGAAGAACAGACATTATACTAAATGCAATCCTCCACTGCCTTGGTCAAATTAACAACAAATCCAATTTTTCCTTCATTATGAGCATTTGAGCCTAAATAGTAGAAAAGTTAATCATCAATCTTCACTGTATCCCTATTTGCACTTCAAACATTCAAATTTAATCCTACTTATCTTAAACAAGTGTATTTTTATTTTGGCTAGTAAAAAGCAACTTCTAAAATATTGTGTAGAGTAATCATTTTTTTTCTTTTTTAAATTATAGTAGCAATTTATCCATCCATGAAGGATAAAGATAAGAATGATAATATTAGTGTTTTTGACGATGAGTAGCAATTTTACTTGATTTTAAAAGGGGTTAAATAAATGAAATCCAATAACTAGGATAAACAATCAGTTATTCTTCAATTCCACATCTAACATAGTTTTCCACAACATTATGATTTTTATAACATTTGTTAGTTAGATTCTTTATTAATTCATAATTATCACTATTAACAATACATAAGAGGATACATCACTATATTGGCAAGCACACCACACATGGGCACACTCACAATAGCAACAAATGCGACTGGGACAGTATGAATACTAAAATGGAAACCAGAACTAGTACAATGGCTGCATATAAAGCTCAGACTGTATTCACACACCCTCGCAGTGCTCACACACACACACACACACGTTAGGATACCTTTACCATAAACAAATACCATATAAACTTTATTGAAAAAATAATATGCTAATTAAAGGTAATGTTGGTGATGATGAATAACAAAAATAATTAAACCATAACTAAACTCAAAAACACCCCACCACAATTTTCCTTATCCATGTAAATTCTCTTCAGACCAGCCACAATTCAAACTATGATCACACTTTTAAATATATCCGAACTTGTTGACTGTGCCAGACAGTAAGTGAATCAAACAACAGATAACAAAATCTGATAAAAATAAATAAATAAATAAAAGACAATATATGTAGCTTGTCAATTCCAAAACTTGATCCCAGAAGAATAGCCTAATGACAAGGCTCTCACCTCACAATAGGTTAGGAGTTCAAATCCCCTTGGAGGACTCTCAGATAATTTCCTGATAATTGTGCTTGTGGGACGGAACAGCTGTGTGTAATAAGTTCGACACTACCATCATCATCGTAAAAAAAGAAAATGATAAATATAATATATCCAAAAAAATTATATTACTCTCTCTCTATAATATATCCAAAAAATGATATTACTCTCTCTCTCACTTCCTCAGTTCAAATTGTTTGTCTGATCTCTATAATCTAGGACAAATACTTTCATAATGTTTTTTCCTTTTTTCTATATATCTTTGTTTGCTCATCTAAATTTGCATTCCACGCAAGTGCTTTGATCAGTATAAAAACCAAAATAAGTACTTCACCGAATCAGCACAGAAAGTTTAGCCAGACAGTGTCACCATCTGATACCACAATAAATGGTTTTCATCTCATATTCAGTTCAACCAACGAAATTCTATACATGCAAAGCATATATATAAACTATTATTTGCATATATGCCTGCGTGTAAATATATATTAAAAGTGGAAACCCTAGAAGTTGAATCGACAAATAGGAAAGGAGAAAAACGCCTAATCTACCTTGAGTTAAAACAGAAACTATAGATAAAAACGAAACCCTAGAAGCTGAATCAACGAAATGTTTTGAATAAAGAGATCAAACATTTATATATACAAGTAAATATATATATATATATACCTTTGGATGAGACTACAAGTGCAAATGCATTCTTCCGTGGTTTGAAGCTGAATCGATTCAATCAATTTAGGGATTCGAAATTTAGTTTGAATTATTTTGGAGATTCTAAGGTGTTTTTGAGTTCGGAGCTTGAAATCGAAGGTTCGTTCAAAGCCGTGGAAGACGAAAGCACCAGGTGTTATGGTCGGTGGTGTTGGCATTTCAATTTACGGATATGCCCATGTTTTGTTTAGTGAAATACTAGAAGAATGGAGTTTAAACCAGTGGCATTATTGGAAGAGAAATGCTGAGTCGGCTTCAGGGGCTCCAATTAGTATTTCGTGTCTTATATATGGAATATAACTTTAATAGAACATAACTAGAAATATAATGAATACTAAGATTCAAGATACCAAAAATTTGAAATTTGAATACCTAAGTTCCATTATAGGCAAAGGAAAAATTTTAGGATTATAACATTTGGGGTTAAATAGATTAATATTTAAGGAATAGTCCAAAAATAAAATTTAGAAACTTGGGTAATAATCCGATACACGTGAAAATGAGGATAACAAAATAAAATTAAATATCTTTTCTTGTGTATTGTGTGATCGATTACCCACTTTAAATTTAATAGCTGAATTTTTTAAGAAAATTTGTAATTGTTGCCATATGTGTCGAAACACTCCGCGTGTAACAAACAACATTGCTCAATTTATAAAATATATATTAAATCATTGCATTGCATTGCACTCGACATAGTATAAGAAATTTCACTTTTTAAAATTAGAATTAATTAATATCTTGAGCTCACCTTTTTACTTTTGCGTTTGCTATATAATTTTGAACGAATGAGAAATTAAATGGAAGGATTTGGAGAGATACATTAAAGTTTGATGAGTTTAATTTTCTCCCAAAAATGGAAAGAAATGAAAGAAAATACTAACATTTTTAATGAAACTTTATTAATATAAATTTTTCTCTTATTTTTATAATAGAAAAAATATATAAAAAATGGTTCTGCAATAAATTTATTAAAATATTTTCATTTTATTTATTTTCCAAATATAATTACTATCATTTTTTTTTTTCACGATAATAAAACTAACATTGTATGTTGTAACAAGACAATGACCTGACGCGCTCAATGAAAAAAGAGGCTCCCTAAGATTCATCCCTATTCATTTTTATGTATTTATTATGCTTTGTCTACCGTGTTAATAACCAATAAATACAATCGCTCTTTTGTTGTTGAATACAAGTTGACAATAGCCTAAGCCCCAGTGGGAATAATAGGTTCCATATAAGTCATCTCTTTATATTAATTATATATATTTCATTTAAAGCATTGATTATGCTTTGTTTATTATAGTAATTACCAAATAAAAACAACTCCTCAATTGGTCCACATAAGTTTCTCAATAGATTTATGTTACCGTTACTTCAATTTGTCTTCTCAATAATCTCAGTGTCTCACACATTTTGAATTTCTTCTAATTTCTAAAGTATACAGCATAACAATACTTATTCTAACATTATATTTATTTTGGACTTTTGTAATTTATCAACTTTCCTACACATCAATTGTCTCCACAATTAAATCACTATCAGGCTAAAACGTAAATATTATTTTTATATTTCCTCAACTTATTGCAACTTCAAGAGAGAGAATAATAAAAATTATTGCAAATAACCCCTTTTACTTGTTACCATTTGCATTAAACTCCCATTTTGAATTTTGTTTGGAGAAGTTGATTTCACTTGTAGGTAGAATTGTATGGTGGTAATGTTTTATCGTTGACACGGAGTATTAATCACTCAGTTGTATGCCGGCACGGCCATTGATTATTAGAAGGACCCAAGGTCGATCGCATTACTTTAAATAAATAAATAATAATAAAAATTAAAAATTAAAAATTAAAAATTATGCCAACTAAATTTATCTTTTTAACAATTTCAAAATTTTAACGAATTGGATACAAAATGAGTTGTGCTTATGTATGGTGGTAAAGAGCAAGGGGCATTTTGGTCTCAAAATATAGCTAAGCACCCCCAGTTAAAATTCAAAAGGGGGGATTTATTGCAAATGGTTACAAGTGAAGTTGTTGTATTTTTATTTTTATTATTATTATTATTATTATTTTATTTTTTTTGCAATTTGCCATTTTTTTCCCCTCGTAGATGTTACTCACACATGGAGTTAAACTTTAAACATGATACTACTCTAAAAGTAGGGCTGCAACTCGGGCGGACTTAGCACTCATCTCGGGTTAGGCCCGTATAGAAAATCTTCAGTCCAAGCCGAGCTGCCCAACCCATACATAATTTGTCCCGAGCCCGCACTAAGCCCAACTAAAAAGAATTTGTGTGTGAAAAATGAATCAATAAATGCTACACCCATGACTTGAACTTGAAACCTTAGGTATAAATCTCAAAAACACTATCAACTTGACTACTACACTCTTAAACTCAAGTATAATTATAAAATATATATAATATTTTTGGTCTCGGGTTGGGTTTCGGGTTTCATTCATATCAACTCAAGCCCAGCCGGAATTGAATTTGGGCTTAAAATATATAGTCCAAGCCCAAACTGAAATTAGAAAAACATTGTCCAAGCTCACAAAAATTCGGACTAGGCTCGGGTTATTTCAAGTTGAGCCTGCCTGAGTTGCAGCCCTATGTAAAACTTGAGCCAACCCATTGGGGTTGGTATTTCATATATTAACATATTCAATTAGTAGTTGCATACACTAGACCTAATTTAACTATTTAACGATCATGATCCATCGAAATTTAAAGATTACAAACAAATACCATTGTTATTATCGAAACATCGTCATATTCCCTACCTTAATTCCATATGAATGGAGGTGGATTACATAAATTATCTCCCTCCAACCTCTTTCCACTTCCAAAAGGCCCAGAATAGCTGGATTGAAATAAGACGCTTTACGGCTTGAAAGTTTATTATATGGTTCTGGACCATTTAATAATATATTAATACATTCTTGTAGAACCATTTTCTTAATATGAGAGAATAAATTGAACTGGTTCACCAATAGGGCTGTAAATGAACTGAGTTCCCCTACAAGAGTGTATTAAGGGCTGTAAATGAACTGATCTCGAACAATGTTAGGCTCAGCTCGTGAACATGAACTCGTGTAAGCTTGTTTATGTTCATGAACTGTAGGCTCGTTACATGACTCGTTTACATTTATTTTTATTTTTTAATGAAATTCTTCAATTTTTGAAAGTATAAAATAAATATATAATAATTTACTAAACAGCTAGCGAGCTCGGAAACGAGCTTGAACAAATTTTGACTATAAATTCAATTTATTTTTTTAAACGAGCCGAACTTGAGCTGAGTTTTTTAATACCATGACAAGCCCAAGCTCGAGCTTTTTAACACCACGACAAGCTCAAGCCCGAGCTCAATTTTTTGAGCTCGTCACGTGCCCAAGCCCGAGCCGAACTATAAACAAGCGAGCCCGAGCCCGAACAACCTAAGGCTCGGCTCGGCTCGGCTCGGCTCAGTTCAATTCATTTGGAGCCTTATCCACTAGAACAACCACCTAATAGTCTCCACGGAGTACTTTCTACTTACAACCCGCCATAGTAACCCTTGCACCGGGCATGCCTTCTTCATTTTCGTTTCTGGCCAGGCCTGTTCCCATGAATAGGTCAATAGTTCAATGTACCCAAGCTTGGGCACCAGGGCATTCAAAGTCACTGGCGCACCGGTTTGGTCCGGTCTGTTGCAACCCTTGTGAATAGGTGATTGGTTTGTGTAACCATATTACTAGTACCTATTTTATTTTAAGAACATCCCAAATTAATTGATTCATTTAAATAGTGAGAGTTTAAATCCTTTAGGTATGAGTAATGTTTGTGTTTCTTATATAATTGCCATCTTTTTATAACTGTCTTTTAAATATGCATATTTAAACTTAAAATATAAGTTAATAATTTAAAATGGGAAGAATGCATTAATTACAATATAAATGTGAAGAAAAGTTCATGAACCTGTTAACAACCTTCTAGCCAATTTGATGAGCTTGAATTTACTTACAGCAATTTACACGTGTCATCCAACAAGTAATATTTGTTAAAGTAATGAGTGTTGGCATTAATGCATCTCCGAAGCTTATATATATATATATATATTAAAAGTCTACCATAGATTACAGTGTGGATAAGTTTGAAGTCCATACTGCTTGCAAATAAATCTTTAGATTGCAAATAAACATGTAATATTTCACATCATGAAATACTATATTAGTTACTTGATTTACTGTTTGTCTTTATAAAACCCCAAAGCTTTCAATAAAATATTAGTTACTGGTGTCGTTAATACAGCTAAAATGTATTTGGAGTTCTCTACACCATAGCGCAGGGAGAGAAAGGAAAAGAAACCAAGTAAAAAGCCATGAAACTGTCACAAGCGATAGCAGATTTTGCTCTGCCAACCTGGGTAGTCAGGACTTGAAAATGATAAACTCTCTAACCGGACACAAGAACTTTCAGTTACAATGACTACATTGCTACTGATCAACCGGCCTTTTGGAAATTCCTCTGATGACTGTACAATTGGAAGGTTCTGCAAAATAAGCGGGATTGAACTTCATTTAGATTGCAAACAAGGGCAAACCTGATAAAAATAAAGTAGGTACATTACCATATTCATAAGGGTGATTGTCCATCTGTTACCCAAAAAAAAAAAAGAAAGATTTACAAGGCGATGGCTTGGTTTGCTCATCACTCTGAAATGATATCAGCTGACGGAACATGGATCAGTGTCTCTGCATCATCATCAGTTGTCAGCTGGACAGAGTAGTCCACGGCAGAATCACCTAAAAGGTACATTAACTATCATAAAAATCCAACCACATATAAGAGTCATAGAACATTACTAAAGATTTAGAGTAGTATTCAATTTCATTACTGCGAATAGAATCAATTGACGAACGTGGTGGCGACGTGCTACTCCTTATATCTGTGAGCATAAAACAAATATCAGAGATCCACAGTGGAAATTATAGGGTAACGCAAACAAGCAGGCCTATAAATTATTAAAACTCTTGTTCAATGAATTTATAAATTTTCACAGGAAAAAAGAAAAGAATATAAAGTACATGATGGCTTCACTTATCTTTTTACTTCAAAATGTTAAATTACTAATTGCTTTATTGCAAGAAGTTATGCAGTCAAGGAAAAAGAAAACAATTGTTGTCTTGAACTAATAGCAGATTGAGTTTTCCTTTGCCCAAAATGGGAATGTGCAATTACTGGCCGAGCTATTTTCAAAATTCTAGTAACCCTCTTTCAAAGGTAACTATTCCACAAGTATTTTAAGATAGCTGCGGAAGTCATACACATCTTCCAATGGCGGGAAGATTTGTTTACAAGTTATAGAGCATAGAACCTGTAAACATATCATCAAACTGAACCACAAAAGGTGGCAGAATGTTAGAATAAAAAACTGAATTCTTTTAGCTAATAATACTTTTGGATGTCTCATGGAAATTGAGGATGAAAGTATTAGGAAAAAAAAAGACATTTATTTTTGGTCACTAGTACAATGCTTGCAGTACACACGTTAAATTTTGAGATTAGAATTATCAAAACTCCAGCCCACTGCAATAGCAGTTAATCTAAGAGCAACTTATAACACCTTGATATACTCAGAAATACGAGAATGTTCGATAGGGATTTTACCTTTGTAAAAATGTTTGGCAGATACAAGGCCATCCTGTACGAATAAATTCAATAGGGGGAAAAAGGAAACAAAAAGTATCATAATCAAGTAAAATCACTGACCAAAAGAATGACGCATCCCTTTGACAGCATCAAAGTTCTTGTATGTATAACCAACAAAACTTAAATCTTTGGGAGTCAACAACGTCTGTGACAGAGATTCAATGAACAGAATAAGATGTCTTGGTAAATCTTTTCAGTATGGGATACATAAAAATATGGCATTTAAGTAAGCATATTCAAGATGGATAACTTTGTGTAACTTTTGCAGATAAGTGGTCTAGTTAATGACATTGAAGAGAGGAATGATGCATGTCATAATAGAAAAGCATGAAATCGACTTCTGGCAGAACTCAATCAAGGTGGATTGATTATCAAGGGAAAAGATCCTCCTCCTTCCGCACTTCCTTTGAAGGCTGGACATGCTTTCTTGAACTAATTTAAAATATTTATTCTTCAGTTGTGCTATCAGTTTCATTTTTCAAACCAGTTTGTTCAGCGTTTTTGCTAAAAATTCCACCATTGCCTTCTACCAAAATTTCAAAATATTATTTGATACAATATCTTCCACGAATCCTTTTGATGTGCAATTTATCCAGCAATATTGATACTCTAATCTATGTAAAATATAGAGGAAAAAATGGAGAGAGAAGACAGAAAAGAGGAGAGAGAAAGAAAGAGGAGAGAGACCAGGAGAAATAAATAAGGCTGCCATGTGAAAAATCAAATGTTGCATTCCTATCTATTTAATATATATATATATATGTAGAAAGAGATATAGAAAGGTAGATAAATTGTTCTATTTTCTGGAATTCTTTCCCTTTTACAGCTTATTTGGCTTTAGTTGCCATTTTACTGTAAAGAAAGTTGTGTTATCTTCTTATGCATGAAGGAATCAAATGAAGTTTTCGTTGCACGATACTTTAATCAGTATTATTTTGTTGTGGCTTTTAAATAAGATTGGTTGATTTGACATATTTGCCATCGTTTGTTTGACATGATAATAGTTTTCTGACAACAACTACAAAAGCTGGTAATAAAAGTTGAATAGGAGTAGTGTAGTTGTCATAGAGAGAGGTTAAGGTTTTGAGCTGGTCAAAGGATGGGTGTAGGACCAACTCCAATAGTCAAGAGAACTTCAACTTGTTCGGTAAATTTAATTTGAGCGAAGAACAATTTCAAAGGAGGGTTACTCAAAGGACATGCCACTGATGTTAGGACGAGTACAAACGGAACTCCCAATTTTTACAATTCGGATGGGGTGGTGCGGGAAATAGAATGTTTTGAATTAGATTCTGGGAGGACCTAACCATTGGTTGGTGCAAAGCTTTTAATGCTAGAATGAAAGGAAATAACATACCAAGAACCATTAAAACCTTGACTACAAGCATAAAATAATTTTGTGTTCTTGAGGTAGGAGCAGAAGGTAGAGGGAGGACCAGTAAAAGAGTTTAGGAGTAAAATATCATGGATTGATGAAGTTTCCAAGGGGACTGAAAAATATATAATTGAAGGTGTATTAAATAATGAATGGATACTAATTACGGTGTTGCTAGAAACTGAATCGGAGATTGCAGTGATGAAAAGTGAGGGAGAACACATTTTTTTTTTTTTTGATAAGTAAATGTGAGCCTTCTCAAGGCATGATGGGTGGTATCTTTGGTGATGCTTTTCTTGAAAGGTGGTAGCTTGTTGATGTTCATTAGCAGTGTAGATGGGAATTGCAAATGGAGGCAAGAGAAGGGAATTCTCGTCAATTTAAAATTCAGAACAGTAGATGATGGGCTGACTTGGTATCTCTCAGGGGCTTATGGGCCTGGTGACAGACCTTTGCGTGAGACCCTGAAATATCTTTAAATTATGAAATTATCAAACTAGAAGAAATGGCAGAAAAACTCAGACACCCATTTGCCCCTATGGGAATTGGCCATCTCACTTTGGGAGGTTGATGAGATACCACTAAGCTTGGTAAGAATAAACTACATCTACTTGATGCAAATTAGGCTTACTTTATACAGAAAATTTACATACCTTCCTTATGGATCCAGAACCAGTTCTTGCTGGCGTTGGAGGATCCACCTGTGTCATGATTTGAATACATTTCAAAAGTGGTGATTCAGAAAGGCAATATACTGAACATCATCAAAAGATTTTGTCATATCTATCCATCCATAGATCAGAAACATGATGATAAAACAAGGCAAAAAGACTTGTATCCTCGCTTAAAAAGTTGCTCAAATTACTCTACATTGGAGTGGCAAGGAAAAACAGTTGGCTTTGGAATCTGCACTCACATCAGTTGCTTATGGCGAACAAGTTCATGAAGACTGTATATGTTCGCACTTTGTCACTTGAAACCAACCAAAGCTCAATTATTTCAACAATATAGCGTAGATACAAGTATAGTATGAAACATGGACTCAGGAAATATTAAAGTAGGACAGGGACACGACAATACATATTTATATATATATATATATATATATATATATTTTCCTTATATAATATTGTATGATATACGACCAAAATTACATTATGACTAATGCATTTTATATTCTTTGGTCATGTGAGATTTGTAATTTAATGATCATAATTATCAATAGAGTTTTTTTTTTTTCATTTGTTTATGACAAATGTTGTAATGATGTCCACTTCATGGTGATGGCATTTTATAACCATTGCCAAGACAATTCATTTAGAAAAAAAAAAAGAATTAAGGAATTCCTGAAATTTACTCTTCAAATTGAAGATATAAATAGGGGTGCAAGTTGGGCAGGCCCAACATGGGTCCGATCCCAACCCGAGTTCGGGTTATCTTGGGTTAGCCTGAATTCAACCTGATCATGGGTTTTTGATTGTCAACCCAAACCCGATTATAGACACCCATAAATATTTTTTTTGGTGGTCCCTGGCAAGGGATATTAACTGCACTTGATATTCTCTAAACCTAAGCATAGGGTTATCATTATCTCTCACCACCCAGTGTTTGCATTATGAAACTAAAAGACATCAATAATTTATAACAAAAACAGACCAAAAAATAGAAATCAAAGGAAAATTAATTTCTTATATATATATATATATTTCTTTTGAAAAAATTAGATAAAATGAAGTAACAAGATTTATCGACTATCTCTATATCTATATCAGATTTATTTGAGTGTTTTCAACTGGCACTGAAATGGGATTTCATTGATTTTCTGGGTAGAGATTTGAGAGAGAAGGAAGGAGATAAACTCTGCATACCAAATTTTCTTTCCTTTTTGTAGGTAGTGATTTTCGTTTTGGTCTCTTTATATGTATTTCTTCTTGTGGGTGAGCTATCAGACTACCCAAGAGCTACAGTGGGACGGAGATTAAATCATAGACCAAAACTCATCGGTTTTCTCTTTGGATCATGTTAGATAATTAGAGAGTTTGGGTCTTATTGTACTGTGGGCTTTATTGTGGGCTTGAGGGCTATTTTGTAATCATGCTATTTCTATATAATATTGGAGTGGTGTAGAATCTCAAGTTGAGTTTTCTATTCCACGATTATATTATTTCTCTTCTTCTTCTTCTCCACTTCTTCTCTCACTAACCCTAGAAACACCATCTCACCATCTTCAAGTATTCATTTCACGGTGGTATTGCGGTAGCAAGGTAGTAGTGGTGATGGAAAGGAATAACAGATCTAGGGTTTACTTTCAAGTTTATATACATAAAAAAAGTGGGTTCAGGAATATAAATTTGGGTTGGGCTTTCCAACCCGAACATAAACCGATTGTTAAAATAAATGAACCCAACCCAAAGATTTTTGGGTTGGGTCAGGTTCAACCTGCCCAACTTGCACCCATAGATATAACCCACCATTGAAGATTTTAAGAGAACAACAAAAAAATAAAAAAAAAAAACACCGGACAGAGACATTCAAAAATCATGAAATAAATATAACATAATTTATATATATGGACTCAAAATTGTGCTGTTTTTTCATACACCAAGATTTTACTTGAAATAATGGCATTTCTTAAAAAATATAAAAACAATAGCTAAGAAAAGCCATCATCCCAAGTAAAAAAAAGAGCAAAAGGATGGCATCGATGATAATAATAGTATTAATAACTACTAGAGGATGGCAAAGAAATAAATAGCCAGGACACTCTACCTCATCAAATTTCATGAAATTTTGTGTATCAAGTTCGTCATTGACCTCTGGTTTGAATGCTGCCTCCATTTCATAGAGTTTGTCCCATACAATATCTTTGAACCAAGGATGAGCCTGATCCAATTCAATGGAACATAAAAATGAGGAAGAGATGGTACAGAGAGAAGAGGACTACATTGTAGTTGATGGAAACTTACTTTGATATGTTCTGGCCCTTGAGTACCTAGCCTATGCTCAACATCACAAAGCAACTTACAGATCAGATCCTTTGCTTCAGGAGTCAACCTTGCCTCCTCCGGAAATTTTAAGTGGTTTTTCCAGTGAACAATCTGCCAAATTTAAATCAACATGAGAAGGAATATATAAAAAATCAATGTATATCAAAAGATAATGCATCACATGATTTCTTTGGAGGTAGAAGTAAACAAGTACTGATATGATTGTTCAATGGAATAAATAAGAGTAGAGCAAAAGAAAAAAAGAAGAAGAAGAAAATCTACAGCATTCAAGCAGCAATGCTCACAAGAAACTATACACCTCTAATAAGAGTGTGAGCAATGACAACATAATACAGTTATATCTTGTACTAACTAATCCTAGTATGGATCACTTTACTGTTATGTTTCAACAGGAGTTCCAATGGATGTGCCAGGGGATGCTGACAGAAAATCAGGTACTGCCCTTTATTGACCTTCTGCACTATGTAAAGAGAATTATGGAGTTGAATACAATCTAGGGACAAATTACTCTAGTTGGAGTGTAATGTGATTAGTAAGAGGGGAATGTATTTAGTTAGAATCCGACTGATACACAAAGTAACTATGCAGTAAGAAAGGAGCTCAAAAAGCATAAAAACCAACCAAACTAAACAACTATGTATTCAGGAAGAAGGGAAGTTAGCTGATTACTTATCATCTCATTTGATGGCTCAGTGGAATTTGTGACTTAAATCATCAAAAACACTTGGATTTGCCCTTTCTTTTTCGATTGTAATGAAGTTCAGTTAAAAAAAATCAGTAAGAATTTTACATGGAAGTCTGTGGGAGAAACTATATAGTTAATCATACTGTAACTGGCTGGGTGGGTGGTCAAAACCACTCGACCCATTGATAAACAGGTTAAGAGACTTCGAGCCAAACAGATCATATTACATATTATCACAAAGCTTCATGTCAGGGTGTTTGAAATAATTTAAATTACAACTAATTTGACACATGGACAGTTGAGTTGAGAAGCCCGGCAAACTACACCCATTAATCATAACATTCCCGTATTTGACTCTGTTACCAAATGGGCTCCCTTAAAACTTTTGTTATAGGTAGACTCAAAGGTTTAGGTTAGATACTGCCAGCAATAGAAGAGAAATATAACATTTTGATGAACCTGCTAGATTCTTGCAGAAAATTTGACAATCTAAATAGCGATCCAAGAATTGTAGATAACTGGGTCGATATGCTTCTGAACCGGAAATATTAGACCAATTTTCTTAACTAGAGATGAAATATGCTGTCTTTCATCTCTATCTCATCAGTTCACACACACACACACACGAGAGAGAGAGAGAGAGATTCGTGTAGACTGACTACTGAAGACTTCTACCTTAGCACCTATGGCATTGGTCCATTTTTTTCTTTTCCTCCCTTCGAACTTCTTAGCTTATTATATACCTCAAATATGAAAGGCTGCAAAAGACATATCCTCTAAAACAATTGCTAGAATATGCTTACAGCATCCAAGATACGTCCTGTTACATTAGATTGTGAAGGATCTAAGAGATGTCAGAATTGTAATTGAGACTATTACCTGAATACCTTTAAGGAGATTAAAACTACAAATAAATTACCAAAAAGGAAATTTTCCAAAGATGACTCAGCTTATTTATTTATTTATTATTATTAGTATTTTTTGGGTATCAATTCAACTATTAGTATTAAGAGGCATATGCCGTTACTTAGCTTTGAAAGAAAATAACTTCATAAAGAAATTCCAAATAAAACACTCTCAAATAGCCATCTAACTACGTCTCAAGATTCCTGACAAGGTGCTTTTGGCATCATCAACAGACCAAGATAGCTGAACATAATCATCAATACCCAGATAGACGGTGGGGTACATAGAAATATTAACTTCCTTCAAATATATAGAGAAGAAAATAGATAAACAGTTGGAATGAAAACATTGTAAAACGATAAAATTTAACACTTCCTACGGACATCATGTAATTATTACTCACAACAATAACAAACTAATATCAGCTGATCATCTTAAACTAAAGATAGCATGTTAACCTTTCTACATGTTGTTATTGGATCGTCAGAGTAGAATGGAGGGTAACCCACAAGCATCTCATACATTATAGCACCAAGAGACCACCTGAAAGCAGGCCACTAGTAAGAATACAAGAAAAGAAAATACTGGCCAATTGTATCAAGAAAACGAAATCCACCAACCACACACAATTTCCAAGGGGAAGGAAAGTGATCCCCCTGTACTTATATGTAAGTATCTCAATAATTGAATAGGATTACATTGCTAAAGAGTAAAAGCAATTTATAAGACAGTAATTCTTATTAAGCTGTCAATAACAAAATAAATAGGCACTCAAAACAAGTACATGTTCAAGCATCATTAACCAACTCCTTATCGATCTCAATTTATTTCAATATGAACAAAAATTCAACCGATTCGATTACTAGTGACCTACCCCAATTTATTGCAGAAATTTTCGCGATCAATGATTGGATGATTTATATAGCGATATATAATTTTGATGTATTTATCACAATTATGATACAAGTCTAAGTTTTGAAAAAAAAAAATGGATGCGATTTAGTCAAAGAAGGCACTTGAAATCTTTTCATGATGGATATGTAAAAAGAAATAAATCTAGGAATTTAGGCAAAGTTTAAATTCAACCTCTCTTTGATCTTGTAATAATTCTGTAGCACAAAAACAGTAAATAAATAAGATATCTTACTATATAATTATTGCATCAATTATCTCTCTTAAAATAGATAAAAGAATTTAACTTGAACAAAAAAAGAACCTGGGAGTAAAAAAGAAACCAAGTATCTTAAGGTACAACAACATGTACTTAGAAACCTCAAAAAGTTGTGAACACTGGATCAAAAAATCAGGACCAAATTGGGTAAAAATATAGAATTCTGTGAAAAGCATGACATTACCTTTGGTTCTTTTCAACTAAAATGTCATTCATAAACAAGTGCACAACTTGTACATCTAACAGAAAAGATTTTTACTCGTTATTACATCTCCAAATTTTTTTGCTAAGTTTAAAGAAAAAGGAAAATGATCTTCTCATTCTTTAGCTTCTATCATAACCACGAAAGTAAACTTGTTACTGAAGCAAATCTGGAAATAAAATATCAAATCATATTATAGGCATATATAAGATATTAATTGTCTGAATAACTAGACTGAGCCCCATTCGTTTTGAATTAACTAACCAATCACACTCTTTGCCATATCCTTTCTTCAGTAATACTTCAGGAGCAATGTAATCAGGTGTGCCCACAGTGGAAAATGCCTGTTGGAAGGGGAAAAAAAAAAAAAAAAGAACACATGATAGCTAGTCTTAAACTGACAGTCATTACAGGCAAAAATGCTTGAAATCTTGACAACCACGGCCAAACAAAGAAAATTAGTTCCAAATTAACCATATATGAAAATGACCGTGGCCTAAGAGCATAAGTCAAACAATAACAACATGAAGCCTCGGTAGTCACATGACAAATTCTAATGATCTTCCTGACGGCAATTTTTCATAAAAAATTGGTCTCATATGTGGGATGACTTCAGAATTTCAGAATAGAAATAATATGAAGAAATTAATTACTGGAACACAATGCAATAAAAGGCACTGCAGCATGGGATGTGCTGACAGCCAGAGCATGGTCAACTATTAGGACTTGGATGTAAGGATACCTCAAAGTAGACAGCACCAAGAACTTGGAGAGAGTCTTCCATCTATATCATTAATATGTTCCTCCTCCCCATCCACCAAATTATCCAAACTATTGAAGAGGAATTTTAATTTAAGAATCTCAAAAGTGAATACTAGAAATTAGCAAACTTATAAAGTTACAGACACAATTAATTTCAACAAATGAAGCAACTGGTACGATAAGTTTGAACATATGAAGCTAATAGCAAAGTTATAACTTCTGACTACTGACTATAGCAAGAAAAAGAGGACAACACTTTACAAATTGTTTTAATTTCGATAAAGTTTTAATGTTTTCTCTAAACGATAGGAAGTAATTTATATAAATCACATGGATTTGTGCTAATATTATTATCTACCACTCACACTGAAGTGTAAAATAAAAAAGAGTCCTAGTGACTCGTAATTTATATAAATCACATGGATTTGTGCTAATATTATTATCTACCACTCACTGAAGTGTAAAATAAAAAAGAGTCCTAGTGACTGTAAGCCTCAAAAGCTGAAGCATTATGATTCAAGTCTCAGACTTGGAGATGGTCTAGACAATTACTCCCATGCCATGATCAGAAGCATATAATAGAAGGTACACCTCAAGTGCCTTTTTGGGCCTTGATTTGTGTGGTAGCCCATTTTTCTAATCTAAAAGGCAACGATATATTTATGCAAGTAGCCCAGCTTTTATCGGTTTTATGGACTCATATAGCATCTGACAAACTTTAATATTAATTTATGATGACCAGATCCCATGCTTATGTCAACCCTCTTGGAGCAATGCCAAAGCTGAGAAGCCCTCCCACAAATTTTAGCTAATACATTTTTTTTTTTTTTAATGTTATCAGTAGGTAAGTTTAAATTAAGGGTAAATTACACTGAACTCCCCAGAGGTTTTGTCAAATTACACACGGATAGTGCGTTTGACACCTATTGCTTTGACCTCCCCGGAGGTTAGGAGCGTGTGCTCAATGACCCCCTTCCTATATTAATCCATTTCTACAATTTTATAAAATGACTTAATTGCCCTTGTTTTGAGCTAAAAGACTTTAAGAGCTTTGTCTTTTGACATGAAATGACAATAATACCATCAACACAATGACAAATTTATCCTTGATGTGATGAAAAAGAAGATTTTACATTTTTTATTATTTTAAATTCAACATTAAAGTTACATAGATTTCTCTCTCCTCATAATCTCTCTGAACCTTTCTATTCTTATCCTTTAAATTTTCTTCATCGTTTCAAAAGACCTTATACATAGTACATATATATATGTATGTATATGTATATATAAATGATGATATAATGATTCAAATTAGTAAGACACAAATACATACTTACAACTCCAAATTAGTGCTATGATTATCTAAATAGTGACTCACAAAAACAAAACTACAATCAGTTTTTTATTTTTTATTTTTTATTTTTAAATTGGGTCTTGTCTAAGGGGTGCATGTGTTTGTATATCTATAATATGTATAATCCAATCTTGGCCTTGTTTTTTGTTTTTTTCCTTTTCCTTTTTTGAAAAGATCTGGGTCTTGTTTAAGGTGTGTGTATTGTGCGATTTGGGTACATGTATATGTATGTATTTAATAGGTATAAGCAATCTCGGTGAGGAATCTATAACTGACAGTATTGGATTTTGAAGTCCCCTTCCAATTCGAAATACAGAGTCATGCATATGAATTGTGTGTACATATATATAGCTATATGTATATGTTTGTCCATATAAAAGTTATGTATATATATGCATGTATCTATATAAAATAGATTAAAAGAAATCCATTGGCAAAGCCAGAGCAAATAAATTATAAATTAAACACTGATAAAGCTAAAAACCACAGATCTTGCAGGAGTCGTTGCTTCAACAAAAAAAATTTGCAGGCAGTCGGAGATGAAAGTGGTGCTGGCGATTGAAGATGATGCCGGTGGTTTTGGGCCATCAAGAATATATATATATATATATATATATATATATATATATATATATATATATATATTTTTTTAGGTTTTTGAAGCATCAATTAAAAATTTTGACCGCCTTTTCAAATTGCAATGGATTAAAGCTTGCGTTTTTTTGAATTGGGCTTTTGGCAAAGTCTATTGCTTTACCCTCTCTTTTTCTGGGAACACTAGCAGTTCTTCCAAAATTTGAATAATCTTCCTCTGCTACTGATCAGTTAACTAGTGATGTACTCTCTAAGTTTTGATTTTGATTTTCATTATTGCCGGAACTCAGGTTAGAAGGGTGGTGGTGGTGGGAGGGGTAGGAGATGGGAGGGGTGGGTAGGAGAGAGAATGCAGAGACGGAAGAAGAAAGGGGAGAGAGGCTTTTTCTATAAATGTAGGGCAGAAAAGGCATTTCACGTCAAAAGATTTTATTTATTTATTTGAAAGTATTAAAATATGAAGGGTAAAATGGACTTTTCACAGTCTCAAGGGAGGTCAAAGTAATAAGTCTCAAACGCTACATCTGTGTAATTTGACAAAACCCGAGGGGAGGACAGTGGAATTTGCCCTTAAATTAAATTACCAAAAACATAATATAGAAATAAAAGCCCAAACAAGTTCGTGAGCAAAACTTGCGGGTGCACAGCAGCAAGACCAAGCCAGTCAAAGCCCAAGAGTCTAGGCTATTAAGCACAAAATTAACAAACCAAAAAAGTAATAATAACAATAACTTACCAAAAAAAAAAAAAAATAACAATAACAATGAAGTATTGCATGTAATATGATGGATATTCCATGTGGAATGGGCTAGGTGAAAGGACCAAGCTAAATTAGAGGGTAAGTAAGAAGGTGGAACTATTGATTCATTGAGAGAGATTTTCTTTATATCAGACTCTTTAAGAACAGCCTTAATTAGGTGGTTTCGATAACTTCTGCCTTTGATGACCGAAAAGAATATCCTTTATATAGCCGGTTGTGGGAAACACTCTTTGTGACTTCAAAGGGAACTTGGTTAAGTTTAACTCAAAACTCTCATTTTCATTCAAAGATTCAATCTTTATACATTAAAACATTTCAGTGACTGTCTACTTGTCAAGTCAACTCAACTCAACTCAAAAAATTGTTTGCTTGTCACATAGGAGAAAAGTTATTGTAACAAATGGGGTTCTTTTGGTTCAATAGCGCAGTTAAACTGATTCGTGGTAATAGCTATTGCGGGAATAGAGTTCAGTGGCTGTAAAATGTTGTAAGAGTGGCTATTTATTGTGGTCAGACAACTCATTATTTAGATGCATCAGTATGTGAAAGGGTGAATCACTCTCTGGGAGGATTCAACAGTGTCTTGCTACTTCACTTAATGGGGACCTTCCTCGATGAATCTTGACCTTTATCCGCCGAGCCAACACCTGCTTAAGATCCCACTGGATCAACCTTCTGATGTGCATAGTACCACATAGGTTGACTTGTACAGATGGGTAGACCTTCTAGGTCCTGCTCCCAGTCCAGGAGTGTACAAGGTGTCATTGAGGTTTCAAGAAATTTCTGTTGCCTCTTATTCAAGCGAGGTTTATCTTGGAAAAATAACTCCTTGCTAAGGTCTTCGAATGAGATTTACTGTGTTGAGAAGAACCTTTTGAAAAGGTCTTCATGTGATGTTTATCTAGGGAGAAGAACTTCTTGCTATGGTCTCGTCTTAAATTTCAATATTTTGACTTCATACTACATATTTTTTTAGAAAAATTCTGACAATACTAACTACATAAAGATCTTAAAACCAAATTTGACAAATATGTAAAAAGTGATATATATGTTAGACAAGGAAAAGGAGTTGATTACATACCAATGTCCTTCTGTTTAACTGCCAATGCTGCAACTGTTCAAGGGGGCTTCTCCAGCGTCTTCCTTTTGCATTATCTGGAAAGCATCCATTAACATCCATTGATTCCCTCAAATTCTCATCATCAATCACTTCATTTTCATTTATATCAGACAAATTTGAACAGTCAAGAGGCTTGCAAAGACCAAAATCGGAGAGCTTCATGTGACCATTTTTATCCAATAGAAGGTTGTCAGGTTTAATGTCTCTGCAAGAAAATACTTTTCTAAATAAGGTAAATTAAAATACCCAGCTTCACATTTAATACATTATAACATACTTTAATTTATAGTGAGTTTATTGACATGTGACCATCGAGGTAACACCAACCTGTGGATGTAGTTATGCTTATGAATAGATTCTATGGCCAGAACACTTTGGGCAATGTAAAATCTAGCCACAGTCTCAGTTAAAGTCTCTTCTCTGATCAGCAAATTCATAATGTCCCCACCAGGCAAATACTCCATCACCAGATACAAGAATTCAGCATCTTGAAAGGAATAAATAAGTTTGACTATGTAGTGACTGGCAACTTCTGCAAGCAAATTTCTTTCAGCTCTAACATGTTCAACCTATGGTGTAAAGAGAAAGACAATAAGTGAGCACAAGAATATTCCCACAGGCCGTAAAAGTATGAAGCCCGTGTAATTTGTCCAATGCGTAAAAGTTGTAAATGGGCTATAGAAAGACATGGTAATCAAGAATGTAACCATAGTTATAGTAAAATGCAGTTGTGTAGAAGTTGAATTATTGGAGAAGTATGCATAATGCTTCCAATGGTTACATGCCATGAGAATTGTAAATCGCTTCCGTTCAATGTAACAGATGTTAACAAATCCTATTCACATTTCATAGACATAGTGACTGCATCAAAAATAACGGCACACAGAAGTTATTAAATAGATTCAGGAATAACATCAAAAGGGTTGATAAAAGTAAAGGCACACAATTAATACGGAATCTCTTTTAGCAGCAGCAAGTATTTGACTTTCATAAATATAAACAATGAGAGAGCTTCAACTTTTAGTGACCATTAAATTCCTTTGAATACTCACGCCCACGTGTTCATGCACGTGGGCAAACACATATCAAAACCGCAGGCCACAAGCAAGACCAGATAAAACCAAGAACGGAACCCTTCACCAGCAGGTCAATTTGCCAGCCCCAAAATTATCCACAAGCAGATTGAGGAGACTGTTCAAACACATATGGGGTAAACCCATTCAGTTTTCATACCACCAATATATAGTAGCTGAATTGGTCAATCTCCCTTTTACAGGTTAACCCCATTCCTAGGTTTTATATAACCCTTTTATTTCATTAGCACTATGTGAGCCTCTCCGAGTCCCAACTGTTGAATTCTACTCCTTATTCTTAATATCATTATTCTAACTGATTTGCATCACCATTAATGATTAACCCACCAACACATCAACAGCAAGAGCTGCAGAGATTTGTGGCATGCAATGCCAAAAGCACAATTCATTTTTAATCTTCAATATCAATGAAACTGGGAAAAGTATATACAAATTTAGCAACATGCTCAGTATACATTGATATCTAACATGACACCATATAAGGAAAAGCAGTATGTCATCATACCACAGATCACACACTATGCTGCATCATGTTGATCCCACTAAACAATAAAACACCATAAATCTAAATCGGAATATAAGTGCACAATCAAAGGTTGATCATTTGTCCAACACTCCCGTGAAAAAGCAAACATAACAGTCATGATTGATCAAACGAAATATTATGAAACTTGATTAAATTAATAAAAAAAGAAGAACCTTTTCCATTCAATTTAATTTAGAGCCATGGCTGTGTTAATAATAGGACATGACGCCTTTTCACACTACATAAAACCGTACTTTAGAATCATGGCTGTTGTAAATATATCTCAATGCTCAATTTATAGAACTCCTATAAGATATATATACAGGCTTTATATAATGATAACTAATTCCAAGAGATCAAGATGAACTATAAGTATATTTTTTACAAACTCATACAATATAGAACCATCATTACCAAGAAATAGCTTCTACTTTGAGTGGAATGAAATAAAAACCAATAGGAAAGGGGGAAGAGTATCACATAAAAAAATCGAAACCGAAGTAGTCCTTTTCTAGAGAAAGTAATAAAAGCTGCTAATAATGTCTGTTCTCACCTGTCCCCTGCTAAGCATTTCTGACTTCTTCAACTTCTTCATGGCAAATATAGTGCCAGATTTCTTCTCCCGGCACAGTCTAACCTGTAAAATAGTTTTACATAAACAACTGTCAGTCTCCTACCTCACAATATAAAGCAAATGATATGTATTGAAGCCAAAACATACAAGACCACCTGAAGTTTGATCAAATGAATAACCAAAATATTTCAATAAATTGGGACAGTTAATATTGCGTTCAGGAACTAAAAATGTAACATTTAGCACATTGAAAGCTAGGATACTAACTTGAGAAATTGTCATAAATTACTATGAGTAATATAAGAAAAGAGAGATACAAGATCCGGTCTAAAATTTGACGAGGTTATTTAAAAAAAAAAACCTAATAGTATTATCGATGACTGATGGTCGCACCCTGAGTTTTTTTAATTATTTTGTCATAATCATTATGAGTCACTCAACTTTTCACACAATTATTAAAAATTAGAATATTGCTTAAATACAATATTCATGCAGTGAATTGAAGGTAAAAAGGGACCCGGAAGAAGGAAATTTTTATTCATTTTGAAGAAAATTCATATCTCAAACCTCTCCAAAGGCTCCTCTCCCAATAATGGCTAGAAGCTCAAAATCATCCACACAGAACTTGTGCCGTTTAAGTCTCATGTACTCAGTCTCTTTGCGCTCCAAATCCTTCAATAGATTAATTTGTTCCTCTTCAGATACATCTGAAGATGCTAACTCCCTTTCTAGAACTGAACGCCTGCAAAATATAAAAAAAAATATGTCAGGGAGCATTCCAAAAACAAAATTTAGATCTGTTCGACCAGTTTGGGGCAGACTATACCACATGGGACCACATAATATTCTTGTAGCTCTAGACTTCTCAGCAGAGCTTTTCAATTCGGAGTTCAGACCAACTATTCCTTTCTCGGAGGGTGCCTTTCATCTTACAAGGAATATTGTCAAGCAAAAACTACAACCACAGATGATGCAACAAAACTGAACCAACTTGTTAATATTTTTCATGGCTGAAAATTTGATTTTCTTATTAACAAACGATAGCAACCACAGACAGTATATTCTGCCGAGAAATATATTATCTTTAAAGTAACCGCGTTAAATCAGTCTTTCATCTTCCAGCCAAGTATAGTGAGACAAGATTTAAAAAATATTTATTGGTAGCAAATTTCATTATTATCATATCTTTAATTATTGCCCTTTAATTCACATAATTTTTTATTTCCAATCAATCAGCAACTAAAGCCAGCCCCCATTTGGCTTATCCTCGCTGGAAAAGTGATGTGCCAGTCTCAATGCCATCCCAAAACCACCTTGTCAAGGGCATTGAAACAAGAATAACTTCTACGGGTTCATAAAGAATGTTCGCAAATGACCCGCTATAAAAGCTCATAGCATCATTGGTATGTTTGAAATTTTCATATTTTGAGGTTGGTATAACTTATTTTAGTGGAATTTTTCTAACCAATTATATATCAGAGCATGTTTGAACTTTACACACCAAATCACGTGTCTGTGTAATATGTTTTCATCTACAATCAGCTCAATGCATGCATTAAAACATTTCAGATTATAAATTATCTTCTTTAGGTCAGGCAACCATAGGATTCTGGATTGGCACAATGCACTTCACACCCCATAAGCCCCTCAACCTCGACTTAGGTGAGATTCGATTCCTAATCTCTCTTGTACACGTTAGCCATGGCTTTCAAACAATAGCTTCAAAAGCCATCATTCGATTCCTAATCTCTCGTGTACACTTTAGCCATGGCTTTCAAACAATAACAACCTCATCGTCAAGTTCATCTATTTGCACTCGCTAAATTTGTGGTACGTTTGCAATATGATGCACTCAAACCCATACCGCCCCACAAAACAGAAGCAATTCTATCATTACATCAGTTACATTAGGTATTATTCTACAATAATTTATCGAGTGATGGAGTTATATTACAATCTAATAAATGTTTAAGCTTCAGATTAGCTATGTTCATATCATAACACGGACCAACAAGAAATTAAAGTCAAGAGAAACATAAAAGAAACCGGAACACACAGAAATGATCAACACGTAAAGGGATTATGTTGATGAACAATCAAAATAAGGACAAAAGACCTTGAATAGAGAAAATGTTGGAACAAAAGAAATGCCGAAAGAATATGTTGACGAATTCCACAATATTAATTTTATTAATATAATATATGCTCGCATTCAAATATATCTATATATATATACATATATTTGTATGAATGTACACATACATATATGTATCTGTCGTATATACATACACACATTTAATTTCAATTTGTTGATGAGGAATTGGTACCTTTCCTTGCGATCTTGGAGGTGTTTCTTCTGAGATTTGTAGTGGTTTTCGATGAATTGCTTAGCGGCAGCGACTCTCTCCAAAGTCAAGCTTGAACCGAGCTGCTCTTCCTCTTCCTCCTCCGTCGCCGCCGTCTCCACCACCATTGGCGTCACCTTATCGTCCTCCTTCTGAATCTCCATACCTCTCTCTAGAATCTCCGGATTATGGACGCCTCCGCCAATTCTCTCTCTCCCCTCTCTGCTCTCTCTCTATTTGGTTTGTAAATGTGATCATTGAGACAGCGAAGCAAGTCGGGCGAATGAAAACCTCTTCAGAAACAAACCACCTCTCTTGCTTCTAACACCCTCACAGAACACGTGGCAGCTCAGCATTGAATAGGTCCCACTGAATGGTGGTCTCCACTCGCATTCGAAAGTTCCAGTCCGTGGAGAGAGACACCTTGGAATGATGAACCGTTATTTATGGCAGGAAAACAGATGGGTCGGTTTTTTACAACCCTACCCGAACCCCATTTTTGAGCTATTTCCAATTCCCCATATATTTCGAACAATTTTAATTTAGTGATGCATAAATGCTCAATTGAACAAATATAAAAGAAAATTCTCAACAAAAAAATAAAATAAAAAATGGGGTTTCGACCTTTTACATTTGACAGTTGACATAGATCATATGTGGAAAAGAAGTAAGAAACGAATAATATAAGCTAATAAGAAACTAGTAATACAAGTTATAATGAATTAAAATGTGTTTCAATAATTTAAGCCATGTCAACTGATATTCCATCATTAGCCCTCTATGCCTTCCATTGAAGCTAAATCTAATTTAGGGTTAATATAAGAAAGGGATAATTACACTTACCTCTTCATAGATTATTTAATAATAGTGACCTCTTTTCTGGTTCAACTCTAAGCACTGACCTTTCTTGTCACATTGATGTCATGCTAAATATTTACTTAAATCCCGGGAATACCTTTGAAAACTTTAAAAAGATTATTTTGTCAGTAAGGAAACATATATTTTACATACAAAAACAATAAAAGTACAATAGATATAATAGCCATTTAACTCTTTCGGGTCAAAGTCAATACTAACGGGAGAGGTTAATGTTATATTTGAAATAAGAGCATTGCTATTTCACCCGACTTAAAATAACCTACTTAGTACCGACTCCTCCTTGATGTCCAAGTGTCATGTTGTAACTAATGAAGTCCTTTATAGAAACAAACATGTCTCTTTTCTCTTAGCCCATCCCCCCAATGCTCTCCAAATCAAAACACCACTCAGGCGGTGGAGCTCCGCCGTTTCCTCTTTGTCTTCCTAGATCGTGTCCACCAGAACACTACTCACACTCCTTACTTTCCTTGGCTCTGGCCTAATGCCGATTATGGGATCGTTCGAATTTTGGACACCTAAATCTGGCCGGAACGACCAAACTTCTCCGACGATGGTCTCGATCTCTCCGATTCACTCCGATTGGAAAGGCACCTATGAAAAAAGCACGCCAAATTTTCTTTCTTAGGCATGCAATTGAAAAATCATCGGCTGCGAAGTAGGACTTTTGAAGGCTTATGGATGAAAACGAATCTCAAAATCTCTAAGAGTACGGTCATGGATTGCATACATCTTTATGCAGTTCCTTAAGTCTTCTTTATGCAGTTCGTTAAGTCTTCTCATCCCCTCTCTCTCTATACAAATGTTTACTTATAAATATATATATTAATTCTCAATTATTGTTCTTGATATCCAAAAAATAAATAAATTGCAGATGACGTAAAAGAGAACTAATAAATGAAACAGATATACAAACCTCTTTTTTTTTTTCTTAATCTTTTTCTTTCTTGGGGGTGAAAACCGTAGTTGAAGATTATAGAGAAAGACAAAAATTTCCTGCAACAAGGCTTTTTAATGGAAAAGATATTTTATAAAGAGAAGGAATTTTAAGCAAAAATATGTACATATGAGTTACTTATACACAGAGAAAAATGTAACAGAAAGAGCACAAAGAAAAGATATAATGCTGTGTTTGGTGTGCATAAATGGAATAGAATGCAAGTGGGAATGGAATGAGAATGGGAATGGAATGGAATGGAATGGAATGACCATTCTCATTCTATTATTTGGTTGTATATATGAAATGTGTAGGAATAGAATGACAATAACTATTCTAGTGTTTGATTGGACCAATTTAAAATTTAGAATGGAATAAATTTCTAATTGCGTTCTCCAAAATATCCCTATTAGTTACAAATAAATTAAAAGAACAAAATGACATACTTCTATAATTTTTTAAAAATAAATGGTGGCGGTGGCAGTGGCAGTGGTGGATGGTGGTGACGATGGAAAGCGGTAGTGGTGTAGTTGGTGGTGTTGGAAGGCGGTAGTGGTTGTGGTAGAAGGTAGTGGTGGTGTTGGAAGGCGGTGGCAGTAGTGTGGTGATGATGAAAGGTGGTGGTGGTGGTGGAAAGAGGTGACGGTGGTGGTGGTGGTGGAAGGCGGTAGCGGTGGTGGTGGTGAAAGGTGGAGGCGGTGGTGGTGGAAGGCAGTGACGGTGGTGGAAGGCTGTGGCGCTTGTGATGGTAGAAGGTGGTGGCAGTGGTGGAAGGTGGCGGCGCTGGCGCTGGCGGCGGCGGCGGTAGTGGTGGAAGGTGGTACCGGTGCTGAAATGTGGTGGTGGTGGAGAAAGGTAGTGGCGGTGGTGGAAGGTAGCGGTGGTGAAAGGCCGTGGCGGCGGTGTTGGTGGAAGGTGGTGGTTATGGTGAAAGGCGATGGCGGTAGCGGTGGTAGAAGGTGATGAAAGGTGGTGGTGGTGGTGTTTGCGGCAAAGGAAGGCGGTGTCGATGGTGAAAGGAAGTGGCAGTGGTGGTGGTGGAAAGCGGTGGGCGATGGTGAAAGTCGGTGGCGGCGGAAGGCGGCGGTAGTGGTGGAAGTCGGTGGTGAAAGGAGGAGGTGGTTGTGGTAGAAGGTAGTGGTGGTGGTTTTTGGACTTGGAACACGAGGTTTTTTTGGGAAGTTGATTTTTTTAAAAAAGTTTACTTGGGAATGGAATGGCCATTGCATAGATTTAGTTGTGGAATGAATTTTCATTCTAATGGAAGACCATTCCTACTTTAAATTGCATACCAAATAAAGGAATGGATGGAATGTGTATTCCATTCCATTCCTGCACACCAAACGTAGCACAACAGAAAGAGCATCAAAGGAAACGAAGAGAAAAAGGTAATTTTGTCTGAAAAAATCTATTGCATTTAATATGCCACATGATCTATTGCATTTAATATGCCACATGAGGCTTGGTATTGCGATTAGTGTACTGACACGTGAAAGTCGGTTTTTATCTCTATTAGAAAGTTGTCAAAAATATCATTTTCCTTCAAATAATAAGGGAGGTCCATATTATTTAGACAATCTACAAAACAGATAAGTGTAATCATACCTATAAAATTAATCATGGTAATTTCAAAAGAAAAAATTCCTTAGTCCCCGAACAGAATCTTGCAACTAGTACATTAGCACTAAAAAGAAACATATGATGAGCATGTTGTTGCAATGATCCTTGGAGAAGTCTTAAACCAGACCTTTTTTTGTGCTACAATGAAATTCCAATGCCAATAATCCCAAAAGGAAGCTACAATTAGGAAGCTACCTGAGTTGATGAAAACAGCTGTCCTTAATTTGTTGGTTGAAAGCAGAAATCTCATAGATTCATAATGTCATCTCACTAATTTGTGCTGAATCATGAAAATATAGAGCTATTCTAGATTGATACCATGAAGACATGAACTAATTTGTCACACGTGAAATTGACTGTCAAGATCGTCTGTGTAGCTGCAATGCTATGAGAACTGGAACTCAAGAGGCAACTTAGAAAGTGTCTACATTATATGATATATATATATATATATATATATATATATATAAAATATCTTCTACATTCAGAAAGTTGTATGCTTTGGATTATTTGAAAGAAGCTTGTACAATTTGGGAAGGAATTTTGATTGATATAAAAGAAGAATCTACTGAAATGCCCTTAGGCATTGTAGTATATAACATAAAAATCACACTTAAAAAGGTAGACAATTAGTTAGAGCAACGGAACTGATAACAAAGAATGAGAAATTCGACCAGAACAAAATTAAGAGGTTGGTTTGATATAAAAAATAGAAAAAAACCTCAGCAATTTCACATATAATGAGATGTGAAGTTGGTGTAAATTGATTTGTTACTCATTTTTCAAAATCCATTTTTCATTTCAGAAACATCTTTAAGGTTATGTTTGGTTGTCCCAAATTAGAATTGGATTGGGATTGCATTAAAAGTTTTAATTTATGTTATTGAATTCCAATGTATCCAGTTCTAAATTCACTGTTTGGATAAGCTTTGAAATTCAAGTGTAATTGAATTTCAATCCCAATTTTATTGTTCGGATAAATCATTAATTTAGAATTGAGTAAAAAAATAATTAAATAGTATAAACCCCATATGTATATACATGTATATAAAATTACATGCACGATATACAAGCACATACACTTGAATAGACATACCCCGCTTGTACAAAACTAACATATATACACACATATACATACATATATATATAAAATTACATACACGATATACAAGCACATACACTTGAATAGACATACCCCGCTTGTACAAAACTAACATATATACACACATACATATACATACATACATATATATATATATATATATATATATATATATATATACATACACAGACATTTTTTTTCCTAAATGAGATTTTTATAAACAAAGAAAAAAGAACAACGTACAATACCATTATTTTTTAATGTTTGGAATTATAATACAATTACAAATTTATATTATTTTGTGGTATTCAAATATGGGATTTAAAATTGGAAAAGAAATTGGATTTTCCAATTTCAATTGAAACCTTTAATACGTGGTACCAAAACACACTAGCTTACAAGGATAGTTTGAAATGTTGCCAACATTTTCATAAAATTCTCGTCTAACCTATTAATGTAGCTTAGTTGAAGAGTTAATAATAATTGAACCTCATAGTTGCAAAGTGGAATGCACAGGTGAGTCAATCGATGGGTCTCCCCTTGATGTACAAGAGCTACAAAACAGGAAGCAAAACAGCTACCCAACATTGCTCCTCGTCAATGGGAAGAGTATGAACACTTTTTTTTTTTTGCTTGAGTATGAAAACTACAATGGTGTTATAGATGTAGGGTTTGAATTGTTCTATTGATATGGAAGTGTTGGTTCGGATCAGCCATCGAGATAGGTATCGATAATGTTGGTGTGTTGTGTTGACGGAGCAATGGAGAGAGGAGACCTTTAGTATTGAAAATTTCTTCTTATTTCATGAGATTCAATCTCTTATTTTAAAATATTTGAGATTATAATATAATTACAAATTTATATTATTTTGCGACTTTCAAATGCGAGAATTGAAATTGAACCTTTCAATTTCAATTTCAAATCTTATACACGGTATAATCAAACACACCCTAGAGTTGCTCACAAAGGATAGTTTGAAATGTTGACAACATTTTCACAAAAGCTCATATACGACAAACACAATAAAATACTCGTCCATCAATGTAGCTTAGTTGAAGGGTTAATAATAATTGAACCGCATAATTGCAAAGTCAAATGCACAAGTGAGTCAATCTATGGGCCCTTGATACCCACATCGACCATGCATGCCGTACCATTATTTAATTGAAAAGTCGACTTGACAAATCAACTTATGTTCATACCAGGGGAAGGTACGCGGGTGTCATTTTCTACCCATCAGGTTTGTTCAAACTACCATCATTTTGTTTCTACAACAGAAACAGTTCGCTTTGCCACCTAGATCAATCAAGTGACAAAGAACACCAAACCACACCACATGTTTAAGGAACCGGAACCTATCCCGTGCCGTTTCATTCCGTGGTCTGCCCCGTCCTTTTACGTCACCTATGCAACAGCGTTCACCTGTTCACCCACACGTTTGCTCTGTGCTTTTACATCACCCGTACACTAATTTTACTACGCTTAGGTGACAGCTATATTACGTCTTTATTTTATAGTGAAACATTTTGTCATAAAACCGTTGCACGGCTGTATAACGCGTTGCATTAGCATTCCAAGAGGGGTGCACAGAATCTCCTTCCCGATCCAAATTCCATAAATTCTCCTGTGACCTGATTTAGATTTTAGACAATGAATCTTGCATCTAACAACATGGTCCTCCTTATATTGGGTTAAGCACATAAAACACTATTAGTGTATACTTTTTGAGCAAATAATATTCTTCTCTTTTATTTTGAATGTATAATTTTTTTTAAAATTTTAAAATATTGTAAACTATAACTTTTTAGCAGTCAACAGTTATAACACTATCGTTAACAAACTATGTGACTTGCATATGACTAATGAATTGTATTAAATATCAAAAATGCCCTTCTTTGACTGATTTTTTAAAGTCAATTTTTACATTAACTGACTTTTATTTACTATTTAAATACTGTCTTTCTTTAACTGAATTTGTCTAATAAAGGCCATATTAGTTATTTTACATTAATTGAATTTTTTACTAATTTTATTTTAATTGTATGAAAGGCATTTTATTATTTTGCATTAATTGAATTTTTTACTAATTTTATTTTAATTGTATGAAGGACATTTTATTATTTTCATCGCTCCATTAACAGTCAAATGAGAGGAGGTCTTTGTGTCCCAAAAATAAACATTAGGAGAATTTTAGAAATATATGCATATGCCACTACAGGAGTGTTACATGGTCGTAACCTTTCATCAAATAACTTGCTATTGTTCTGTAAGTATTTCTCTTATATATATATATATATATATATATATATATATATATTTTTCCCTGGCAAACACTAAAAACTAACAGATAAAAAGACAATAGTCCAACTCCACCAACTGAAGCACCTCCGCCGGAAGTTGAGAGATGACAGAATCAGCACACAAGCGCAAAGGAGAGAGTGATGCAAGGGCATGGGCTGCTCGATTACCTTGTTGCCGCACATGGGACACCTTAACTCACGAGAAGAGGTCCAGATCAGTGTGAATATCATAGATACATAGAGCGATGATAGAAGGGCACCAAGAACCTACTTGCAAAGCTTCCGCAAGATTTTAGCATCACATTCAAACCAGACGTGCCGAAAATCAAAAACCGAGCGCTCATGACAGCAAGTCTAAAAGCGAATGCTTCAGCCACCAATGGAGATGAAACCGAAAACTGCTTAAAAACTACTGCCTGAAGAACCAAGCCTTCTGAATTTATGAAAATACCTCCCCCCCCCCCGGCCCAAGGCTGGTTGAATGGAAAAAAGATGCTGAAAGGGAGAGGAGACCAAGAAAGAGGGGAAACAGAAGGTTTAGGAGTCAAATGCATATTTAAACAACACTTCTGCGAATCAAAAAACTCCCAGAAGCTTTGGACTGCCTTAGAGGCCACAAATGAAGGATTTCGTAGAGCAACTTCAAAAATCAGCCTGCGAGCTTTCCATAAAAACCAACAGCAAAAGAAAACCAAGCTCATCAAATAAGCGCGCACCATACATATAAATATACATAGATATATATAACAAACAAGAAGTAAATGGTATGGACATAAACTGAAAGGATAGCAACTTTGCAACATGTTCAAATTAGTTAGAAGACTGACCTTGTTAAAAAAAAAAAAAGACAAAAAAAAGAAATGAAGAGACCAATCGCCAGTCCAATAAATATGGTGAATAAATTCTCTATATAAACCCATACAAAATTATAATAAAACTATTCTATAACATGACAGAAACAAGCCATGTAAAAAGAATCACTAAATCAAGATACAAACAAAAAAAAAACTAGAAATCAGTACTATAATCAAGATACAAAAACTAAAACACTCTTTCACTACACTAAATAAAAGTAGTGCCTGCAAGGCTATGGTGCAACAGATTGTGAGCAATGTGATCTCTAGCCTGCATCAAACTCACAGACCTCACACTGTTCTCCGGGACTATCTCATCATCAAAGATCTCAAACCTCAGCTCAGGCTCCATTCCCTCATTTCTCATCTCGCAGATATTGTGCAGCACACAGCACGCCCCGAGAACCACCGGCAAGTCCTGCAGCTTCACCTCTGTTCTCTTCTGCAAGCAACTCCACCGCCCTTTCAACCGCGCAAACGCCTCCTTCGCCACCCTCTCAACCTCACCAATCTTCTCATTGAAAGCGTGCTGTGTCCAAGTCAGGTTTTGGTGGGTGTAAGGAACCAAAACCCAATCCATCAAAGGGTACCCAGAATTTCCCACTACCCAAACATCCTTCAAAAGCCCTTGATTGGCTCTTTGATTAAGAGCAGACTTTTCCAAAACCTTGTCATCAGGCATTGAACCAGGCCAACCAATGCAAACATCAGTGAACACCCCATTCGGATCCACCACTCCTTGGACTGTAATTGAGTATGAAGTCTTCTGATTTCGCTCCGTGAGTCGCTTATTGAAATAGGCTGCAACACTGATTTTTGGCGCTATAATTGGGATATGTGTGGTGTACATTGACCCACCCACATTGGGTATTCCAGAGATTGATTCAAACCCATCCTTGACGTCCTTCAATTTGGTCTCATCAGGCCACTGAACATATTTGGGCATTAACACACTCTTTATAGCTGAACAAACCTCAAGAACAAGCTTGTGACAAGTAGATATGCCTAATCCGAAACGTTTCGAGACGAGGCGAAGAGGCTCGCCGGTGGCTAACCTCCATATACAAACGGCGACGCGCTGTCGAACCGGAATCGCCAAGCGAAGTATCGTGTCTTTCTTATTGAGAACGGAATCGAGCTCGTTGCAGATCATGTCGAAGGTCGCTCTGCTCATCCGAAACGCGCGACGGAACTCTTCCTCCGGGAAATCAGGATGGTTGCATTGCTCCCACCACGCTTTCGATCGGTTCTTGACCCATAACCGACGGTGCTGACCCCCAACTCCGCCACTACCACCGCTACCGCCGCCGCTCGATTGAGCTGAACCGTCTGACGCGACGGTGGTGGCGTAAACACCAATTGCTTCGGTGGAGGGCTCTGGCAATTGATTGTTGTCATCCAAATGAGAGAAATCTTGGAAGAGATTGTAATTCTCACTCATGGGTTCGATTTTGTGATTGAAATAGTAGTTGTCGGGGACTGAATTGGATTTCTCTTCTTGGTCCAAAAACAACAATGTGGTGAGAATTTCTTTTATGGAAGTTTTCTTAGATAATTGGTCGTCGTCGTCGCCAACTGTGTCCGTCCTTTGCCGCTTTTTAGTATTATCGGTATCAATTTCTTGGAACAAGCTGTGAATTGGGTAGTAATCTTCTTGGTCGAGAAATGGGAAGGAAGAGATCTCCATTGGGAAGTGTTTGATAAAGTGTTTGATAAAGTGGAGTTGAATAGAAATGTGAACGCTGAAGAGTATGAACTTGAATGAGATGAAGATGATGAATTCAGACGTGGTCATATATATATAATAGATGCTGGTGTAGGGAGGAAGGAAGCGCGTGAGCAAGTGTGAACGCGGCGTGGATGAGGGACTTTTCTGTTTGTTTCTCGGGAATGAGAGTTGACCCTTACGCGGTTGGGTTGGGGGATAGATTGAGCTGATGGTTTTTGTTAACGATTGGGTTTGAAACACGTTTGTATACTTTGGGAATGTTGTTGTGTCGAAGTTTCGTCAAAGCGGTTAAGAAAAAGTGGGGAAGGACACCACTACAACATTTATTTTGTTCCGGTACAAACTAAAACAATTAATTCATTATTAAAGTTTATTATCAGGAATTATGTAGTACTTACGCGGTGTTAAATTTTATAATTGGGACAACCGAGGCACGTCGGATGGTAGTCAAACTTTAATAGCATTAACCGGTTGAGACTAAGGACAAATAACTAATTAATTATGAGCTGAGGATGTGCAATACCTATGTAGATATTTTATTTGGTCAATTTAAAATTTTCTTCTGCTTCGTTTAGTTGGAGGGGTGAAAAAAATAGATAAGTGAGGGATGAATGAGATATCCTTAAAAAAGAGAGGGTGTCTTTTCTATTTTATATTTAGTTGAATGAAATGGTTAATAGAAAGAATAAATGGAGTTATACTTTTTTCTTATGCTATGTTTGGTTGGAGGGAAGGATTGCGGGAGATGAATGAGAGGAGGGATGGATAAATATTTTCTATGTTTGGTTGGAGGGAAGAGAAAAGAGGGAAGAAACAATACACTCTTTTATATATAAAAGGTAGATATTTATTTCAAAATTTTTAAAAAGATTAAAATTGTAAATTATAAATTTATAGGTAGTTATGCTTTTTTTTCTCTCATCCCTTCCCTCAAAAGTGGATGGATAAAAACATAAAGGAAGGAGGGATAAAGCATCCTTCCCTGTTTCCTCACTCTATTCTCTTCCTTCCAACCGAACACGAAAATATTTATCCGTCCCTCCTTTCATCCATCCCTCTCAATCATTCCCTCCAACCAAACATAGTCTTAATAACATTATTCATTAAAAAAAAAAAAAAAAATTTGTTACAAAATAGAGTAATTATTCACTTTTTCATACTTTTGTAATGTGACATTGCTTTAAAATAATCGTCTCACTAAATATATTTGTTAATTTATTTATTATTAATATAATAATAATAAACAAAAATTTAAAAATCAAACTTTATAAAGTTAGATTTTTAAAATGGAACGGAAAAATTAAAAATGAAATTATGAAGTTTCATGCCCTGGAAAATTACAGTTTAACTTTTGTAATCAAATACTTTGTCTACCATTTTAATGGGTGCACATGAGAAACAAAGAAAAAAGAGAGCTAATAGAAAATATGAAAGTTGAGAGTATTCTGTAGGATTAAGCTGGGCATGTATTCATAGGATGACTACGGCCCTTTCTTAAAAATGTCTTCCTTTTGTAAGATGAAAAATTATACATTTGAATAGGGCGGAGCCAGGATTGCAAAGTAAGGAATGACTATGCCCCATTTTTAAAAATGTCTTCCTTTTGTAAGATGACAAATCATACATCTGGACAGGGGCGGAGCCAGGATTGCAAAGTAGGGGGACTAAAGATAAAAAAATTTGAAGATGAACACAATAAAAATTATAAAATATTAGAAAATTTTCTTGTAGAAGTGATGGTAAGGGTATACTGTGTTCAATATAGTCTTACTTTCATGTCCAAGTAACTAAATCATAAAATTAATCATTTTTTACTGAAGATCCGATTCGAGAGGACCTAGAAACCTAATTTACCAAGTTTAGATCTCAACTTAAAATCAGGTATAAAAAACATGTTTGTTATCCACCATCAAAGTATCAATTGGAATTCGTTTTCCGGGTAAAAATAAAGTAAAAAATTATCCAATTAAATCTTGAACATCTATTCAACAAAATTTTTTTGTTTAATTGATTTTGAAATAAAACTACCCATGTTCTAAGGAATATGGGTTTATGTCCTAATTTGAATGAAAAATTGGATATTTCTTCACTTTCTAGTAGTTGTAAACTTTTTGAATTGTGGTTTATATTTAACATAATTTATGCTCTTGCTTAAGGAAGAAAAATCAAAGATAAACACAGGAACAGTTCGAAGAAGAATGATAGTAGTAGCATATAGCCCAGATAAACACATAAATAGTTGGGCTAATACGAAGAGGAAGAGCAGTACTACAATTCTAGGCTTATATGAATAATAGTACTATTTTTTTTAATTGAACCTGGGCTATAGCCTAAATTATCCCATTAATAATTCCTCCCTTGCATTTGGAGCACTTGTTGCACTCTATTAGGAAAGGTTAATGTCCACAGAGCAGGACACTGAATGTGTTGGGATTTATATGTCCTGGCATAGCAAATTCCTATTTGGATTAAAGTGACATATGTTCCTGACGTTTCTGAAATATTTATGTTTTATGCAATTAGTAAATTCAATGTATTATATTTCGATTCATTATAGAATTGATAGTATCCATTTGATTACAAGAGATATTTATATATATGTATGTGATGACAATCAATGCATGATATATAAATAGTAATCATAAATGGTTCATAGTCGGTAATTATGGATGGACTCATAATTAATTAAGATTTGAACTGGATCCGCGTTAGGTTGAGATATATTGCGAGAGCCGACGTATGCAATTACTCCCTATTACCGTCATGGCATTTGACTCTTAAGCATGAGAAAAGTATAGACTCTTTTGTTAATTAATAATTACTTTGATTTGTTCGGCGGATTCTTCGGGATCCTTAAACCGACACTTTGGGTAGTTATGTAATTAATAGTTAGAGGGTTATATTTTCAATATTTGCATCATTGCTACTTGTATTTATTTTGTATTGATTATAGTTGATCACAAAGTAAATTCGAAGGCCTTCGTATGTTTTTAGACAAAATGATTTATTATATATTTATTTATTTAAATTATTATTTTTTGTCAAACAAATGTTTTATTGTGATCAAGCTAGAAATAATCAATGGTACCAAAATAAATATATTAATTAAGTAGTCGGATTGATGGCTTTATTTATCCGATAACTAATTATGCATAGAAGAGTCAGAGTGCAATATTGACTTAGTGGTTATTTATTATTTAATTGGAGTTCAATTAATTTCTTTTAGTGGAGTAGAAATTAATTTATGAATTAATTAAATTGGGTCCATGGACCGGGTCAATTATTAATTCATTGTAGCCAATAAAATAATAGGCCCAATGGATTCTCACTCATAGCCCACTTGATATTGGAATCATATTAGATTTGAGACATGTGAATTAGAGATTGAGAAGGATTTGTTATTTCATTTTCTTTACCTTTATGTTGCCTATAAATATACATGGTTTATGAATATTTTAGGGGTGATTTTTGGAAGAAGGAAAAAGGAATAAATTTTCTCTCTTTAGAAAATTAGAGTTAGTGTTCGCATCTAATGGAGGCTCCCACAAGCCTAATTTTCCAAGGTCATTCATGGAGGCTTATGAGTGATTCCTAAAGGCAAGACCATTACCAAGAAGATGGAGATCCATGGAAAAGGTGTCTAACAAAAGGGATCTACAATAAGTGAGAACATTCACTTTAGAGGAGAGATCTAAGGTTTACTAAAACCTTGATGTAAGTATTCAATCTTTTAATTGAATGATACATCATGTTTTATTTTTACATAAAACTTGTCTCTATGTGATGAATCAAGATCTATGAATTAAAATCCCTCGAAAAGTTTTTAAAACTAGCACGTTTCCCAACAGTGGTATCAGAGCATGGTTTGATTCATTACTAAAGATCATGTTTTTATCAAAATTCATCATTCATGGATCCAATTTTGATATGCATATATATTTATTTATTAATGTATGTTGATGTATGAATTAATATATTGATATATAATGATGTATGTATAATTGTGAATGGACGATGATGTGTGTTTGGGCCATGGATGAAGTTTATAGGATAATTGAATGTAATTTTATCTTTGGATGAATGTAATTAAGGCTTTGATTTAGCCGTTTGAAAGTTCAATGATGTAATTTAATTTTTTTTTCATTGTATTTCAAATTGTAAATATTTTTAAAGCCATGTAATATTCATCAAAGGATGCTATGAAGCTTCAAGAAGGTCCAAGAAGGTTAAATTAGGCTTCAGGAATTTTCTAGAATTTTTTCAGAATTTTTCTAGAATTTTTTAGGCTTAATTTATATTTTCTGGAATTTTTAAAATATTTTATGGAATTTTCGGTGATTTTCCGGCGACCGGAGCAATGCCGGCTGCGAGGGACAGCGCCGGAAGATGGACGGATGATCCGGTGTGGCGCGGTACACATGCGCGTGGACTAGCTACCGTTGGATCAAAGATCAGAGGGGATTATAATCCAGTGTAGTAGCACCCATGGTGCACTGAAGAGGACAGCCAATGGAAAAGCGCGTGAAGTACACGCGCTGACAAGGTCAGCATTCTGGCGCGTGTACACGCGCCAGACAAAGTCAACCATCCGGCGCGTGCCTCACGCGCCGGACAAAGGAACCTTCCCCACGCGCGTGCCGGCGCGTGGTAGCGCGTGGCATGCGCTGAATCATCTTTCCAGCGCGTGTAAGCGCGTGGCACGCGCTGGGACTCTCCAGAGGCGCGTGGGAGCGCGTGAATGACCTTCCAGGTGCGTTTCAAGCCTCGTTTTGCTTCTCCTAGCGCGTATCAACCTCCTGCGGGTGTTTTCATGCTGATGGAAGACCATCGTGCAGTTATTAGAGCAATTAAATGTTAAAAGCTAAATCCATTGGCCATTTAAATTGCTTCTGTCTGTTATTTATTTATTTATCTGATGCATGAAATAATTAATTGTTTATTATTATTATTCATGCATTGGATCCATGATATTTAATTAAATGACTTGATTTATATTAATTAAATTATGAAAATTAATTGGATTTAAATATTAATTAATTTGAGGGCACTTATTAGGAAACGAAAAATCATTTTTGTAAATTATTTTGAAAGTGTGCCTCAAATTAAATAATAGTGAATCGTTTAAAGTCCAAATATTTTCTAAATTTAATTGGATTAAAATCAAGACGTTTTGCATGCATCATATCATGTAAATGAATAAATTG